GACGTCAACCATCTCCCCTGGCTGAAGGCAACGTGCTGCAAACTGCTTCCACGCGAAGAAGGGATCTAAGGTGAAAGCTGTGTATAATGCTTTCTTAACGCAATTGAAGTCTGCACGCTTCTCCTCACTCAATTGCTGGTACACTGCCAAACACATCGGGATACCACACTCAATTCGCTTCACACTGCTCAACTGACATATTAGTTCCGCCTTCTCCAACAATTCCACTACCGACTGTCCAGAATCGCTTCCATCGAACAGTGGTATCAGCTTCGGGTTGAAGGCCATAATGCCGAAATAGCTTGTGAGAGAAAATGGGGGAGGGGAACAACTTCTTGCGAACCTGAGACGAACGCCTGCTTGCAAACGTGACGAATGCCTTCTGGCAAATCTGAGACAAATGCGACACAAAAACGAATGCCTTCTTGCGAACGAACACTTTACGACAGCAAACGAGCAAAACGGCGCACAAGACTGCTGCCGACGGACGACCGACTGCAACGGCTTTTGTCGCCCAAGACAAATATATTGTGACTATATATAGTCACAAGCCAGGAGCACTTCAGAACAAAAAAATTAATTCTTTAGTCTCCTGAAAGATTGGCTTGGACACATTTTAGAAAAAAAAAAATGTTGAGGCTGAAACCCTATGAAGAAATAAGAATGACAAACAGCCCAAAAGATGATGAAATAATATTGATTTGCTTGACTGCAAAAACAAACATGAATGAAACAAAGGGTTTATCATGAAAAGAAAACAATTTGTGGTGACATTTATCGGTGGCAAGATGTGCAAAATACAATGTTTTTGGCTTCATATGTGTATGTGAGAGAATAAAAAGTGAGGGTAAGGGTGAGAGGTTAATCAATGTTCATTTATTTATAGTAGTGGTATCATAGCGACAGTTGATGGTCATTTCCTTGACAAGAGCTATCTCTTCTTTCATTTCTTTTCTCTGTCTTTTCTTAATAAAATTGGTGAACAACATATCTTCACTTCATTTTTATCATAGACAACTCTGCTGTTCACAAAATAACAAACCCATTTCAATGAAAGCTCTTTCTTTTTCTTTCTTTTTTTTTCTTTTTTTTTTTATTTCTTCTCCCATATTCCTTTCTGGTGATTAGGTGGCCTCCATACATCTTTATCTTTCCTTGTTGTTTTATAAGAAATATTTCTATTATACTGGATGGCAATTTCACATCTTTGTATGTCCTGGCTAACAATATGTGTCCATCTCTCATTAGTTCTGACGATTGAATCCCTTAAAATTTTGTATTTTTGGCATGCAAGAAGCATTCACCCGTCACATATTTTCTCTTGGCCAATCAGCGAACCCTTTCCTTATGACCTGTTTCTCTGCTGATTTCGACTTTATCAAGATAGTTTCTGTCTGGTAGTAGTCACCATGTAACTAGCTTGACCTTATGAGTCATTTTCTTAATTCCTCTCTTTGTTTTATACACATTTATGTAACAATATATATAAAATATTATATTGCTGCTTTGCTTTTAGGGCTTTTTTTTTTATTCACTGAAAATCGTTTTCATGTTTGTTTTCACAATCATTTGATCAGCATTTTTCTAATTTAAAAGTTATCAACATTCTAGATTGGTATGGTCCAGCACTCAAAATATTTTTATAGCTATTTTTATATTGACAAAAGCCTCTCTCAAGAGTCAGAAAAATATATTTTTATTGACTATTTTTATGAACATAATATTGTGATAATTTTAACGTCTTTGCAAAAATTAACAAAAACCCCATCTGTAAAGGATAGATCTCTCTCACCATATTTACTATCAGTAAAGAAAGAAAACTGTATATTTGTCTCTTAGTGAGAAGACAAATCTTTTTTTTAATCAAGTATTCTGTTCTTTGATGGTAAGTGGAGGAGTATTTGAAACCATAACACATACAATTTTGAAAGCCTCCATTTAAAATAATTTGAAAAGTAATCCACATATTTGTAGACTGAACGAAAAATTTACATATTTGGTTTTTAATAATTGTTTTCTATTAGGATGAAATCATTTGACTCTTGGAATATATTGATAGCTGTTGACTTGTTAAATAAGTATGACCATCACTGATGAGCTTTCCATCTACCTGGATTTGGGAATTCAGAGTTTTCCTTCTAGACAGGTTTCAAATCAAAGCTGAAGAGCCCAGTCTGCTCTACTATTTAAACTTTAGCTGAAAAGAAGATATGGATTCATACATTTCCCAGAAGTACTTGCATGAAAGTGAATAGAATGAACAGCTGGAATTTGAACTCTGTTCACCAATTTCACATTCCAAACTGCAATCCATTACACCCTCCTCTCATCGAATAGATATTAAGATTATAGTTGTGCATGGCTTGCACAATACCACAATGACTTATACCATCAATGCTAAGAATTTCAGAGACAACGAGATGCAAGATATCTGGATGAGTACTGAAGTAGGTGTCACATCAGTTTTTCTTCAAGATGGACCCAAATTCTTTGATAAAATATTGATCACTCCCAAATGGTTAAATGCATGCTTGGACACCAACCCAGGTATTTCTACATCCCCATGTACACATCTATATCTATTTAGCTATATGTACACACTTCATATTCATTAAAAACAAAATATGTTTCAATATGGTTTAGTTTTATTCCTCAGCTTTTACTTGTTTGGCATCAGTTAGAAGTTTGTTGATTTTAAAGATTCATTTCATGTAGTTTCATTTGAAAAAGGGATTCTGATATGGAAAAGGAGTTTGGTAAGTAAATAAAACGTGAAAATTATACTGGAAAAAATGTATTTCCAGTTGGGAATGTTGTCCTCATTATTACAACATTTTGGCCATTGTGCCCTCTGGCTTTCTTCAGGTGTTTGTCAATCCAGGTAACCTTCAGGGAATTTCAAACTGAACTCTTTATTTAGTCTGTTCTTGTTCTGCTGTAGATGTTTAGGGATATCTGGTTCTTACTGTCCTTCATCTGGTGTCTGTTGATCTGAGTAACTTTCAGGGAATTTTGAACTGAACCCTTTATTTAATCTATTTTTCTGATTCAGTTGTCTGTGTCTAGTCATATTTCATCTTGTTCTTATTTAGTACTACTCGGTTATTGCTCACCCTGTTTCTACTGAGCAATTGAAATCTGTAGATTAAATAAAAGGTTCAGTTTGAAAATCTCTGAAAGCTACCTGAACTGACAAGCATCTGAAGAAGGTGAGAGGGCAAAAAGTTTGAAATATTGTGATAACAACAAAGATAAGGACACTAATCTGAATGTAAATAATGTAAACTCCTTATTGTAGAAATTCAAACTGAAAAATAATTTAATCACCTATCATTTGCCAAGTGCTAAATGGTTCAATCCTTAGTTTAATAGTTTAACAAGTACTTGCTATGTCTACTGTCATGAAGTAACCAAAGGTATAAAGGATGCAAAAAATATAGAAATATAGCCCCTGTCCTCCATCTTAAACAGGATTCCTCTTGCAAGTGTTTCCAGAGATGTTTGAGGCTTTAATTAGAAATGACTAGAAATAAATGAATGACACAGGATTAAAAAAGAATATCGTATTGAAAACTCCAAAAGATAAATCCAGTTACACTTTTTTCTAATTATCTTCATGACTTGGTTGTCTTTTGGTTATTTTTTTAATATCTGAATGCAATAATCAACTTTAAAGAAATTTTTATTACTGTATTATATATTATAGTGCTAAATATATAACTGGAAATTTACTTGAGGAAAATATTTGCACTGATGCTTATTGCAGGATTCATTATTATTGGTGTGTGTGTGTGTTTTAAGTAAATTTCAAAGACAATATCTGTGCATAGAATTATTCAACTCTGTATGTGGCATTTTTTCCTATCTTTTACCATCTTTGAGACACTTAAAGTTCACAATCCATACATCAATTGTATTGAAAGCTGCATTGAAATTTCACATTTCAGAATTACATATATATAAAATTTCAGTCACATGCAAAACAAAATCACATTCAAATATCATCTATTGAAAGATGCTACTCACTTTTGCTCCAACCCAATACATTATAAAATTAGAATTCTTAGTGGAATTTTTTTCTATTAAATTAATGCCGATTTATTCCTGAAAATAGCCAATATTGCTTATCTGTTTTATATATCATAAACTGAATGATGCTTGAAACACTCTTAATAACAAAGATTTTTTGTCAATCTACTACTGTGTAAATAACTTATTAGATAATAACTTTTCCCCCGTCTTTCATAGTAATCTGGCAGAATGGAATCTGACATGGAAATGTATATGAAACAAGTGTGTGTCATTGAACTTCTTCATTTAGAATTATACACTATTGCCATTTATCAATGCTTGCTAAATGTTTATGGTGACCAAAGTGAATGTGAGCACAGTTAGGCAGTAGGCAATATATTTCAGCACCAGAAATATATGCGAAGCAATGTTCTGGGTGACCCTGCACAGGCTTGTAAAAATGCCTAGGTGACTGTAGAAAGTGTTTTGTAGCTGAAAACTTGCTCTATCCAACACTGTTGTGCTTTCTGCATTTGTTGTCATTTCTCTGAAAACAGATGGGGTTACTTGTATACATGTATATCTGTATTGTTTATCCTTAATAAGGTATCCATCATTTTTGGTTCATATTTTGCAGGAATTCCTTTAATGTCTGAGAATAGGATATTCCTTACCAAGATATTTTTTTTTTTCTAGGAATTTCACTTTGAATGCTATTTTCCGTTGATGAATAAATCCTCTTTTTATAAAGTTGAAAGCAAAAAAAAATACCAAGGAATTGCTCAGTTAAGAAATTGAATTTTTAACTTTAGAAAAACTGACCATTGTTTTTAATTTAATTTTTTTAAAATTTGATTTATATTTAATTACCTTGGCTCATCTATGTTTTTTATAAATTTTATTTATATATTTAATTTTTGTCATATACAAGATAAAGATTAAAAAATTTTTTTTTTTTTAAACAAGTATTTTTTATTTTGTATTTTCAGATGAGTATCTCTGGTGGTGGTGGCTATTGTGATTGTGGAGATCCTGAGGCCTGGAAGTCTGAACCGCACTGTGAGACCCATGGGAAAGGAACAGGAATGGAAGAAGAACAAGTAAGAAAGGAACATAGCATGCACCCACCCCACCTCCATTTTTGTTAGTATATGCAATGATGAAACTTCTTATTTGTAAAAGATAGTATTTTCACACACACATTTTTTGCACAATTTGTCAAGATATGACAAAATCTGTCCTCTGCTTGTATGTGATAAGAGGAATACACAGCTAAGAGTATTCATCTAAAATAAATTAATTTACCCTGCTCTACACATTCTATTTTTAGAATTGTGTATTGAACACTTTTTAAAAATATCCATCCTCCAATCTGGCCAAATACTTTTGTATTCATTTTATATATATATATATATATATATATATATATATACACACACACACACATCATGACATGAGCAAACATGTTTACTTTATAAATTACTCTTTGATTCAAGATCATTTAGTGTGTCACTTTGTAGCAAAAAAAAAAAAAATTGTTTTTAATAAATGCTGAAATATATTAGAAACAAAAATTTTGCACCTCTAAACTTGAGAAACGTCACTGCTGTACAAAGTTTAGTTTTCAAGTGTTTACAGCAACATTATAAATGTTGATGTTATACCGAAATAGATGTACTTGACCAATTCCCAACTTACTTTTACTGTTTGATAATAAATCAAATATGTAAACAAATGATTGCAGTTAAGATATTACTGAAATGTATTGTAATTTCTTGCAGAATCGATTGGATTCTTTGCCATGTGACTTGATAAGGCGAGCAGAGGCATTGTTTGTGGCTACACTTCAGTATGCAGTGGACATGATGACTTGGGAACAGTGTGATACATTACCAACTGACCTCCAACCTGATGGGGAGCTTGATGACTTGTATGTTACAATTCTTTTCAATGATGAGATACACACTTTTGATCAGGTTGGTACTATCTTATAATGTAATTATGTAAATGCAGTAACTTTTTCATTTTATGATTCAAATTATCTTGAAAGTTGTTTGCAAAATAGGTAGATAGTTCTTTGTGTGTGTGCATACAAAGCTTGTAAAATATGAGGTTGAACGTTTTAATGATTTTAATTTACAAACAAACTAAAAGAAAAAGAACTTGTTTAATTAATAACTAGACAGTGTTAATTGTCTTCCCCTCTTGTTTGTTCAGGTTATTAGCACGCTTCAAAAAGCTGTAGAATGCACTCAAAAACAAGCAGCAGATTTTTCTACCACAATCGATCGTGAAGTAAGTCAACATTTGTTTCATTCTGCTTTACCAATTTTTCTTTGTTTTATCAATTGAGAACAAAAATCATATTGAATCTTTTATTTCAGGGAAGAAGTGGTGTCAGAATTGGTCCATTCAGTGTATGTGATAAAACAAGAAGAACCATTGAGGTAAGTTTGAGATTGCATTTCAAATTAACTCTTGAATGTTTGCTGCTGTTTTTTTTTTTTTTTTCTTTATGCAAAATTCTAATGATTTAAAGTTACAGTGAGTAAAGTTCAAAATCCCTTGTAGTTTCTGTCTTTAAATCACATGGCTGTAAAAACTGAATTTTCTTGCTAAATTGTAAAAGACTTCTTTTTTAAATTCTCTCATTTTAATACTTTGAAGAGGAAAAACTTAATTTGATAGTCTTCAAATGTTTATAAAAAAATGTTTTTTATTCTATGATGACTTTAGTGAAAGTAATGGCTTTTTAGTTGTACATGGTCAGTTCAGGGAACCTCCAAACATTTAATGTAAATAAAAAAAAAAAAAAAAAAAAAAAACTTAAGAAATGGCAACCTTATTCTCCCATAGAGTACTTCTATTAGGGCAACATATTTATCCCAGCATGCCTTGAACTCTGCAACGTCCTCTTTTAGGTTTACCATCAGCTGTGTTGTTACATTTCCCTTAATGTTGTCCAGTCTGAAATCTCCTTTTCAATGGTTATTTTTAACTTTTGGGTAAAGTTAGAAGTTGGCAGTGAATCAAATCTGGACAGTGATGCTTTGTTTTGCAAAAGAAAACCATGCACATCCTTATGAATGTGATGATGACTCGGTATCTAACTACCAACAGAATTAACCTTCATAAGAAAGTGTCTATTCTAAGCTATGTAACTTTTTCTCAAGATTCTTAAAATGACTGGATGCTTTCTAGGCATACCTTGTATTATTTGAGTTATTTAAAACTGCATAACCCTCTAAGCATTAAAATGATGTTTTTAAAATTCTAAGAATTTAAGTAATGCTCATATATATTTTATTTATTTTAACAGCAAATGTCTTCACGTGGAAGTTCAAAGCCTTTGAAGGTACAAGTAATGCACACAACAGTTGTTTCCCATCAGAAGTTTGCATTAAAAATGATTCAGTGGTTACAACATATCATCTCTAAATCAGGTATGTTGCTTATTTGAATAATTTAGCTTGAATTTTGAAGTTCAGAATTAACTCTTGTGGTTTTTAAGTAATCAATTTTGACATGGTGTTGAATAATTTCCTGGAAAAAGAAATTTAGCTGATTGGCAAATAGTTTTGAAATCATTTGGAGACTTTGGCAGTAATAAATGTATTTGTTAGGCTTTTTTATACTCTCTTGCAAGCCTTCACAAGATATCCAGAGACTATCCAGTGTAGTCAGTTTTTTTTTTCTCTCTTTAAAATAAATTTGGCAACTGATCACCAAAACAGACACCAGTGTCAAGTTGTGATCATTTTATATTAACAATGAAAATCAGGTACAAACTTTTGCAATGATCTGATATTAATAACTTCAGCATTTAATCACCAAAAAGAATTACATGACTTAACATGTAAATAGAATAAAGTTATTTATTTGAGCAAGTTTCTCCTAACAATTTTCTTATTTTGTTCTGTTTACCTAAAATGCTCAGAAATAGTGTATTGGAAGTTGGTCTGGTTTCAGGGTTTAATTCTTTAACATTCCAGTGAATTACACTAATTTCTAAATTTAATTTCTCCAGAATGTTTCTACTCTTAGGTACTTAATAGATTTTTATTTAATTTTATTGCATTTATTTATTTTAAGGAAATTTCCCAACATTCCAGTCTGTTCAGATCATCCTGTTTATTCATTTTTCACTTTAAATGATTGTCTTGCTGTCTGACAAACGCACACGCTTATGAAAATTCTTTCCTGTTTTTATTGAAAATATATCTGCCCCACCCCCACATATTAGAAACCTAAAAACCTAAGAGTATCAAAGTTCATGAATTAAAATTTTTTTTTTTTTTTTTCCAGATGGTTTGCGGTATTTATTTTGTAAATTAGCAATGCAGCCAGCTGAAGGAGGGTCTCTGATGGAACGTTTGATTTTGGCAGACACAAAATTATGGAAAGGTGAATATGATTGCATTAACCTCAGTAATATATACCATCACACTGTTCCACCAAATTTTGTACATTTAAATATTCAACAAAAAATAAATCGGTTATGTGTTTTCAAGTTAATCTTCCCTTCGTCCATTGATTCTTTTTCTTGCATGTAAAAAATGAAAATTGTATTTCTTAAATTTTTAAATTTTACAAACATTTTCACTCTTCTAAAATTTATTAAGAATGTATTTCATTGAAAAGGATTTTAGATTTAAATATATTTAAATAATCATTTAGAATAATCTTTTTTTTTTTTTTTTTTTCAGTTGCTCGAATTCAGAGTCATCAACTGTTAATGAGTGGGTCAGTATTCTTCCAATTTGTTCCACTCCTCCCCCTCCTCCAATTTAACCTGAATTTTTACATCTATTCTTTAAACTTTTTCAGGAGCCTAACTGTAGATAGGCGATATTGTCTAATTATAGTGTGACCTTCTTGACATTAATTCCATTACATTTTCAAATCCACAAACTTCTTTCCAATTGTTATTAATGAATCATTGCTATTGGATGATCAATAAATTGACTGTTCATGTCCACAAAAGCCATTCAACCACATTGTCTACTATATTGAAACTCTCAAATACAAATTAATTTTTGTCACAAGAGAAAAGGAAGGCAAGTAAGTCTAGTGGTGATACACTCCAACACAAAAATTCCACACCATACACAAAGAGTGTGGAAAAGTTCTTTGGTTGGCTGGCTTCTTAAAACCTGAATAATTATATAATTTTTTTTTTTTTTGTAAGTTCTAAAAAGACCTTTTAAAAAAAAGCTGAGAACTTTTCAGTGTCAACCTGTTGTGTGTGCAAAATATATATTATTAACATAGAAAACAGAAGCTATAAGAAACTTCTGATTTCAGGCCATTCATACAGAACCTTTTTTATTTGTATTTATTTTTTGTTTTTACTAAACTGTTTCACCAAGAAAGTAATATCAAAAAGTTCACACAAAATCCTGAAAACATCATTAATACCCTGTTAAGAAATGTGCCACTGAGATCTCTTCTTTCATGAAAACCAGCATGGAAATAACAAATACTTATTAGTTCTCTTCTACCTGTTTAGCCACTATAGCCCATGAGAATCACTTCTGGCTATACTAGAGTGACAGGTTTGATTGTAACAGATGTTTATTTGTTACTGTTTGTGATGAGTGTAAGCATGCCATCAAAGAGGTAAAGTCACTATTCGATGATAGAATGAGACACTGTATAGCCTCTCACAAGTTTGGTTCTAGAGATTACAAGTGATGCTGTAAGAATGTACTGAACAAAAACAAATCCTCAGTCTCTCCTCTCTTCAATCAATTTGAAGTTATCTATTGCAGATAATACAGTGTTTTGCTTGTAAATTCTCTCCCAACTTCACTCTCAACTCATCTACAGTATCTCTGCCTGATTTCCCATCGAGAACTGTTTCTATGCACATAACTCTATCAATGGTTTCTGTTATCATTTCTAAACTAGATCCCCACAAGTCTTATGGAGTTGACAGTATCTCTGCAATTGTCCTAAAAAATGTGCTCCTGAACTGGTTCCTGTTCTCTCCAAACTGTATAAATGTTTTTCTACTTTTTGCTTTCCAGCTTGTTGGAAGTCCTACTCAGTAGTTCCTGTCTTTAAAAACTCTGGGTAATCTTTTGACCCCTCAAATTATTGCCCCTATTAGTCTCCTTTTTGGCAAAGTAATAGATGTTCTAATCAATATCAAATTGGTTAAGCATCTTACTTCACACAGCCTCCTTTCAGATAAACAATATGGCTTCCGTTTCTCCAGGTCTACTGTCAATGTATTAACAGCTGTCACTGAATTTGTCTATCATGCTTTAGATAAGAACAGTGAAACTCAGGTTGTTGCCCTAGATATCTCCAAGGCATTCAACAGAGTTTGGCATGCTGACCTCCTCTACAAGCTCAAAGGGCTACAGTGTCATGGGATGAATATTTGGTCTAATCCAATCATTCCTAACAAATTGTGTAATGAAGGTTGTGTTGAAGGTGCATGCTTCTAGTTCATTTCGTATTAATGCAGGACAACAATAAGAGCTTCCTTAAATGCTTGAGTACATAAAGCCTTTGATTTTCAAAAATTTAAATGCAATGACAATTTTTATTTTCTTAATTCTTGTAATTTTATTGTTCTCTCTCCTTAATAAGTTTTTATTTTTCTCATATTCTTTCATACTTACTAACACCCTTGCATCTAAGTGGATTTATTGAACTGCTTGGGGTGAAATGGTTAAAAACAAAATCAAATGTACAATTGAATTAACATATGAAAAAGAAGCCAACAGCACCTTACCGTTTCTTGATATTCTGTTAATATGAACTAGTACAGGTTTAAAAATAAATATCCACTCTGTTGGCAAAAAAAAAAAATCGACCTTGTACACTTTTACTCGCATCACAGCAATAAGATGAAATCTGGCATAATTGGAGGTTTTTATTTAGGGGTTCTTAGGATCTGAAACCCAGAATCTCTATCTGACAAAGAGAAATACATTGAAGATATTTATAAAATTTCCACTACTCTCATTATTTCATATATAGTGCCAAGCAAAAAGGATACAAAGTCAAGAGAAACAAAAAAAAAAAAGTATAAACACAAAAATTAGACACATTAAACTCCATAACTAATAAATTTAAGAAGAATTTAGCTAATCTCAACATAACAATTATCACAAACAGTACCAAAACAATAAAATAATTTAATCGATGTAACTTTACATCAGCAGCAGGAGTCTACCAAATAGAATGTTGACAATGGCTCCAAAAATACATCAGCAAATCAGCCTGGAATTTCAAGAAAAGAATATACAAACATAAAAGGTCATTGAAATTAATCAACGCAGTTGGTGCATTTATGTGCTAATGATACCTTTATCATCAAAATTTTGACCTAGAAAGTGCCACTTTTTTAAAAGCTGAAGATAATTTACTCAAACAGAGCTGCATTGAAAGTGTCATGATCTACAAATCCCCTACAGTAAATAGACAACTAAGATTCCAGTTTTTACTAAACTGGTGGAGAAACAATGTGAGATTGAAAAAAATCAAATGAAGGTGTTGACATGATTTTTTTTTTTTAAATTAGATTTTACATGATATAGTTAAAATAATTTTAAAAAAAAAAGAAAAAGTTCAGCCTTCAAATGACTAATATAAATCACATTGTCTCACCAATCTAGATTTAGTTGAAATAAAATCAGTTGTTCTGATGATGCTGTTTGAGCAGCAAAATGTCAGACTTTTCCAAATTCTTATATTTACCACACGCACACACACACACACACACACACACACACGTGTGAGTGTGTGTGTGTATATATATATATATATATATACTGACAGACTGTTTCATCAGTGTGGCTAGACATCTGATTGCTTCAGGCTGGGATTGAAACCTGGCTGAATTGTCATCAGTCGGAGTTTTTACCCCTAAGCTATTGTTGCTCAGCAGGTGAATTTTTGTGTATGTATTTTTGAATAAACACACCAGTGACCGAGAGGGCTCAATTCATAAGAGAGCCTTGCATCATCAGCAGTAGTAGTCACTGTTTACATATTTGCACTTTCCCTCAAAAGTGCTCAACTGGATTAATTTTTTGGAGGCATATATTATCATCCACAGACACTGTTTCACCGTATCACGGCTCATCAGTTTGACTCAACACCCAGTGGCGACAATCTTTCATGCTTAAACACAATCTTCAGGCTATCTTTGATATTGAGCACTTTAACCTATAAATATGGGATAATGAAATAATTTTTTTCTATATCATGAACAGTTTCAGAGAAAATTTACTCTTTCTCATTTAACAACACTGCTAATAAGTGTATTTATTTAAAATCTTTGTACCTTGTTCCTATTTACATCTGCTATTAACTGATGTCTGTACAAGTTGTCTAATCTTATCTAAAGCCTTGTAAAGACTATTTTACTTGTAAATTTTGAGTTTGTGTGCCTTTTCACCTTATAAGGCCTTTATTTTTTATTTCAGTGTTTTGAGGGATCAGGAATGCAAACGTCAATTTGGCATTATGTTCACAGAGGTGAGAACATATAATTTTAATTTTCTTTTAATGTCTTGACCATTTTTTTTCCTCAAAATGTTTAAATTGTTTTAAAATGTAATCAATTTAAAACCTTTGCCTGTAAATCTAAATTTAACAGTATTTTTCAGATTAGATAATGTGTCAAAAGGACTTTCCTTTTTGTTTATTCTTAAGCTTTGATCATGATAACTCTTTAAGGGAAGCAATTTCACTTCATGAATCAAAGTTTAGATGAGCAGTCAGGATGGTTTGCATGTTTCTCTTGGCTACAATAAAAAAAATTCTAGTTTTTTAGTTTTATGATGAAATTTGAATAGCATGAAAAATGTCTTTTTGCAATATGACATCCATTATGAAAATGGTAAAATATTATTTCAAGATTGCATTAAAAAATCAAAGCCTTCTGAATATGAATTTGAAAAAATTTATATAGAAGTAAATTGTAAATCTGTGCAAATTTTCAGTTCACTCTTTTAACCTATGAAGCTAAAGATATTTATGCATGACTATATTTTAAATATATTCTTTTGTTTAAGAGGTTGTTTGTACTTGTTTATATTGTGCAATATCAGATGGATGTCTGGTATCCAATGTTTTTTTGTTTTTTTTTTTGTATTTTTTTAAATTTTTTTTTTATCTAACAAAAGATAAGATTGAGGATTGAATGAAGAGAAGTGAAATGGGTGTTGATGTGTCAGATGTTTATGCATTTTAATGTTATTACGCAACTTGAGAAACTATCTGAAACTTCAAATAAATTATTAAAACTCCTCCATTCTTAGCAATTCTGCTAATGCAGAAGTCAGAAGTTTGACTTTTTGCAGTCCTTTTTATCAACAAACCAAACACAGGGTATAATGATTTGTTACTACTACAGTTGTTACTTCTTGAGATATCAGATTTCAAAATACTTGAGAATTCTAAATACAACATTTACATAATATTAATAATAGAAACAGACTTCTTTTTAATTCATTATAAAGGTGTTTCTATTATTGCTTTAGTAAGAAACAATAAACCTCTGTACCAAGTTGTTTAATATTGAAGCTACTCTTAATAATTTAAGCAGTCATTTAAGTGCCAAAAATTCTTTTGAGCAAATTCTAAAAGCTGCTTGCCAGTTGGGATTCCACCACTCATTTGAATATACTTGGTTATTTATAAAGTCATTAGAAACTAATTCTTTTTTTCTGAATATTGTTGCTTTATGAAGTTTGGTGAGATTTCATTTCTTTAATTCACTAAATAAAAAAAACTATAATATATCAATTGAAAATAGTTTATAAATGGTTTATAACTCCTTTTTTCATACCTGAACATCTATGCTGTTTCTAAAAAAATCCCATTGGAAACAAGGGTTGTCTTTTTATAAAAGTTCAGTTCTCTTTGGTTGAATGTAAATAGTTTGTCTGTGAAACTGGATTCCTTAGATTTATGAAAGCAACTTGTTCAAAGATTCATTTTTCTTTTTATGCTCCAGCAGAAAAAGTAGATAGTAATTGTGAGATGCTTGTCCAATACAATTAAATTTTCATTTGATGTATCACAAAAGAATACAAATCAAAAATGTCACTTCAAAACTTTGGATTATGCACAGTGCCGTTATCTTTACAGCAACATCTATAATGTACTCCTTTCAGATTTTTTTTTTTTTTACTTTTTCTAAAAAGGCCAATTGTTTGAATTAGCTTTTCCTGGTTTATTCAGTCTGGTTGCAAAGAAGATAGCAATTAGGAAAAGGTGAGTGAAATGGAAAATATTGGTTAGGAAATTTACAAATGACTTGAGCTTTTTTTTTCCTAAAGATATTATTTTTGTCTTCAGTGTTTTTGCTTCTTTTACTAGTTCCATTGTCTTTGAAATGGTTTAGCTTTTGTTATCCATATTTAACAGAGGAACTGGATCAACCTCCTACTTGGTTGCCTGATGAATATTTCACATGGTTCTGTTCAAAAAGTTAAAAAACACAATAACAAATACAAGTAATTTCTTTGTATAAAGAAAAAGTATTAATTAAAAAATTCTTATAATTCACCTTTTATATAACTGCAAATAATCTGTTAAATAATTGGTAAACCTTCATATTGCTTCATTTTATTGAATTTTATGCAAACAAAAAGAAAAAAATTCTGGAAATTCTTTAGTTGATTCCTGAACAAAGAGCCATATTTGAGATTTTGGATTGAATTCAACTTAAGATAGCAAACCATGTGACACATAACTGTCAATGCAATTTTTGCTGCTGCATTTCTTCAAGTTTTTCAGTGTCATGTGAATACTGGCTGGTTTTCATTTTCAAATAGTCTGCTGACTTCCCAGTTTGCATTTGAAAAAAATAATTGTTTGCAACTCTAGATTGAACAGGAGATGGAAGGAAGCCTGTAGTTATTTGGTAAACTATTCTGAATTGCAAACTCAATCTAATCTCCCCCCCCACCCCCCCAAAAATCTATTTTGATTGTGATGTCAGAGGGCTGTTTTACTAAAAGTTCTTATCAGTTAATCAGTCACTTTGGAATAATTTTATTTTGCAGACCCCACTCATTCCTAATCAAATTGGGCTTAACAAATTTCAGGAAATATTGAAACATTTAACTCAGATGTTCAACCAGAAATAACATTTTTGCTTTCTTATTTGTAGAATCATGAAAATTTAGTAAATCTGATTTTCATTTTCTCAATTGTTTCTGCAAAAACTGAAAATTGATATTCAGATTCAGTGGTTTTCTCATATAGCTTTGGAAAAGCACCCAACTTTTGCATCATTATGAATTAGTGATAATTTGCTTTTAAATATCACTTGTAAAAATAATGATCCTTCTCCCTTTCATGTGTTAATTTTGATGTAAAGCATTTAAATGGGATCAATCCCAAACTAAATGTTTTACCGCCAATTATAGTCTTATAAAGTTCTGGAAAAGAATACCTTGAGTTATCCACAGTTTTATTTCTTCAAGACAATGTAAAGCACTTTGTCCTGCAGTGTTATTCCCAACAAGATCTAAGTATTGAGGTCTTTCAGAAAGCAGTTTATGATCGAGAACTTGAAGATCCATGAAGCAATTATCAGAAACACAAAGGAAATGTATTTATCCTGTCTACTCCTTCTCTTTATAATCTGATATCAAAGAATTTGGTTTAAAATTTTATGATCATCAGTCATAAACTACTAGGGTAAAAATGCTTTTGAATTTATTTATTTTTTATTTTTTTCAATGTAATGACACCTTTTTGTTCATTTTATGAATATTTTTTATGGTAATTTAGATAAAGTGCTACAGATGAAGGTCAAAAGAACCATATGAGATTACAGAGCCTTGGAGGCTTAACCCTGTTCTAGAAATTCATTTCCAATTTGTTTTTTTATTTATGCATATTTAGTAAAACTACTGACAAGTAAATGTGTGTTTTTGTTTAACACAATTAGAAAAAGTAATTTGGTGAAATGAAACCAGATGAATAAGTTAAGATTTGGAGTGAACATTCTTGTATTGCAACTTTAAAAAAATGTTTGAATAATATTCAAGTATGTCAGCATCTCGAGAAAGCTGAAAATGTTTAAGATTAAGAGATGATTAACTTGAAGCATTATTAAGGAAACATTTGCAGACAAAATGCCCAGTCAGTTACATAAATTGATTTTGTGTTGGATTTCCCCTAAATATGTTTAAATATTTTTTTAATTTGATGTTAACATTTCTATAATTTTCCCCAATTGTAGTATTGTTATTACATCCTCTGTGGTTTAAACTGGTGTTTGACAAGCTACAGTAGTCACTTTGCAGTGGGTCACATCAGCTGTTTTAGGCCAGTACCCCAAAGTCACACTCTATTTTTCACTCAGTCAAAAATCATCTTTTTTTCTTGTAATAATGACATAAAACATGGGGTCTGTATCAACAAAATTTTATTATCCTCAGCAGGGAAATGTTTTTTTTTTTTTTTTTTCTTTTCTCTTTTTTCTTTTCTCTTTTTCTTTTTTCTCTTTCTTTTTTCTCTTTTTCTTTTTTCTCTTTTTCTTTTTTCTCTTTTTTCTTTTTTCTTTTTTTTTTTCTCTTTTTTTCTTTTTTCTCTTTTTTCTTTTTCTCTTTTTCTTTTTTCTCTTTTTTTTTTTCTCTTTTTTTTTCTCTTTTTCTTTTTTCTTTTCTTTTTCTTTTTCTTTTCTTTTTCTTTTCTTTTTTCTCTTTTCTTTTTCTCTTTTCTTTTTTCTCTTTTCTTTTCTCTTTTCTTTTTTCTCTTTTCTTTTTTCTCTTTTCTTTTTTCTCTTTTTTCTCTTTTCTTTTTCTCTTTTTTTTCTCTTTTCTTTTTTCTCTTTTCTTTTTCTTTTCTTTTTTTCTTTTTTTCTTTTTCTTTTTCTTTTTTTTTTCTTTTTCTTTTTTTCTCTTTTCTTTTTCTCTTTTTCTTTTTTCTTTTCTTTTTTCTCTTTTCTTTTTCTCTTTTCTTTTTTCTTTTTCTTTTTTCTCTTTTTTTCTTTTTTCTTTTCTTTTTCTTTTTCTTTTTTTTTTTTCTTTTTCTCTTTTCTTTTTTTTTTTTTTTTTCTTTTTTTTTTTTGGACTTGTGACCATCAACTAAGTTTGTCCTCTGTCAATGTTACACATTGACTTGCTCTTTTTTATGACAGATTTTTAGAAAATATATTTTTAAATATTTATTAAACATTTTAACCTTGTGAAAAACAATTTGCAAGGAATTATAATTTTGAATTAAGAACAATATATTTGACGTTTGTATTTTAATTAGCTTTCAAAGAATCACTTTTTTCTAACAACTGTTGATTAACAATAGCATTTCAACAATTTTTTTTTCTTTTTAGCTATGCGAATTACACTGACACTAGTTTCTTTCAACTGATTCATGTTGACTTGAATAAAACAATGAGATGGTGGAAAAACCAGAAAATCTCTCAAACCACTCCTTTACCATTGGCAGGGGTTGGGGGATAAAATCAATTTTGATTTAGTAATTCTCTTTCTAAATGTTATTGTTCTTCAGCAATTTAATTTTTTGCTAATGGCTTTTCCAGGTTGATCTCTGACGTTTTCTTTGTGCTTTGAAAATATCAGAATATTCAGATTGAAAATCTCTTGATGCTTCACTGAAGCATTTCGTTTATGACAGTCATTCATATTTATAACAGTTTTCTTTGTTCTATATTTGTTCATCATGGTTTATACTTGCAACTTTTTTTTTTCTTTTTTTTTTTTCTTTTTTTTAAACTTTAATTTCCTGCTTCACTTTCATGATTATGATCATAACCTCTAGATTATTTCTGATACTTTCATATCATTGCTAATTCACAGTTGCATTTATTCTAAAGATTATTTTTACTATAATTTCAAATGTATGCAAAATTGAAACTTGGTAGTATCTCTGCTCAGCCTCTTAATTTGTCTACTTGCAAATCCTTGAAAGCAGTGTTTTAATGATCCATCATAATGAAACATTTTACACTTGCACAGTCTTTCAGATATCTTGCTGAAATCTCCATTATTGAAAGACTTTCAAAATACAAAAAGATGTTTGAATAATTGCTAAATCATATAAGCATTGTGAAAAACCTTCAGACAATATTGAACTGAAATGAGTTTTGTTTTTAATAACCCAAAATGACAATGTCATCAGTACTAATCCTTTACTTGTGTCAAATCTTATGAATGCAATGATGAGGAAATCTTAGCAATCATGTGAAAATATCAAAGATTTAAATGTTTGTGAATCTCTGTATATGCATATCTTTAATGCTGACTGAATTTTTAATTCCTGCTTTGTCAGAGTTGAGAATTTTTTTTTTTTAACTTGGCTCACTTGGTTGTAGAATGATATTTTTAAACATTTTAAAGATTTTTAAAACTTGTTTGTAGAATGACCATTTTTAAACTTGGTGCTTAACCAGCAATCATTTTTCTTATGATTTTATTCTGCATTGATAGGTTTTCCTTGGAAAGGAATGTATAATTTTTTAGTTATGTGTAGGTACCTCCAAAGAAATGCAATACCTAATATTTAAAATGAATTTTTAAAAATGAAGTCTTTTTTTGAAGGCTTTATTTTAGTTTCAATTTTAAGCTAATAGATTAAATTTAATATTTCTAATAAGCAAATTACTTTGCTCTATTTTAAAACTAATTTAAATTTTTTTTTTTTTTTTTTTTTTTAAATTGCTGATTTTAGCCATCTGTCTGCATAGTGTAATCTTTAAAAAAAAAAAAATCAGTAACTAGGGGTGGTGTCTTATTTTGCAAAAAATAAAAAATTAAATTCTCTGAGGAGTTCTGCGTACAACTAATATATACATTAAGCAGTACAAAAATGAATTTCTCAATTTCATAATGTTTAATGACAGATGTAAAAAAAAAATAAGTTTTTAGCAAGGTTTTATAAGAAAGATTTCTAAAATAATTTAATTCATTTCTGAATAAGCCCTGAAAGTTGCATTAAAATCCAATAATTATTTGATTATATTGATTATTACAAGAATTTCCAAAACACTCCAAAAAAGAAGGTAAAATTTCCTATACTAATCTTTGTTCCCCTGCTAATACAAGATAAATTTTTATCCAAGATTTTGAATCTTTTAAAAAGGATCAAAAATATATTTTAATAATCAAAAAATCTTTTGGTCTTTTAATAAAAACAAAGATTTTGATGTTAAAACTTTGTTTTTATATATTGGGCATATTTTTCTTCATGTATGCTTATTTGTTTTTTAGCAAATCTGTGGATGTTGGTTGATATATTAGTGAACTTCTCTGATTTTTTTTTCTTTATTAATTTTAAATCTTTTCAATTGAGCAACTAAAAAAGGTTGCTACTTTTAAAAAGGGCACAAAGAAGAAATAACTGAAAACAAAATTTGAGAAAATAATGTCCTTTGTTATCAGTAACTTCTTGATATTACAAGTTGTTGATTTTAAATATCTCCTTCATAAAGTTTTTTAAGAGATTTTTTAAAATGCTTAGTTATCCTTAATTTTCTCTCAACTAATTCTGTATGGTTAGTTTCTGAAGTTGATTTTGATCACCATTCATTGAGGTTTTTGATATTCAATTTTTTTTAATTTTGGGAAATTTATATTTATAAAATAGAATTCAATGTTTGTGCTGATGGTTTTTATTGCCACTTTCTGTTTCTCTTATATTGGGTGTGTGTGTGGTAATTGATTCAACTTGTCAATTTCTGCTGAGTGTCTCAGTTTGTTTATTGTAAGCAAACACTTCTCTTCTACAATCCTGTATTTTTGCACTAATCAGCCTCCTCCTACTGCTAAAATAACAAATGAAATGTATCTAGAACTATATGGAGCTGAGGACAATTTGCTTCTTTTTTTTTTTTTTTTTTCTTTTTCTTTTTTTTTTTCTTCTTTTTCTTTTTTTTTTTCTTAATGATTTATATTTTTTGTTTGAATTTAAGACTATCAGAATATTTCTATTCTGTAAAAGCTTAAATGAGTGACAGTTTTTCTCTTTAAAAAAAATGTAAATATCTATATCTGTGTTTTTGTTAAATTGCCCATCAAATGATAAATATCAAGCAAATTGCATATTTTTAACTAATTAAATAAATTATCAAACTTTTCACTTTTGTGTCTTGAATAGAAGAAAAAATGTCATTTTCTAATTTTTGTTAGTCTAAAACGAACTTACTGGCTGAAACATTTATATTAAGTCATAACATTAAATGCAATTTAAACCATAATTATTTTTTTTTTTCTCTCTCTTCTCCAAAAGTTTCCCTTCATTTGGCCATTGAAACAATCTGTTTTAATATCTGGTGCTATAAACTCTGTTTTGCACAGGTGTGTAATGATTGAGCAATAATCAGTGGTCACGATTAAAAGAGGTTCAGATTGCATAAGCCAAGCAATCCATGAAATGTAAGAAAGACGGGGAGGGGAGGACAAAAACATTGTATTACTTTCGATTACATTTTTTTTTTTTTTTTTTTTTTTTTTTTTTAAGTTGGATTTTTCTTAAGGTGCGTAATAACTGTATTGTTGATTGTATCTTCACGTTTCTGTCTCCCTTTCCCCTCTGCTCCTCACTCATCTGCTGATGGGGGACCATGAAGCCTAACCATTATCTGTGCCCTGCTATATTCACAGAAATACTCTCAGCTGATGGAAGACTTTTTACAAGATGACCATGATCATGAGGTGTCAGTTGTGTCCTTATCTGTACAAATCTTTACAGTGACCAGTCTGGTAGGTTGAACACACAAGCACAAAGGTCGCAGTATTTGTCTGTTACTCCTTATAATCAACCATAGTCATCCATTTTTACAACAGCCAAAATAGTCAAGCTAACCATTGGCAGCCACATGCACATATATATTTTTCTTAAGCAGAAACACCTAAACATGAAAGGTTTTTCAGAGTTTTATTTTAATCTAATTTTTATAACTTGGTCTTTGATGTAGATGTGTCGCTCAAATGTTTTGCTCTTTGACATTTGATTATTAATCATTCCGTTACTTGTGTCCCTTCAGACACACAGAAATGTCATTACCATAAATCCCAAGATATTTTTCAACATAACCTTTCTTCATTACTGTTTTAGTACTCATGCTCTGCAATTATTTTAATTTGCTTATAAAATTAAAATTAGCAGATGTTCTAAAATGATTTATTGTATAATTCTTGATAATTAACCACATTTGGTGCAAAAGGCATAAATCAAATTAATGATTGAAATTTAGTATTGATTTCTTTATTTCATATATAATAAAAATAAAATACAAGTTGATATTTTTAAATATTTGTAATATGAGGCCAAATAAAGTTTTAACCAATTCATTTTTCTACCAGCTTTTTATATTTATGAATTACTGAAAGGAAATCAGCTGGAATGCATTGTTTATTTACTGTAATTTATGGTTACTTTCTTTGCTTATTGTGCTAAAGAATATGTTATAATAAATAATGTTAAGATTTTATTGAAAATTCTGCTCAACACAAACCATTAGTTCCTGGGTTATTAAGGTAACAGTATGAGAAACAGTCTCAGTATTTAAATTTTATTTTTGTGCAGCAAAAATACTTTAGATGTAAACCTAGAGAATATTTGTGGAAAGGCATCAATGGAGCCTATTTTTCTCAAAAGGCCATGAAGATTAGAAATGGTTAGTTCTCAGTTTTATGAAATGTGGTTGTCACAAATCTATAATTTTTATTACTTTTAGCAGAGATTATAGAAAAATGCTACCACAATTTTTTTCTTTTTTTATACAGACTGAATAGACATTGACTACAAAAAATACTTTCATTTGTTGTACTTTGGTCTTGCCTCCACCTGTTAGAATAGAAATCTTCATTGCCAAAGTCAATAAATAAAATTTAGTTGAAGATGGACAGACATGATTATTGCAAAATAATCTTATTTTAAATGAAATTACTTTTGCTGTCTGGAAATTGTTGAGTATGCTGTATTTCTAAGAGTTTTTTCTCCATGAATTATATTAAAAAGCAATTTCAGACTTGATTGTTTCTCTGAGTATGTCCAGATTGGGCGTGTTTTTTTTTTTTTTTAGTTTCTTTTCCAGAGGATCCTAAGAAATTTCCTATTCTTTAGATTTTAAGCTTCCTTCTTTTTATTCAGTTATTCTTTTTAAAATACTATTTCATATATATATATATATATATATATATATATATATATATATATAATATTTTGTATGTTTCTCATGTTTTCTCCATTTCATTTGTCTTTTATTCCTTAATTGTTTCTCTCTTTTTGTTGGATATTTGACATTATTTCTGGAAAAAATTAAGTCAGTCAGCTATAATATTTTCTTTTTAGTTTTGATTCTGTTTGTTTTAACTTAGAGTATTCTCATCTTAACCACCAGTGGAGTCATTTCTTGGAATTTTTTAAAATTTCATTATCTTCCATCTTTATTTGACTGAATAGAAAACTTGAATTCTTAGTCTGCATATTTAACTGTTTAACTGGCACTGAAAAAAAAAAAACCCCAAAAACTGCTCTATTTTCTATGTCAGAATTTTTAACCATTTCCCTAAATGGTTTCTGTTATTTAGTTTAACTTTCATTGAATTCTTTTTAAACTTTATTTTAGAACCACATTTAAAGGGTTCAACAGTTAAAAAAAATCTTTTCAAAGAGGTCTGTCATATTTAATCTAAAACTTTATCATCTTTGAAGGCTGAGCAGGCAAAATTGTGTAAAATAAAGCTTAACTAATTGTATAAAATTAAGTCTTTACAAGATAAAATTATTTTAAATACATGCTGTTGTAGGACTTTTTAAAAACTCTCTGAAACAAGGTCACCATTTGACTTGAGTCTTGACAAGATTTGTTTTTATGGAAATTAGTAAAACTTTAAAATGATATTAGTTTCACTATTTTAAAATTTTTTCCCAATAATCTATAGAAATGGTTTGTTCTTGGTAATAAACTTTATAATTAATATCATTTTGCTGGATTGATTTTTAAAATCTTTTCCTAAAACAACTCTCTGCTAAACTGCTATATTTTCAGAGAATTGTTTTAATTGGAAAAATTTCATTGGAAGTTTCAGAAGTTGATCAAAATGTGTAAATTATTACTGTGTGAGTGTAGTAGTAAGAATGAAGATAATCTGGAATTTTTTTGTTTTCTCTCTACTGATTGGTTCTATTTCTGAGAAATTCTCAATTAAATCTTTGTGCACTGACTTTGCTTGATACAGGTAGTCTGCAGATATGTAATTTTAGAGTTGATTCATTCCTTACAGATTGTAATAATTTTAACATGGATTCTAAATAGCTTCTGTGAAAGAGAGAGAGAGAGAGAAACAGGTTTGCAAAGGACAGCTGACCAGGCTTTCATGAGTTCTCTATATTTCCAAAAATTTAGTCAGCTTCATATCAGATTTATTTCATTTTCCCTGATGCTGAGAAGCTTTAATTTGAAAACCTAAATTAAAGGTTTCATTTGCCTAGTGAGAATTAATTTTATAAATTAGAGAATTATTAGTCTTTCTTTCTGTGTATCTCTCTAAAATTGAGAATTTTTTTTTTTTTTTTTAATTATTTCATTGAAGAAGAAAAGTAATACTTGATACACATTTTATTTAATGTGTTGCTCACAGGACAGATTGAATTTGAAAGGAATATATACAAATTTGCCTAAACTTAAAGGAGTATGTAACGGTATTGGTAGGTTGCACCACCATACCTCGATGTCATGGAAATACCCAAACCTATATCAACTGTGCTTTGATATCAGATGACTATAAGCAAGGTGGCAGCATGCATTATCAGTATTTGAACAGAGCATGAGTGGGTGTCAAATGGATGGAATATTGCATTTCTTTAAATTGTGGGGACACTTGATAGGTTATAGACCCCAGTTGTCAACAATGCACTGTGTCAGCTGGTGGTGGCTCCATAATGTAGTTGAAGTGTTCACTCGGTTACATTTGTTAATCCACCTAAACATATCAGTGTTCACTGGCATTTCCCTGCTTTGTAACAATTTGTGACTATTAATGGGCTTGTGTACCCCAACAACAATGGATTATTCCAGCAGTCATTAGGCTTAAGTTGCTTAGAATTGATTTGAGATGAATCTTGGAGACTTATGAGGATGTCTGTTTGCACACATGATGCACCTACAAATATCAGAACTGTAGACAGCTACTGAGATGGCATGGTTCAACATCTCTCCAGAGGTCTTTGTGGAATCAATGACATGTTTTAGTTGTTACTGTTAATTAGATGAAGTCCTTCATCATAGAAAGTACCTATCCCGGTGTTTTTGACATGTCAGTATATCTATGACTTATTTGACTAAAATGATGTTATGGAAATACATTATTTCAAGTATAAAGAATTCCAATTCAAAACTCTCCAATGTCACTGCCTTCATTTCTGATCCACACTGTTTAACTGTTGTAGAATGGTGATTTGAGAGTTACAATATAAAGCCACAGAAATAAGAGGAAAGAAAAAAACTTGTCAAAAACAATGAATGACATGTTAAAATGATGAATTTTAGATTTATTTTATTTTTTGCCCTGGGTAGATATGCCAAAAATAGCTTTAGGCTTTAGAGTTCAGCCACATTAGAATTTCAAGTTACTTTTGAAGAGAAACATTATTTTTAAATACAAAGAATTAACTGATATGTCAGATGGCTTTTTAGTCTTTTTCATGCAATGAATGTCTCTGTGCCAATAATTCTCATATGGGGGACACTTATCTCCCAGGAAAATTTTTAAATTTAAGAGGAATTTTAGAAATGACAGCAATTGTAGTAGAATTGTAATCATAAGTATAATGATATTGTATAAAAAATGGCAATTCAAAATAGAAGAATGAAAAAAATCTGGTATTTCCTAGGCAGAGGAATGTGACTTGAAACTTTATGCAAAATTTTATCGCATATTTTAAATTTATCTGAAACCCAGAGTGAGGCCTAAAGGTATCAGGGAGGCTTTAGTTTCTCCACATTTGAAATTGTGTGATGAGAAGTAAAGATCCTTGTTGAAGATCTAGATAATATTAATCTTATATTGGTAATCCTTTTTCTTATTTAAGTGTGTATGTGTTATGAAGGCAACCTAGTTTTAAATAATTTTTTTTAATTCCTAATCTGTTTTTGTTATTGATTTATTCAGCTCCCATTTCCTCTATCTACCTCCTTCTTTTGATTTTTGTTTATTTTCTCATGTTGAATTTAAAATTAGTAGTTTTAAAATTTATTTATAATCAGCTGAAACCAGGCTCATTGATCTTAAAGACAGGGATTTAATATTTTAGTATTACAATCTTATATTGGAACTAATATATCTGCAAGGCCTATCATTAAAATCAGTTTGAATATAATTTAAACAATTTAAAAAAAAAAAACAACTTAGCACTTCCAACAAACTCCTGAACTAAATGACAAGTATCAATGGCTAGGGCCTTGATTGTATGTTTAATATATATATATATATATATATATATATATATATATATATATATATATATATATACACACACACACACACACACACACTTTCAATAACAACAAGTAAAAACTGAATGCCTTAAATATGAAAGAAAGAAAAAAACATTTGTTGGCTGACACTCCATCTTGACATTTTTGGCTGTTAAATGTTTTGTGTTGATCTGATTATATGGATGCAGACAATACTAACACCTCTACATTTTATATTTTGTTATTTTGTTTTTCTTTCTAGCATTATGCTGAACTTATGCAAGACTTTATCAAAGATGATCATTTACGCTCGGTGTCCATTATGTCTGTATCTCTTCAAATTTTCACTGCTGCCACAGTGGTAGGTGCTTTTAGCTATGCACATTCTGCAGTTGTTATTTACTGCAATGATCATTCCTCTTGGAGAATACATTACTGCTTACATTAGTAATACCTTGACAGTAAATTATATATTATTCCTCACCATTCATATGACTCTTAAGTTTCATGTAAAATGCTGTGTTGAGCACCTGAAGATAGCATTTTACATGTAATTTGTGCACATAATACACATACACATTTTATATATATATATATATATATATATATATATATATATATATACACACACACACACACAGAATTATGGTGTAATTTAGATCTTAAATTTTTAAGCATGTTTGTTTGGCTGAAATGAGGCTACCTTGCCTGGTTTTTATTATTACTTGGTAAAATTTTATTCTGTAATTCACTTTGAGTTAACTCAAGATAATTAAGAAAACAAATTGGCAAAACAACATAGGAAAGCCACTGCTGTTTAGCTGTCTTACTTGTATGTAGCTGTTTTTATTTTTTGTTTTATTAATATCCCAAGTATTGATTTTGTGTACACAATGTAATTTAGCAATCAATTGAAAGGGATTGCATATGCATGTGCTCTTCACTCCCAGATTATTTAGTTGGTAATGAGATGCCACTGTGGGGGAAACTTGTTGCATTCAAAATGACCAAGTGAGTAAATTCTTCATGTGCAGGGTTTTTATTAATATCAAAAGGTTGGATGTTTTCCGTTTGCTCGTTAAATATTTCATGCTTCTTAGTTTCTTTATAATACATTTTAATGTTTAAAAACAAAACATGATCTGGCCATTGTATTTACACAATGTTGCAAAAGTTGAAAATTCAAGCTGCTTGCGCTTTTAGTCAATGTCACTTTTAAACACATTTTGTCTGCTAAAACATGAATTACTAAAAATTTGCTAAGAAAATGGTACTTTTATTACAAGCAAGCTGATATTCAGAAAATTAATTTTTCTTTTTTATTTGTTCAAACTTTACTAATTATATAATTATCAAAATATAACTATTTTAAGAATTAGGTAATGTTGATTGGTACTTTGATATCTATTCAAATTCTTTTATAAATGATATCAGCTTTATGAAGTTTATATTCATTTATAAGCAACTAGTGAGGATACTTGGTATTGCTTGGAAGAAATAACTTGTTCTTAGGTTTCATTGCTATGTTGAAATTTAGTAACATAAATTATGTACAAAATTTTAAACAGAAAATAATTATAGCATGGACTTTTCACTATTTATTAAAGTAAATATATTGTTTGTGTATTTTATCAAATTAACACCAGTAATTATTTTTCTTTAAATCAGAAAATAATTACTTCATTTAAAATAATTTATTTGGTTTCATATTGCTTTTTAAAAAGGTATTTTACGCTTAATTTGTTTTTTGTCAATAAAGTAAAAAATTAAAGACTGTTTGATTCAATGAAAAAATATTGTTAATTCAAATATATAAAGTTGTAAACCATCTTTCATGTCCTGTCTACAATAGAAAAAGTTTTATATAATATAAAAATATAAATATTTTTGGAAAACTAAAATTTAATAAAATTTTTATTAATAATAAAAAATAATAAATAGAATATTTTTGAAAGAATATTTAATTTTTAGAAAATTAAATAGTTTAGTAAAATTTTTATGATCCCTCACCCCAGCAAAACAATTGTGTATATTTAGAATATTTTTTTTGCTTTTGCATTCATTTTTAAAATTTAATATCTAAACTTTTAAAAAAATATTAATTTTAATAAAATGATAAAAGAGAATTAAAAATTTCCCAATTAAAAATATTGAAAAAGATGGCTTATATGTTTGTGGAATATCTGATTGTATTAAAGCTACTGAAAATTCTCTCTCCCCCCCCCCCCAATATCTACAGGTATTTATTCTGTTGTTTTACAACTTTTGTTTTGAATATCTGAATAAATATTAAACTTTTTCAAATAATTCTTTTAAATTTACTTTGTTGTTTTAATATTCATGTTTTTAAAGTTACACTTTTATTTACTATAGATATGGAAATAAATTCAAGAGAATAGAAATTTTAAAAATATATATAGCATTCTGAAATTATTTTATTAAATTAAAAAGTAAAAACAAATGGGAATAATAATTATTCCATTTGTTTTTACTCTTTAATTTTGAGAATTTTGAAACACCTTAAAATGCAGTCTAATGAAATTTACATATTTTTAATTTTAAAATATCTTTGTAAATACAAATCATACAATGGTAAATTTATTTATTTTTATTTATTTATTTATTTTTTTTTTTTTTTGCAAAAAGGTGGGTTGGGTGATACTGAGTCTGTATATATATTTTGTTGTTAATTATTGTAGCTTTTAGTTTTAACTGGACAGACACACAACTGCCCTTTGTATAGATGTTTTTAATGTATATCAAAGCTTTTTTCCATTTTCAATTATCTCCCATGATGATGCTTTATATGTCTATTATGAAGAACATTCCTAATTTGAGATCATCAAGATACATTAAATCTTTTAATTATGGAAAGTATGATACTCGAGAACTGATTTAAATACTGAATAGGAATATTAAAAAAAAATGTCATTGATTTAATTCTGCTTTTGTGTTAAAATGGTATTCTTGATCTAAATTTTGATGTTGTAAATAGGTATTTTTAATTAGAAAAAATTTAAAATAAAAAGTTATAAAATTTTGAGTTTTGCTGCTTAATTCTGTCCTATTTCATTGCAGGCTCGTTACTTGATTACAGATCACAATCTCCTGGGTGTTATCTTACAAACTTTCCTCAAACAGTGTGAAAGTAAAAAGAACAGTAAGTGTTACAAGTCTGTAGGGTTGATCAGGCTTGGTCTTTTTATTTTTTCACATAGTTACTTGCATCAGATTTTAATGATGTAACAATGAGTAAAAGTATTTGCATCATGTCTCCTCATGTTTCACAAATAGTTCTAATTTTTATGAAGTTAATGATTTGTTTTTGTTTTTTTGTTTTGTTTACTGTCTCACTTTGGCTGTCTTACCTGTCGATGTCCGGTCTAAATGAAAAGGGTCCATGCCTCATACTGATTTATTCTTTTATTCAGGAAATACACCATGAAAACTAAAAAGAAATAACAAATATATCTCTCAAAAAGGGGGAAATAGATAAATAAAATGAATTTCAAAGAAGCACATAAACAAGGAAAACACTTTTTTCTCTTAATGCATTGGTGTCTTAGGAAAGAGAATTTCGAACTCATTAGTAGGGAACAGTTAATTTACATATTGCCTTTTTGACCAACCAGCCGTAGCTAAAAAATGTGTGTTGCCATGAGGGCCAGCAGTAACTGAAGAAAACATGGTGGTCATGTAACAGGCTCATAGAAATTACTGTTAAAAACATGTATGTATATATGTAATAAATGTCTATTTTTATGGAACATTAAAAATTTTCATAACTTTAACCTTCTTACTACTGCTACCATGCTACTACCAAATAGTAAAGTCTCTAAGCCTGGTAGCACATATACAGGCCCCTTTGATGACTGTTACCACCCCCACTTCGTTTCTCAAATTCTTTTGATCAGGTGCAGTAAAATTGACAAGTTATATGTGTCAAGATTAAATTTATTACTCCCAATTTGATATTCTCATAAATTGTACAAAAAAAAATTACACAACAGAAATATAATGATGATAATAAACTGAAATATTTTCATTACAGGTGATTTGTTTTCTCCATTATTTGAAAGTTTAACTAAATTTCAAATGCCTCTATATTTAGTTACTATTAAATCTAATGTTATAGAAAATAATTGTTTGGTTTTCATCTACAGTTATAGAAAAAAGAATAAAAAAAGGGGAAATAGATAACTAAAAAATGTTTTATTGAAAGTAATTGTAATTCTCCTACATCTCCAACCTATTTTTCTGATTGTCAATTTTCATTTTTCTTTTGCAGAAAATGGCAAATTGTCATTTGGTAGAAGTGAAACTGGTAGTGCATTCAAGAGAGCCTGGTTTATGTTATATGACCTCAAGTAAGTGACTATATTTCCTTGTTCTTGGCTTCTGCTAAAATATCTCAAAGAATCACTTTGACTTTAGTCTTTTAACAATTTCTCTTGATGAAAATAACAATATCAGAATAGTGAAGAATCTCTACCCAAAAATATTTAAAAAAAAAAAAAAGTTTGAAATGTTTTGTCTATTAATGCTTTGCTTCTAGAGAATTATAAATAATTAACTGATTTAGTTTGTATGCACTCAAAGAAGAAATCCCTTTTTGTTAATGTTTTCATTTTTTAGCAAAGTTCTGCATATAATCATAAATTCTCTAGTCAAATGACCAGAAATAGATTTATGAGTATGTAGAACTCTGCCAGTTATTCATGCATAACAGCTTTAATATTAAATCTCTTACACTTAAATGATTGGCATCATTTCTCTTTAACTTTTCAATTTCTGTGTCACTTGACCTCTAAACTTTCTTAATTAGGAGAAAATTTCACCTTTCTATCAGATATTATTGCAGTAATATTTTTATAAAACTGATTTTAAGTTGAAAAGAAAATATTTAAAGAAATTTCAGTCCTTCAAAAGTATAAAAAAAATTTTGTATAAGGCAACAAATTCCTTTTCAAGGGATTTTTTTTCTTCAAAAACAACAGAAATAAATTTACTGAAATTTTTTATTAAATTGATAGTGAATTGACCAAGATGTCTTTGTTGTTCCTAAGTTATGACCTGCCTTTAAGTTTCAAATAGATGAATTGGGAAAATTTTGTTTTTATAGAAAAATCCACCCAGGTCATCCTTGTTCCTCTCACCCTTTCTATTAAATATTCAAAGGAAATGATTTTTTTCTAGAATGCTCACTGCGAAAATTATGGGGTGAGGAAATTTCCTGAATATTTACTAAAATGGATGATTGGAAAAATTATGACCCAAGAGGATTATTCTTCAAAAAAGAATAATCATCTTGGACCTTCTTTTGGAAGCTCAAATGTAATTCATTTTTATAAAAAGGCCTAAATGTAAATGCAACCCATTTTTTTTTTTTTTTTTTTTTTTTGCTGGAGATTAAATATTTGGAAGTTTGAAAATGACAGTCATTTTTAAAGCCTTGTTAAATTCAGTCAATCCTCTGTTTTCAACAAATTCCAAGGTAAGATCCAATAAAGAATGCAATTCTCTTCTGGTTAGATTTCACTATTTGGTGTTTGGTTTCTGTCCTTAATCCAACTCTGGAGTATTTTCTCTAAATTCATAAACTCTTTTCTATTATAATTTGTATTGCTTGGAGAATGATAGGAAATTGAGCTGAAACTGTTCTTGTGTCCAGATGTTCTGTATCTCCAAATTTTTTTTTTTTTTTTTTTTGGCTTTACAAGTCAATGAAACTTTTTCCTTTCACTCTCAGGTATACTTTATTTTGCAAACCGAGCCCAGAAGAATGGACTGAAAAACTCAGGAAAAGTTTTCGAAATGGTTTCGATGCATTACTTGATTTGTTAAAAAGCATGCAAGTAAGTTGTCTTTGTTTATTTTTTTTTTTTTGCTTTGCTCCATTAAAAATTTACTTATTTTCTTAATGCCTTAATGCTATTGAAAAAGAAAATCAAAAGTTGATGCTATTTTCATTCAAGTATTTCCTTGCATTCTTTTGTAATATGAGAAGTTTGTTAAAGATTTTGCTTCCCTTAATTTTAATTAATCTTTTTAGAGCTATTCACTAAGCTTGGCTTAATTTTGATACAACTGCACTTGTTACTCAGAACAAACCTTAGCTGTTAGGTTTGTTTTTTATTTTTTTGTCTCCAGTATATAAGACTTTTTTTTTTTTTTTTTTTTTTTTTTTAAGAAAAATCATGTCTTTGAGGTATGACTTACTTTGGTTGTAATCAGCATTGTATCCAGTTTTATTAGCAAAAAATGGTCAAGAACCGTTATTGTTAAATCCAATTCTCAAATTTATGGCCCAGTACTTCAAGCATGAGCCATTTTCAGAAGTTGTATCATTGAGTTGTGCTAGACAAATGTCAAAGTTGACAAACACAAAAATGAACACCTATCCTCTTACCAATTACTTATCTCGCTGAAAATATTTTATTATTTGACTTTGATTGACATTTTATTCAAATGAATTACAAAAGTCTAAAAGTATTAACCTAATAAAATATTTTACTGGTAGGGGTTATTTTTTGTTATGTTTTGGGAATTCTGAATATTTGCTTTGATATTAAAAGGAAGACATTGGTAGAATTTTACAAAAAAAATAAGTGTATGGGATGAATCTTTCAAAAATATTTGAAAAATGTTCTCTTAATACCTTTTTTTTTTTTTTTTTTTTTTTTTTTGTATATACAGGGAATGGATTCCGTAACTCGTAAAGTTGGTCAGCACTTGGAAATTGAACCTGAGTGGGAGAGTGCATTTAATCTCCAACTTCGTTTGCAAGACAACATTGCACTGTTTCTTGATTGGTGTGCAAGTGATGTAAGTTTTTTGTTGGGTCAAAAAAAAAAAAAAATTTCTTTTTTTGTAAAATGATCAACACTTTTGAACTAACACATAACTATTGTTATCAATTAGATTTGTAGTTATTTCTCTTACTAACTCACTCACTTACACACACTTTTCATTACTTACTATAATTAGTGTTAAAACAGGATCTTGCTCAATCAATAGTGACAGAACTTTATCAAACAACAGAAAAATGTTCGCTGAGAAGAAATTTCAAAAACTTAAATACACTCAATTCTCTTTTTAGCATGGGAGATATGTTCCAGAGGTTACTAAATAAAATAAAACTGTAAAAAAAAAAAAAATATATATATATATATATATATATATATATATATGCATACATACAGTGTACATATGAAAATTAGAGATAGGTTTCATCCAAACATATTTAATAAAAAAAAATATTGATTTTTATATACAAATAAATTGAACTTTTGTTTATACATACATATTATATATATATATATATATATATATATATATATATATATATATATATATATAGAAAAATAATCATTCAGACTCACTGCTAGACAGTAAATGTGCCAACTTTCTGCTGTTTTTTGGTAGTGCAAAATCACTCTTGTCACTGGAAATATTTAATGGCGATATATCTTCATGTGTATCTTGAATAAAATTAACATCTCGTGTTTCCTTTGTTTCACTGGTTTTGAACACAAATTCGGTTTTCAGATGCTGTGATTTTGTTTTTGTTAGTTCTTTATATGATTCTTCATAACATGCCATAATCATTTTCAAATCATGTCGGAATTGTACAGCTCGTTCAACATTGTTATCATTTGTAAGAAAATGATTTCCAAATTTATTGACTATTTGGAGGCTTTCTAGAATTGTACTTGGAAATAATGGAACCACTTCTTCATCATCTTACTTATTATAAAACGCAGATTGTGTGTGTGTGTCTGTACGTTTATATATTGGATCGGATTTCCTACATTTTTCAACCGATTTCAACAAAACTTCACAGGACTGAGTAAAATTACCTTGCAGTGGTTCTGACAGCACCAAAAATTGGAAAAACAATTGTTTTTGCACGAAATCAATTTGAAAACATGATAAAACCTGATTCTGTCACCAGAATGAAAGGGGGACAACTCATATCGAGTTATACTTGTTATAAAAACCCAGGTTGTGTGTGTGTGTTCGTTCGTTTATATATGGGATCGGATTTCCTACATTTTTTAACCGATTTCAATAAAACTTCACTTTTTATTGGCAGGTAGTGTTTCTTATTGTCTTGCACACTTTTTTCTTTATTTTTACATTCAGAATGCTTTAAAAATTCCATTTACAAGACAATTGTTTATAATAAAATTCTATTCAATCGATAGACTCATAACGAATGAAAAAAATGTTTTTGTTTGAGTTTGGGTTTGACCAATTTGTAAAAAAAAAACAAAACTAATTAAGACATGTGTGTCCATCAACCTTAAACAATAATCTTTGTCAATTTTATTTTTTAGTCTTTATGATGATCGATACTTGATCTATCTCTTACTGTTACATCCCCGGGCAACGCCGGGCTCTTCTGCTAGTCTCTACTATAAACTAATGTGGAATCATATACATTCTCTGAATACTGTGTTTGTACAGTGCATATATCCTGCCCACAATGGAGTGGGAGATTGCTATATGGAAAAAAGATTGGATTCTATTTTACTTTACTAAATTGCTACTTAATCATGTTACATAGTTTTATCATTTTGTAAATTATAATTGATTGATGTTACTTAATTGCTTACTTGCCACTTGCAATAAATTCAGTGGTCACACAAGGACAGATGTTTAAACTGTGTAAAAGTAAAAAAAAGATAGTACAAAAAAATAATTGGTTCTTTTTGTTGGACTGTGTTATTTCAAAATCATGCAAAAAGAGAATTTAGTGTATTGCTTAATGGTTAAATCCACTTTGGCAGGAAGGGAAATAAGTTACTGCTACTGATTAAAACACACCCATTAAACTGAGGAGTAGGAGTCTAATTTTTAGCCAAGGATGGAGAGTTCAATCCTATGTAGGAACACAAGAGTCAGCATAGTTAACAGTTCTCCCATTTTTCACTTTTACATTGTAATGAGTTGGTCGGTCAACTTGAAACCCCCAAAGTGAGTGGAGGTGGGCAGGCGCGGGAACTATGATTGGTAGCTGGCTTGCTGGTGTTTTGCATAGGTGAGTTACCAAGCTCTATGTAAAGGGCTGGAAGGAGAGGAGTTTCTCAGTCTCAGAAGTGGAGACTGCGTCCATCGCTATGACAGCAGGAGAGAGAGACGAAATCATTTTTTTTTTTCGTGACACATTCCAACACATACATGTAGACTATAGTGGCAGCTTATTTATCACATGTTTTAATGTACATTTTTTTTTTTTCTTTTTTTTTTTTTAAAAAGAAGAGATTCTTGGTTCACATATATGATCCAGAATCTTTTTTGGAGACACCTCTCTTAGTCAGGCAATCTGCAACTTTGGTTGAACCAGAAATCCATTCAAGTTTATGTATTACCTATTAGTAATTCTTTTGAAGTATGTCACAGATTTTAAGCATAAGCTATAAGATGTTGGAAGTTATATTTTATTCTGAACTCTTCCCTCTCTTTTATGTTAAATGTTTTATTGTTGGTTCTTGCAGCTGCAAACAGAAGAATAAAAAAAACATGACTGAATATTTGTTTATTGAGTTCAGTTTATAACATATTTTATTTGGGGTGCATACCTATTTTAGTCATCAACAGAGCTGTGAAGGGCGATAACTGGTCAGCTTCTAGAATTTTCTATTTTCAATTTACCTTTTTTTATGGTAATTATGCAAATTTATTTTTCTTTTCGGCTCTTTGTTTAATGTCCGTTTTTATTGCAATAATACATCTTTAATGCTTTGTTGAATTTGCTCAGAATAACTTATCAAGTTTGTCTTAAAAGAAATATTGTATCTTGTTGAAACAGTTGTTTGATATTTATTTCTACAATGTAAAATATATAAAACTCTTATTGTACCCAAATTATTCATCAAATTTGAACATCATTCCAAACCGCCATCACTGTCTTTTCAGAGTTGCTCTTTCTGTCAGATTTGAATACAAAACTTGACAAATTTTCATTTTGCTCTTCAATATACAAACATGCAGAATGACATTTGAAAAGACATCTTCATACATTTCTCACTTTTAGCTTTTTATTCAAATTCCTCAAGTAGAATTTGAAATTTTATAATTTTCTGTAATAATACTGAGTTGGTATAAAAGCTTGTGCATTTTGCAAACAAAATTTGATTTCTCACAAAAGCCTAGGAACAATTATTTAAAACTCACCTCCTTTTTTGATATTTACTAAGCTAGCTTTGATACAAGGTCAATCACCATTGTTATTTCTCACTTATTGATTTCTGGAATGATGACATTAGTTTTGAATTGAACAAAATCTGAAATATAGCTATTTTGTCACTTCTGCATGAAGTAGAAAAAAAAACTAATTCAAAGGTAGTAAATAGTACAAATATAGCAGAACTTCTTGACTAAAACATTTTATGAGTTACCTGTGAATAATTTTACCGACAACACATTCTGCAAGTATATGCTGTTTGAGTTTTGGCTGTGAGTCTTGTTTGGGTCAAACTTTTCCCAGAAAACAATGCTTCACATTTCCAACGAACAATTTAAAAAAAAAATTTTTTTTTTTTTTTTTTTTTTTAAACTTTGGAGTCTACAATGGTGACATCTTAGCACCATCAAATAGAACACAAACCTAGCTGGAGCAACAGTTTTGCATTCACATAATTCAAACATGCATGTGTTGAATCTATGCTTTTAGTTTATACTTAGCAATGAATGCAACACTCAGTTTCTTAATGTAGATGAATTGCAAATGTGGAATAAATGCTAATAAAGATTAACTGTGAATGTTGAATGACAATAGTCATAAAGGTTAGAGGTTGTTTATATATCCAAAACTTAAGCATCATAAATATCTAACTTTATAAACTTTAATTTTTTCAGCCACCTAACAAAAATGGCTTTTAATCTTTGTATAAATGTACAATTGCTTGTATGCATTTCTCTTTGTGGTGTTAATTGCATCAAATTGTATTTTGACAGCCCACTTTGCTGATGAATAGCTACATTGCCACACTTCATGCTCTCTATAAATGCCGAGACAAATTGGATGCACACAAGATGGAGCATTGTGAAGGTATTTATACTTTCTATACCTAACCCTTCAGTTTCAAGAATTTCTGAGTGTATGCATTAGGTTTAATAAAAGTAGATGGAGAAATAAGCTCCCTTTTCATGGATAAATAGATCTTAATCCCCTCTGCATTAAAAAAAAAAAATCTTCACATTATTTAATGGCAGAGCATTGAGATGTTAATCTATGTGTGTGTTATCATTTCTCCCCAAGCAAGGCAATAAAGCCATTAAGACGCAATGGGTTATGGAGAGAGTATGAGAAAAACTTACTATTAAGCAGTGATAACAATAAAAACAAGAATTAAAACAACATATTGATTGACATTGAATTTAAATTTTTGAAGATCAAAGTTGACTGAGAAGCAAGAAGCTGGAAGAGAGTTCCACAAGCAAGAAATACAGAAGAAGAAACTGTTAGCATAGAACTTATGGTTACATTGAGCCATTTAAATTATAGAATGAAGAAACATTGCCACCAATCTAGTACTGCACTTAAATTTATAAATTCTAGTTACCGTAGAGGAAAGTTGATCAGAACAATTATCATGAAAGTATTCATAGAAAGTAATATATAATATTTATATAATTTTTGTCTTGTCTTGAAAATTAACGACAGATATTTCAGTTTATGAATGCAATAGGGATTTAAGCAATGTTTCTGTACCTGACAAATCAAATTATTAGTTTTGATAAATGAATTTGAACAAATAATGATAGTTATATGAAGTTAAAGTAATTTTCAGTTAACATTCTGTGTGAGATCTATCTATATAAATAAATGTGAAATTGGAGTTTAATTCTCCCAGGAATTCTGGGGTTAAAAAGCTGAAACACTACAATTATAGTAATTTACGCACTAAAAGCTCAATATATGTATTATACATTATCTACTAGGCAATATCATTTTTCAGGTTTAACTAATTTGCATATTGATTTTAAAGACGTATATTTTATTAATTAACTGTCCTTCATTACTGTTCTTTTATTTGAGGATTGTTTTGATTTTCATATCAAAAATAGTTCTGTTTAGGAATATTGTCTTATATAGTGCAGAAAAGTGTTTGAAATTTGCATTTTACTTGGCCTTCAACATGTTGGCATCTATTTCTAAAACTTTCCTTAACTATAACAAGCTTGCCCCCACACCTGACAGATTAATTTCTTCTGCCTTTATAGTCATATTCTTTGAACAAATATATTGAAGGTAAACATTTATCAGTTTACATATCTAGCAGCCATAATTAGCTGCTTTTTACAGAAGTTACACTACAGTGAGGAAATCTGACAAACTACATTCTACCAAAATGGAATTTTTCAAAGTAAGTAGATCAAGTAAAAATAGCAAACAGTATTTCATACACAAACATACCCCCCCCAACCGAAAGAAAATATAAAAGTGCGTTTTTTTAATTTATTTACTTTTAAAAAGTCTTCTTAACATGAATTAGCTAATGACTAATTTGTGTACACTGCTTAAAATATCTTCTATTAAATGATTGTCCTCTTCTTTTAATTAAATATCCATTCACAATTACCAGTTAAATGTCTAATATCTATTTTTTTTTCTTCTTGATATTAATTTCCACTGGACTTCAAACGAAAACTTGTTGTTGTTTTTTGTTGTGTGTTTTCTATTGTTATATCTGTGAAAATACTTTGAAAGAACTGTAATTCAAATGACAACTTTGGTTTAAAAATATTCTAAGACCACCAAAGCTTTCACAAATCTCTGTTGTAAAAAGAGAACATACATTTATTTAATTTTTTCTTTTTAGCAAATACCTGTAGGTTTTTTTTAGTAGCAAATGTAACTAAAATAAAATATTAAAAGGTTTTAAATAATTACTGCAATATTTTATGATATCAAATTAATGTTTACTTTTTTAACAAGATACTCACAATTTTGGACATATTAAAACTTTTCAACTTTTTAAATGAAAATTGTAAACAAATTTATTTTCACTTTATATATAAATATTGTATATTTTCTATATGAAACAAACTATTAGTAAAAATTTTATTTTATTCATTTTCCATGTTTACAACTACATTATGCATAAAATGTGTATTATCTAAATAAAATAATATATATACAACACAAAAGAAGTGTACTACTGTTAATTACTCTGTTTGTTTTCTCCAATGGTGAAAACGATCAAAATTATTATTTCTGTAAATCTTCAGTGATGAAATCGTTATGAGAGCATCATGCACTGCTGAAACTCCATTACAAGACAGCAACAGGCTTGGTTTAGATTCAACAAGATATGCCAGTGTATAACATATGCTTTTGTTAATTTCTACAAAGCTGCATTCCAATACAATTGCAATACTGATTATGCAAATCATCAAAAGGTATTCCTTGGACCAATAGACATCCAGTGCCATTGCTGCAATGTCAAAATTCAAGGATGAATCTGATAATGTGTTGTAAGAAAGGAAAGATTCAACTAGCAGAACTTCCAATACCTCCTGGGTCACTCTTCTCTCTCTTGAATGGGATTTCTCAAGAATCAAGAGATTTTCTTCAGTACATTAGGGCCTACAATAATTGCTCTGCTATGACCTCATTTGGAGCAAAAGATGCAACACTTCCAGGATGGAAATCCACTTTCAGATATGAGGGTCAGGATTGGTTCCCTTCTACCATTATCTAATGAGCCACACCAATTTCTTCAAATGTACTTCACAGAGGACTACAAAACACAAGCACAGACCAGAAGAAATATGTTTGATAAACTGAAGTTTGACATTATATTGACCCTTTAAGAGTTTTTGCATGAGCACAATGTTTATGTTAGGGAGTTTAAATCAGCTATGGAAAGAGCTGGACCTGAAGATTTCAGAATTGTGAGTATAACTGACAAAATGCCATAAAATATCAGCCATGGACTTCTATGCATACAGAATTATGATAAAGAGTAACAGTTATAATTATCTCTTTGGATTCAAACAACTATTCAATCCATTCTTGATGGATATGTATGTAAAAAGGGAATCAGAAAGGTTAGTTTTTATCAAAATGAATCAAAAGAAACTAAGAGCAGAGGAATAAATTCACCTAAAGGATGCAATTCAAAATGATGGCAATTCTGTCAATGTGACACACATTTATTTTGTCTTCATCATTCACAGGTGGACCAAGGTACATGCATGAAAGACTTCAAGATGGATTGACTTATGTCAGACATTTTGGCAAACCAGATTTGTTTGTTACATTTACTACAAATCTGAATTGACCTGAGATTTTGGAAAATCTTCCTCGACAATCTGCAACAGACAGACATGATATTATTGCTAGAATTCTTAAGCTGAATGTCAACAAACTGATGGATCTCATCAATAAAGAAAAAATATTTGGACCTGTAAAATGTTACATGTATTCAATTGAGTGGCAAAAGAGGCGACTGCCACATGTACATTTACTTTTACGGTTAAGGGAGAAGATCAATCCAAATCAAATAGATTCTATCATCAGTGCAGAACTGCCAAATCCTAATGAAAATCCAGGTCTTTTTGAAATAGTAAAAAGACACATGATTCATGGACCATGTGGATATTTGAATTGCAATTTCCCCTGCATGGTTGACAACAGATGTACAAAAAGATTTCCAAGAAAATTTGTCCATCACACAAAAATGGATACAAATGCCTACACAAGTTACAGAAGAAAAAAGATTGAAAATGGAGGAGTTAGCTTCAACCTTGAAAGAAATGGGCAGAATATACTGGTAGACAATAAATGGGTTGTTCTCTATAGTTCACTTCTATGCAAAGTATTCAATGCTCACATTAATGTGGAATTTTGTAAAAGTGTCAAGTCCATAAAGTATGTGTGCAAGTACATAAATAGGGGAAGTGACCAAGCTGTGATTGCCATTAACAATCACAATGAAGTAGAAAAATTTCAGTTAGGAAGATACATTTCTGGTAATGAGGCTGCCTGGAAAATCTTTTGCGTTAACATTCACAACAGACACCTATCAGTTCAGCACTTGAGTGTTCAACTTGACAATAGACAACAGGTGTATTTTACTGAAGACAATGCTCAGGAATTGATTGAAACTCAAAAAAAAAACACTGCCCTAATGGTATATTTAACCTATGCAATGTAGATGACTTTGCCAAAACAATTCTCTATCCTGAAGTGTTTAAATATTACACCTTCAAATCTGGAAAATTCCACAGAAGAAAGCAAGGGGAAACTCATCCAACTGAACCTGCTATTAAATTTAGTGATGTACTTGGTCTGGTTTATACAGTGTATCCAAAAAATTCTGAATGCTTCTTTCTTTGACTTCATAATGTCAGGGGGTCCAAGATCATTTCAAAATTTAAAAACTGATGGAAATATTGAGACATACAGACAAGCATGCATTCAACTTACAGAAAGTAATGAGCATTGGGATCAAGAGGCAGTTTCATATCAATCACCAAAGCAAATAAGGGATCTCTTTGTTATGATTGCTACCTGTCAAATTTCAAATCTAATGAATCTGTGTGAAACACCAAGAAGCTATGAGTGAAGACATTCTTCATCATATGCAACTGGTTCATCCAGGACTAGCCATACAAATGAACCCGAGGATTGTGAACATTGCACTGTGTGAAATGGAAAATAAGGTGCTAAATGTAACATAAAAAGAACTGTCCCATTTCGGACTTCCCAAACCAAATAGAGAAATCATGAGAGAGACTGGATACAACCATGAAGCACTGATCTATCAAATACAGGCTAATATACCTCTTCTTAAAATTGACCAGAGAGTCATCTACAATGAGATTGTTAAGGATCAACAATTCTGCTGAAGGAATTTTCTTTTTGGATACTCTTGGAGGTATTGGCAAAACATTCCTAACTAATCTTCTTTTATCTTCAATTAGGGTGCAAAAAACAGTGGCTGTAGCCATGGCATCATCTGGAATAGCAGCTACTTTGCTGACTGTTGGAAGAACTGCTTAATCAACATTTAAACTGCCATTAGACTTGGTTTAAAATGTCAATCCAGTGTGCAACATAGAGATACAAAGTTAACCAAGCTACTTCAGGTGACTTGCTTCATAGTCTGGGATGAGTGCACTATGGCTCACAAGGGTACATTTGAAGTTTTAGACAGAACACTGAAAGATATCAGACATAATGATAGACTCATGGGAGGAGTAACAATTCTGTTATCTGGAGATTTCAGATAAACACTCCCTGTTGTCAAACAAGGAACAGCTGCAGATGAACTTCATGCCTGCTTGAAAAGTTTTTGTCTGTGGGATCATAATGAAAGATGCTTCTAGACCACTAATATGAGAGTGGAACTCAGTGGAGATGGGACTGCAAAGTAATTTAGTGATCTCCTTTTAAAAATTGGGAATGGCAAAATTTCACATGATCAAGATGGACAAATCAGCTTTCCTGAAGGTTTTGGCACTCTGGTTGAGAGCATTGAGGTATTCATTTTTAAAGTATGCCCCAATATAGTAGATAACTTCCAGAATACCGATTGGTTGTGTGAGAGAGCAATTTTGGCTCCCAGAAATGAAACAGTACAGATCCTCAATCAGAAGATTCTGCAAGATATCCCAACAGAAGAAAGAACAAACCTATCCAATGATACAACTGTGGATTCAGATGAAGAAGTTAACTTTCATATTGAATTTTTGAATTCTTTAGATCTCCCAGGAGTGCCATCACACAAGTTGGTATTAAAACAATGAGTAACATTAATGCTGCTAAGAAATTTTGATCCTCCAAAGTTATGTAATGGTACACATCTTATTGTGACAAAAATGTTACCTTACTTATTGGAAGCTCTTATTATAACTGGTCAAGGGAAAGAAGAGACTGTATTGATTCCAAGAGATATGCCTTTTGATTTTAAATGATTGCAATTCCCAGTCAGTAAGTTTTGCAATGACTATTAATAAATCATAAGGTCAATCAATGAAATTTACTGGACATTACTTTATGCAACCCTGCTTTTCTCATGGTCAATTATATGTTGCCTGTTCAAGAGTAGGAAATGAAAGGAATATATTTATACTTGCTCCAAAAAAAAAAAAAAAAAAATGTAGTTTATCCTGCTGCATTACAGTAAGAATTATTTAAGAAAAAACTTCATTTTGATTTCAATTTTTTCACCATTATGTTTTTCATTCATGCAAATACATGTATTTTATTTCTCTCAACACCTGTTAAATGTTATTCAGTTTCATCATGTTTCATTTGTTTAAAAATGGCTAAAATTCTATTGTTTGGTTATCTGAATAAATACAAATGTTTTCTTTCATGTTTACAACCAAATGTCCATCTAAAATTTGTTTCAAACATTTCAAGTAGTGAATATATCTTACTTTGTGAAGTGATAGTGAGCGGGCAAAGCCTGCTAGTTATAAATAAAATGAAATTCACTTTATTTTTTAGTAATAAAGTGAAAGTATGAAACCTGTATTTCAGATTCCATATTATTATTACAGGCTGTTTATGTAATGATGATTTCATAGGTAGGATCAAATAAGCAATTGTATCAAAATTTTCATTTATTATGGCAACTATTTACACTAACATAGCAAATACTAACAGAACAGAAGAAGAAACTAAAATTTAGTTGTATTTTAGAATCAACTACATTTAGTCATGCATGTAAGTATTGTTTTGAGCTCTTACTGCTGCCCACTGACTCTACTACTGCTTCTCCACTACACTGCATAGATTTTTGTTTTCTGCATTACTTCAATATTTCTAGCAAGAACAAGCAATGTATGGGGAATTTTTTTTTTTTTTTTTTTGTGTACAAATTTGTTAAAGCAAGCTTTAAAACTCTAGCTGTATGTTGTGCATTGAAAATAAAAGGATTGTCCAGAATTAAGATAAGCATGACTGAGAGAATCTTATATGTATAATTGTTTCACCATTCTCTCTGCTATTGAATTTTAATATTCTAAATGTTATTTTTTTTGTTGTTGTTGTTAGTTGCCGGTCATGTTACTGAGTGTATCAAGTATGATGTATCCAGCCAGCCAGTCAGCATTCATTTGCCTGTGATCAGACTTCTTGCCGGTAAAAATACTTTTTCTATTCAATACATTGTATACAATCAAGCAAACTTTTAAATCCATTACACTTTAAATTCAAAGCTAATGGAATTGAATCATTTACTTGGCTCATACTCTTTTAGTTCATGTGTTCTTGAAAAGAGATTTTTACTTTACTATCAATTGTTTCTAACAAATTTAATTTGGATATGGTTTGCTAAGATTGGAATAATTTTTCCAATACAAATTTTAGTTTCTTTCAAAAGGACAACTGTTTTTGCCTATACATTGTATACTAATGTGCTTTTTTTTTCTTTTGTGAAAGCATGTATTTCTGTTTGACCATAATACTCAACTATAAAAGTGTTTCATTCAGGATCTCGGCAAAAAAAAAAACAAAAACTTCATAGTGAATTTTCATGTGCTGTTTCCCTTCAGGACATAGGTGATCATGGCTCCACAATTTCCTATTCTTTGTAGCTCTTAACAATGCTTATCTTTTTAATCTCTCTCACTCTCTGTACTGACATCCATTTACACAAGTTTGTTAGGGTTGGGGTTACTTGTTGTTTTTTCTCTGTCCCTCTTGCCTTCACTATGTCCAGTGAGTGTCAAATTCTTCAAGCCCTATTTCCTCATTATTTAAATTCTGATTATAATATATATATATATATATATATATATATATATATATATATATATATATATATACTTTTCATTTCCATCTTCCTTAAAAACTTCCTTGTTGCTTACATGCTTCCTCCATGATATTCTCAGCTTTTTTCTGTACAACCACATCTGTTACCTTCACTTTATTTGCAAGGAAATTGTTCATCATGCACTGCTGTATAGGAGGATTCATATGACATAGCAGTTCAGCACTCTTTTGTTTCTAATGAAATTTTCTTGTTTCTTAATATTTAGTTTAGCTTTTGGAAAGCATCTTTTATTGTTCCATTTGCCTTCAGATTTTGGTGTCACATTTTCTGTCATCTGTTAAAACTTCTCAGATATTTAAATTTCTGTACTTGTTTGATTTTTAACATCTCCAATTGCATCATGGTCTGTTCCTCTTGCTGACAACCATACATTGTCTTCTTTATATAATTGTTGGTTGGTTCTTTCTTCTAATTTTCCTGTACTACTTGTCTAGAGGTTTTCTTTTTCTACCATCAATAGTGCCATTGGCATATCTTAAGATTGTACCCAGCAATAATAAACCCTACAAGGACTTTTTCTTGTTATATATGTTAAATAATGCATCCTTGTCTTGTTCTATCTGTGTACTTAATTAATTTTCTATCTGTATACAAGCAATTTGCTCACAGTATATGTTCTGTATTATATTAATATATTTTCCAAATCAATTGAGTTTTCCTAACAGTTCAAATAGATTTTTGTGTTATACCTTATCAAATATGTTTGCATAATATTGCAGAAACTTGGATGATAGATTAAGTTCTTTGTTTATTCTCAATATTTGTTTCTTATTCTCTTAAACATTGTGTAACTTGATTAAATTATGATAGCAAACTGTCTACCAAGTAGAGCCTAAAGAAACTTTCTAGATCAGACATTTCTAAAATAACTTCTTGTTTCATGTCATTTGTGACAATGATGGAATCTTAACCACATCAGCTGATGGGCTTCACTTTTTTTTACATTTTTAAAATTTTCTTTTTTCAATCAAAATACACAGGATGACATAATCACTAATATTGCAAGCAGTTAACAAAATCATTTGGTCACACATATTTATTTAAAAAATAATTTCAAGTTCATAATTTTTGTATTTATTCTTTTTCATGTCAACTTTTTTATAGCAATGAATGTAAATTGTTCTAATTTTTATACTTAATGTTATTAACTGTTATTGTTATTTGAAAGATAGAAAGCAACTTTCCCTCTCTTTTATTACAATTCCAAATTTATGACTTGTATAATTAGCAGCATATAAATTAAAAAATATACCATAAATGTTTTTTTTACATTTTTACGTGGTTACATTTATTCAAGAAAATTTTGTCAAAAGAAATATTTAATTGGTATATATCACTATATTTAATCTTATACGGAAAAAAAAATTCTGAATTGATTTTTTGCTTTTATTAAAATAATTAAAATGTATTTTTTTTTTTTTTTTTTTTTGTAAAAAATATTCAACCTGATAAAGTTTGAAAATTTGATTTTTGCAGGGCTCCATCTTCACCTGAAGTTCGACACATTCACTCCAGAATTAATTTCACAAGTAAGTTTTTAATTTCAACAAAGTTTATCTTTATAGTTTGCTTCTAACTACCAGAACTGCTATTTTTTTTTACCTTGAATGATACAGGATGAATAAAGGAAAAAAAAAATAATGTTCAAGTTATTTAATATGTAACCTATTTTGTGATAGTGGAGTATCTGTAAACATTTAAAAATCTTAAATTGACACACATTTATAGGAAATAAACCCTATTTCCAACACAATTACATACTCACATATATATCATTAAAACACACTCACTTTATTTCTACCCAATAGCAGACAATATTACAAACATGCTAAAAAGGTTCCACGATACAATACACACTGTTTAAATCAGTGTCTATTGGTTGCAAATCAAGATTCCCATGTGAAATATTGATCAATCAAAGAAAACTAAAACCTTACTTTTCTCAAGCTTACTTTTGAAAAAAATTTCCACAGATTTTGACTTTCAGCAGCAGTGATGCGATTGTCTCCAAGCTGTTCAAACACAAGAAAAGATGTGGCTACATAGCTTCCCCCCTCCTAGTGCATATGGAAAGAAACCTGTCAGTGACTTCAAACAAATCATTTCCAATAACAAAAGCAGGGATGGTCAGTGAATCTTTACTGATGATCACTCTTTGACTGTGGATCAACTACTAAATCTCTTTTCAACTACAGATTTAACTGTGAACCAATTATTCAAGTCTTTTTTTTTTTTTGGACCACAACTTTTTACTCAAATAAGGACTATTTTTACTCCTTTTCAACTCTCTTGAATTCATGTACATATGTTTGTAAATACAAATGATTTAACAGGTATATCCATGTTTTCTTAATTTTATTATTGTTTGGAATTTACACAGTCGGATTTTTAATATAAAAAAAACCTGGACGACTGAATGTCTTAAATATTTTTCCCCATTATGGTTTTCTCTGGATTTCTTATGTTCATGTTGTCGTAGCTTCATATTAAGATTACCTTTTGCTTTACTCAAAAGTCCTTTTCCATTAGATAAAATATTGTTTAGAAGAAAAAAAAAGCATTCTTACCAATGTCTTTTCAGTTTATTTAAAATCTGTTGATTTCTTTTAAATTAGAAATCCTCAATTATTACATCTTTATTTTTATTTGACTTTTTCTTAATTTCTTTGCTTCAACACTTTATCATCAATTGAAATTAAAAAAATAAAAAATAAATTTTCAACTTATTTTAGTGTGAGATGAACCCAATGGATTTGATAGAGCCACCACTACGAACCCAAGTGATGATAGCTCAGACACAGGCTGGCATGTGGCGCAGAAATGGATTTTCCCTCCTTAACCAGGTTTGTATATAAATTAATATAATTAATTAGATTCTATATAAACTTGATTTGGGTAAATATGTAGATTACACATAATTACTTATTAATTTTTCTTGCTTCTGTTGAATGTGAGGAAAAGGGATTTATGAAATGTTTGATTCCTTTTTTTGTAATTCATTTGATAGTTTGTGTGTGTATATATATATATATATATATAATGCCTGCCATAAATTTGGAAACCGCATCTTGTACTGCTTGGCATTTGCGCCGGAAGCTCCAATACGAACATTTCTGAATGTTTGGATGTTAATCTGAGGACAGTGCAGAGGATTCGAAAAGAATTGGATGAGTCTAATGGTGATTACAAAGGTGTTTGGCACAATCACTAGTGATGGCAACATTTTACTGCCATTCATCTTCCCACAGGGCCTCAGATTCAACATGGGGGCCTACATCGTGCCTTGAGGATGTAGTGTTGCCCTAGGTCAAGAGGGTAGCTGTCTGGCAACAGGACTCTGCATCATGCCACTATAAGCAGGAGAACCCAGTTATGGTTGTCAGGCAATTTCTGTGACCACATCACCCCTTACATCTGGTCACCTGACTCCCCAGACTGCATCTTTGATAATTATGTGTGAGGCGTAGTTTGGGCGAGAGACAAACAAAACTTTTAACACCAAAGATGGACTGAAGGCAACGCTTATAGCAGCATTCACTAACTTAAACAAGGAAACAGTCTAGAAGAGTTGCAGGAGATTCCAAAGTCACCTGGAGTCTGTGGTTGAAGCCAATGTTATTTCATTGAATAATTACTCTTTAGTATTTCAAGTTTATTTTTGTGTAATTTTGGTAAATATATTTGTTAATATTAGATGTCAGTGTTATTTTCATTTTTGTGTGATTTTAGATGACAATTTATCCATCGCATCCTCTTTGTGTGAAAAATATATAAAATGGAAACTAAGCTCAACATTGAGTGGCAACAGTCATGCTTGAACAAAATCATCAGGCCATGTGTGTTGAGTAGTAGTTAGACTATATATGCTCATCATTGGAACATTATAGGTAACAAGGATAGTTTCTGGTTTGTTGTGCTATTATGACAGCCATTGAATAGGTTGAAATGTTTATTTTAAATTATTCCAATAGCTTAGAATAATTTAAAGTAACCATTCCTACCTCTATAATAGTCATTAGAATAACACAATAAACCAGAAATAATTGATTTTGCTACCTATAATGCTTCAATGGTTAGCATATATAGTCTAGCTACTACCCAACCCACATGACCTGAAGATTGCATGAAAGAGACTATCATCACTAAGTGTTGACCTTAGTGTCTATTCTTACATTCACACATGCTCAATCTCTGATACTGAGCACTTTTGCCCGTAACTATAGCATACCTTAAAACATTATTTTATTATATACACTCAAACTTCAAGACATAATCTCAAATGTATTATTTTTTTATTATTTAAAATGGTCTTTTGCCTTTGCAGATATTTTTCTACCACAATGTGAGGTGCCGTGTGGAAATGTATGACAAAGACATTGTTATGCTTCAGGCAAGTGAAACCTTGTTATATTAAAATAATTGGGATTCTTTTCAAGATGGTACATGACAAAATGTAAGCAATAATTAAAAAAAAACTTATACTAAAATATAAATTATAGATAAAAATTTGCCTTGGGAATATAATTTGATTTCTTATATACATTTGAAATTCTAAAAATCATAATGAATTAATCTGGAAGGGATTTGAGAAAATCTAAAAATTTTTAAATGATTCTACATATTCTTCATATTTTTGTCTTCATTTTTATTGTTGAAATATTGTCTTGGTCAAAACATCAACTCAGGTTTATGTTGTATCCTGTCTTTAGAATTTAATATATTTTTCCTTCTTCTTTGTCTCCTTTCTTTAAACAAGAACAAACCATTTCCATGAAATCACAAAAATGAGTGTTATGATCTTATGTTTGTAATGAAAACTAGAGAATGGATTGAAATCTCTAAATTCAAGTCTCCTCCCCTAGAACCTATACCAAATTATAATGAACCAACAATAAGACACTGTATCTGATCTCTTGAAGCCTCAATCTTGTAAACTTCAGGCATTACATTTATTGATTTTTATTTTAATATGCAGCAACTAGAGGGTTGAAGTTTAGAAGCCTTGTTCAAAGTGCAAGACTGATTCTCATTAAAATTAAATAAAACAAAGAGAAACCTGTATCTGTCCTTTGTGATTTTCCTGGATATGAATCACAGGGCTGGTTGTTAACATTTTGTGTTTGTAGTGAGAACAAAACTGATAACATTGGAATTTAACTCCTGCTGCTGGCAAAGTTGCCATTGCTAAGAGTACATAGCGTTGTAAGTGACATCTTTTAAATGGCTTTGTGTGATGTGGTGAACCATAACTGCTCAAATGAGTCATGTATAGTATTTTCTTGTTGAGTACATTTTATTATTGCTTTCTTCAAGGGCCAACCCAAGTAGATTCCAGTCCTTTTATTCTGTTTATTCTTGTTATCAATACAAGAGTCACATCAGGGCACCTTGTGGTGGTGTAATGGTTGGCAAGCTTGTCTCGCTAGAACAATTACGACTGAGTAGTGAGTCCAATTCTCACTGGGTGCCCCTTCTTTTGGCCTTGTGCTACATCTAAGCTATGCTTGGAAAATCACTACAACAGTCACATGATTCTGTTGGACTTCTATATTCCACTAGTAAAACATTCTAAGGATAAAATACAACAGTTGGGTATTTTGAAAGCACTTCATCTTGGAACTAAAAAAAATGACCCAAATCAATCATACTGACAAAAAATAAGTTATTTTGTCCAAATGTAAAAAAAAAAAAAAATGAATTTGTATTATGCTATTAAAAAAAAGTATTAAGCTACTCAATTTTGCTTTGTATTAAGTTGTTAAATAACTTGCAAGGAAAAAAGTAGTTTCAAGTATTTTAGAGTTTTCTATTTTGCCTGTTTTCCTCTGAATTATTTGACTGGATTAATGTTCTTATGACACCATGGATTTTAAGGGATTATTTACAGTTTGTAAAGTTCTGTGAAACTAAAAAAAATAAGCTTAGTAATTGTTTTAGAATATTGTCCATTGTAAGAATGAAAAATTATTTCCAATTTTGCTGATGCTCTTCTCTTCTCAGTCCTTTAATTTGTTAAATAATTTTTAGTCTAATTCCCAAGAAAATTAGAAGGAATCTTATACTAAATATAACTTACTTTCCCATTGTTGTATTGTGAATATTTATTTAAATGCACTGTCTTTGTTTTTTCAAATCAGATTGGTGCTTCCCTAATTGACCCAGATGACTACCTCATCCATTTGTTGAATAAATATGGATTATTGGGCTGGGTCAGGTAAAGCAATATATTTTTGCTACTCAAATTCAACTCTGACATTTAACAAGTTAAAATTACCATTTTTTTTTTTTTTTTTTATTATTGGCAAAGCAATAAGGATTTTTAAATGATTGTATTACAGTTTTTTGTATCAGATTTTGTATCTTTTTTATTGTAAAAGATTATTAACATAATAGTTACAGATAGTTCTTGCATAAAGAAAACTTTCTACAATTCAGGATTGTGTGTGTGTGGAATAAATGTTTGATAATGATTGATCTTAAGTTGGATATGGCACCATTCTTCGGAGAATCAATATAAACACTCATTGGCTGCTTAAGTACAGTTGAACAAATGCTCTTTTATACTAATTTCTAATCAATTAATGAATGGCAGCAATTTAATGGATATAGTGACATCAAACATTGTCAAGGCAACCTGCTGTATTTCATTTCATGCATTAGTATGGGAAAGAAGGGTGCTTTAAGTGCCAGGTGGGTGGGTCTGAGTTGTTTAAAAACTGCTGATCTACTAAGAATTTCATGCACAACCACCTCTATGTTTACTGAGAATCGTCCAAAAAAAAAAAAAAAAAATTCACCGAGGGGCAATTCTGCAGGTAGAAATCCCTTGTTGATGAAAGAGGTTGGATGTTTAAGCTGATAAACATTAAGGCAACATTAGCTCAAATAATGACTCTTTGCAAAAGACCATCTCTAAATGCACATCTTGAAGCAGATAGGCAGCAGCAGCAGACCATACTGGGTGCTACTCCTTTCAGATGACAAGAAAACGAGGCTACAATTTACTAAAGATCAAACATTGAATAATAGTCAATTGGGAAAAAGTTACCTGGTCTGATGAGTCTTGATTTCTGCTGCAATATTTGATTGGTAGAGCCAGAATTTGGTGTAAACAACATGAAAGTATGGATCCATCTTGCTTTGTATCAATGGTTCAGGCTGCTGGTGGTCTGATATGGGAAATATTTTTTTTGCATACATTGGGACCCTTGGTACCAATAGACAATTATTTAAATGCTGCAGCCTACCTAGGCATTATGGTTGATCACATACCTCAATTTATGACTACAGTCTTCACATCCTCTGGTGGTAATCTTCAACAGGACAATGCACTATTTCACATATCAGAAATAGTGGCAGATTAGTTGTTTTTGCAAAGAATTTTCTGTGTTAAAATTGCCTCCACTGTCACCAGATCTCAATTTCATAAATTACCTTTGTGATGTGGTGGAAAGTGAATTTCGAAGCTTGGATGTACAGGCAACCGATCTATAATTGTGGGATGCCATAATGCCAACATGGACTCAGATTTCAAGAGTTCTTCCAGAACATTATTGAATTCATATCAAAAGTTAAGGCAGTTGTAAAGGCAAAAGGAGGTCTAACCTAATACTAGAAGAATATACTTAATAAAGGGACCTGTGAGTGATGCTGTCGTCTTATGCTAGTCAATGTTTTCAGAATAAAATTGGTATTAACCAACCAGCATTAATTAAAAAAATTACATGATAAGCAATATATCATGTAAATTACAGCTTGTTAGGGTCAGTGTAACAATTTTTTATAAATAAAGTCCAATTGTCACAATGTCCAATCTTATTCCAATCACTTTACAGTATCTCGTTTCTCTTTTCAGGTTATATCTTATGACCCATGACAATCTTTATATACTTGAAATAAATTTTAAAATATCTCAAAGTTGAACTAATATGATGAACAACCCTCAATTTACATAATCTCACTCCACAAAATATTTTGTAATGAAAACAAATATCTGAAGTTAATATACTATATTTAACATACAAGTATATTCTGAAAGTTTTACTAACATTGATATGTTTATAACAATTTTATTGGGAAATCATTGACTTCTATCTTCATGTTTGCATGAAGCATATAAAGACAAAATAAATGATATGATAGATTACAGTATAAATGCAATATAAATTATTAGGTAATTGTATGACAAAATAAAATTATAGAATATTATTTTTAAAAGGTAACACTAGAATTAATGGGTTCCCCCTCTAAATGTTTTCCTTGTTTGAGTTTTCTATGAAATCTTAATCTTTCACTTGTATCAGATCAAATTATGATGATCCTGGTGGTCAAGAGGATTCTGTTAGACAGACCAGTATGCTAGCTGAAGAATTTTTGAATCTTTTGATTATTATTTTAGGTGAGTATTTGTTTTTGTATTAAGATAATTGCTTTCATTTTTCAATCGAAATTGCAGACTAGTAATTAAAGAAAATCAAAAAAATCTTAGTTTTGCTGTGAAAATAAAGGATTTTAATTTTTTTTTTTTTTTTCTTCTTGTTTAGTGATTTTTTTTTTTTTAAATATAAATTTATTAAAAATTTCAATAATTGAATTTATTGCTTGATCCTCATTAGGTGAATCCTGTCCGTATCAATATTTGTAACTGTAATAGACAACATTGCATATAAATCACTTTGATTTATAGTAGGAAATACTTTTATTTAATTTCTCAGTGCTCCACTTTTGAATTAGGGTTTATGGATGGTAAAAAGGAGCACATCTATCATACACACACACTCACACTCTGTTGCTGGATTTCAGCTCATTATGACAATAAAACAATTCTTTAGCATTGTAATGGTGAACTGTTAATACTGTGTAAGTGTCATGTGGAACTGCTGGATATATAATTTTGAAAAGTAGTAGTTCTGTATAATGCCATGTTGTAAAGAATGAAATGCATAACTAAAAAAAAAAATGTCTATTTGTTATTGCCATTATTTCCCTGTTTCATGGGTTGTTTTTAGCAACACCAGTCATATATAGTAAGTGTATATTAGTATTTAGTGACATAAAAGAAAAATAAAATGGATTTTATTTGTTTTTTGTAAATGTTTAACAAAGGAATACTATAAAATGTAGAAATTTTTTTATTTATTTAATTTTTTTTATTATTATTGTAAAATGACATTTTTGAAGCACCCATATTTTTATTGTGTACATTCAGAAGAAAAATAATCATCTTCTACTGCTGTTACTACAAAAAAAATCTTTATAGTAGAGTGACTATTTTAAAATAAAAAAAGTGTTAAAACCTTCCTCTAGGGCCAATAATTATGCCCATCAAATTTGATAGATGTACACAAAGATTTCGTTGTGTATAGCAACTGAATAGAGAAACACACACAATTAGTATATTTGAGTCCAAAAACTTAAGCCAGTCATTTTTATAGATATATAATGCACAATTCTCGCACTGCTTTTTAACATGTTCATAATACAAAAATCAAAATTATCTGCTGCATCTTAATTCACATCATGATTTATTTATTGCAATTTAGAATTTACATTTAAAAAGAAACTATATTTGTTAGTTTATTGTAAGTCAAATTTATATAAATTGTTGGCCAAATCCTGTTTAGTAGTTTGAGTTCTCTCTAAATTTAGCATCTTTTATTTTTATAAGTTGTTCAAAGTTTTTCTATACATCTTCAAATGTCTCATTTGTTCATGATGTCTTACTTGGAAATAACCTTTTTAATCAATTTCAAAACAGCAGAAAATTGATATTGGTATGCTACACTAAAAACAGACTAAACAAGATGATTTTTTTTGTAATATTGTCTGGTTGGCAGTAGAGACAATTATATATCCTTTTAACTATTTCACTTGACATAAATTCTGGAAAAATAGTTGTGATAAAAGGAAAAAGATGATCAGCGCTTATCTGAAAAGTAACTTAATACTTTCTACCTTTCAAATATACAATTTTTATGAATATTTGAAAATCATTTTCCATATAGAGTATGTTTTTTTTTTTCGGAACTTTTTGTCCTTGCTTTGATGATAGTAAATTTTTATTGATATGTAAGTTTTATATTTTTACCAGGTGAGCGTTATACTGTTGGTGTTGGGAAGATAACTCAGGAAGACGTTGTAAAGAGAGAAATAATTCACCAACTGTGCATTACTTCTATGGCCCACAGTGAATTGGTGAAAGCCTTACCTGAAGATGTAAGTGAATTCTTAAAACTTGAAAACCCAAATGAGAAATATATTCTGGAAAATTTTCTAAAAGAATCCAAATCCAGTCTTTGAGTCTTCTGTCTCAAAATGCTGCTTTTTTCACATTTTTATGATCCCATGGAATATATATGTATATAGACATTTTTCCACATTTTAAGCTCATTCGAATTGTTCTTGTGAATGGAATAAACCTTGTTTAAATAACTCGCATTATATACTTGTGACTTGTTTCATGTAATAAAGACCAATTAAAATAGGCTTTAATTTTTGTAAATTTAGCCATTATTTTTTTTTTTTTATAATTAAAATTGTTAGTTGGTTCTTTAAGCAGAATAAATTGGAAAATTATTGAAATGAGAAAATATTTTCCTTTTTTTCAAAATTTAAAATGATTCTGAAGGTTTTGTATTTTAATATAAAATTATGTATCATTTATTTTCATTAGAAATTTTTTTTTTATTATGGAATTTTTGAGGATTTTTTTTTTAACCTTCATGAAATCTTTTTAATTTTTTTATAAATGCTTTCAAATTTGTGATTTTAGTGGAATCATGAAACTGGAATTGAGAAAGTTGTGAATGAAGTGGCTGATTTCAAGTAAGTTTCAAATTGTTTTCTTTCTAAAGATTCATCTTTTAAAATTACATTTATCTGTAATGGGCTTTTTCTTACTACCTTTTCTACTTTGATAACATCCTTTATTTTTTCACTTTGGTATAACTTAATATCACTCAAATATACAAACTCTGTACCTGGATATGAAATATTTGCTTCATTGACATATCTTTATAAAAATCCAAATTTATTTTGGAAAATTGTGAAAAAGATTTGACTGTAATCCACTGACTTCATAAAAGTATTTTTTTGTATATATATATATATATATATAAAGGAAATAAAGTGGTTCCAACGAGAGAATTTTATGTATATTAAAGAAAGAGGGGTTAAAAAGATTTTTGATTTTGTTTTACATAATTTCCACTGAACTTTAATTATTTTCTGAAAAAAATCCAAATTTTTTTCCGAAACCGAAGTATTTTTTATTATTAAAATAATTTTAATATATATCCCACTTTATGAATATTTATGTAGCAGACCAGAAATTCTGAAATTATGAAAGTATAAATTTTTCTCAATAAATCCACATTACAACCAAAAACGTTTTCCTCTTCTTTTTTAATATAATATATATATATATATATATATATATATATATATATTTATGAATGAATTGGATCATGATTACGATTCCAATGTAATAAATTTGTTTGAGCCTTTTATATTATATTCTTACTCTGTCCTGGACATTGAGTTCTACCTAGATTCTATCCTCTTGGAAATATATATATATATATATATATATATATATATATATATATATATACCACTGATATTATGAATATTTACATATATATAGGGAAAAGGTTAGTTGGTCCAATGAGAGAAAAATATATATTTTAAAGAGAAAAACTGCAAACGTTTTTGGTTATAATGTGGATTTGTTTTAGTATATATATTATATTCTTCATATGTCTGCTACATGGGTGGTTTAGATCTTGTGACCTTCTTAGGACAAATAAAAGGATATATATATATATATATATATATATATATATATATATATATATATATATATAAATTCATAACTGTCTTTTTTTTTTTTTTTTTTTTTTTCCAGAAAAAGCCAGGTTGGAGGCAAAGGTCATTATGAATTGAAAGCAGAATATTTCAAAGAATACAATACTTACTTTTACCACTACAGTCGGACAGAGCAATCTAAGGTATGGAACAAGTTATGAATGTAATGTCTTTTTAGTGCTTTTTTATTTTGGTAAGTTTTATTTACCTTAAATGTTTACAGAATAGATAATTTGAAATGTTGCATCTACAACTGAGTAAATTCTAAATTTTATTAATTGCTAAACAAAAACGTGTTTTTCATGTATGACCGGAAAAGATAAAATGTTATATTGCTCAATTTCTTTGAAAATTTGAAGAATACTTATCTAGAATTGATAGGCGAGATCTCAATTAGTGGACATTAAAACTTACTTTGTCTATTAGCATGCTCATTAAATTTGTCTTGATTCTGAGTATGAAAGATATCATTTTTATAAGATGATCAAATTGCCTGATGGAAGAAGTGCCACTTATTTTAACTTTTGACTTTACATAAAAAATTCATCAACACTCGACTATTTAATTATATAGAAGAACTTTTCCCTTTTAATTTGATTTTTCTCTTATTTCGTTTTGTTTTCCAGTCAGAAGAAACTCAGTTGAAAAGGAAAAAACAAGCAAAGGAAGATCAAGGTGAGTTATTTTAAAAAATTTCAGTATGCAGAACAACTACTGAATTTGAGAATAATTAAGACCAACTGTTTTTCCCTCACCAAAATATGTGAGGTTGAGTTATCTAGTAAGCTAATGTTTAGCAGACACCATAGCTAACAATGCCATAATACAGTTACTATTAAATATATATGGGGTTGAATTTGTGTATCATGAGATATCTTAATCATAAATTACTGGCCTGAAAATTAGTGAAAAAATTAATTTTTATCTTTTTAATTATTTTTGTAAGATGTGAAAGTTATTTTTGCAGCCTGGTAACTTAAAAACTTAAATTTATTATGAAATGCTGTTGAATGTTGTCTTTGCATTTAATCTTTTTAACAGTGTAATTCTACAAATATACTGGAAAGTTTTTGAACTGATAAAGAAGCTATTCAAAAAAAAATTATTCTATTTGGTCAAATTTTGGATAGTGGATTGGGGTGAGAACTTTTCAGTACTCTCTTGTACTGTGTAAGGTATATTAGGCATGCTTTCATTATGTAGTGTATATACCAACTCTAGTGAGTGTGGGATTAAAATGATTTCAGTTTCTACTTCAATCAATAAGTGCATTAAGATTCCAAATAAGTCAAAGAAATATTTGTATTTCTACACCATAGTGAAATTGGTGTAAATTTCTTCATTTTTGTTCTTATCTTTTGCAGCCTTGCCACCTCCCGAGCCACCTCAGTTCTGTGACATTTTCAGCACTGTGCCTAAACTCCTTAGCTGTGATGTAATGATTCATATCATGGAACTTGTACTGACACGTACAGCTGCTCAAAGATCCAGGTCGTGGTCAGAGGCACAATTTGAAAGGGTCTGTAGACACTTTCTTCTTCACTTAACTATATTGCAAAAATAGGCACTTCTTGGTATTTTGAATTTTTTTGTTATTATTATTAATAAAAATAGCATTCTTTAGATTATATACTTAATTTTTTATAGCCCCTGAAAGCAAGTGAGTTGTCTCTAATTTATCCCACAACTTTAGTAGAAGGAATAGAGTAAAAGAGAAAGTTAATGATCTTTAATTTATTAGAAAGGAAAAATATAAGTTTTTGAAAACTATGAAGCAATTTCATAGTTAGAATCCAACCAGTTACTGAATGTTAGAAAGTAAAGTATGATTTGTAAGCAAAAAAACTGGTTACATGAATATCCACAAACTTTTCCTCTGTTTGGTACAATAATCCAGTTGTATCTAATATCTTTCAACAAAATGGTTTTCAACAAGATATGATCCATCTTCTAATCCGATTTCTCTGTCTCTTCTCACTTCCTTCTTTTGAAGCTTAAAGGAATTAACTGATGATACAAGAGCTTTCATTACTCTTTTATGCAAGAGTGATTACATTTTATTGAATACACATTTTATGTATTGCATTATATATATATATATATATATATATATATATATATATATATATATATATATATATATTGTTTTATTCAAAATATAACATGGATATGTTATAAAATCACTAAAAAAATAAGCATTTTGTTTCAACACTTCTAGTGTCTTATCAAGTGACGGTGTTGAATGTAGAAGAAAGAGTTTTTATTTATTCTACATTCTACATTATCACTTGATAAGACACCAGAAGTATTGAAACAAAATGGCTATTTTTGTAGTGATTTTATAACATATTTGTTATAATTTTCGGATAATTTGTATTTGCTCTACTCTGTATTGAGCACTCTTTTAAGAATAGTGTTTTTGGTATTTGGGATTTTATTCCGTATACACCAATCTTATACGTGGATATTAGGATCAAATATGGATCAGCATCTGATAGAATGATAAGATAAAGAACAAATAGGAAATGTATATCATTCTAACATGTTTCACTTTTATTAAAGCTTTGTCACAGACCAAGATGCAGAAAAAAAAAGAAAGACTCTGGTATTTTCGCTTTTGTGTTTGATTTTTTTTGGTCAACCATGTATCACGTGCATTTGACTCTTTTAAATCAATGTTAGTATCATTTGCGGTGTTCTAAATTCAGTGTGAAATTACGTGTCCATCTGCATTTATTCCAAAAGTCTTAAAGTAATTTAGCTATTTGGGTTTTCAAGAATGTGCTTCTGAATCAAATCAAGTTTTTTTATCAGTTCTATGAGTTAAGCTACGAATACTTTTGTTCATTGATATTAATCTTGTTTAGTATTTGAATTGGTAACTGATTGAAAAGGTTAGTTTTTCCTTTTCTCTTTCTCCTCTAATACAAGTAAATGTCCATACAATAATGATACATTAACAAAATGATTACCTTTTTTTTTCTACTGTTGCCTAATGTTCTAATCATTGGGCTGTTTTATTTTGCATTTTACTTTTCAATATAATATTGCTAATTTACTCTGAGTAATGATTTTTCTAGTCAGCTCCATTGACAGTTTTTGTACAATCACTGACATCAACAGAATTCTATTCTCATTTCTGTGGCAATGTTGAAAAGAAACAAATTCATTAATCTTTAAAATGTTTTTTCTCTTTTCAGATTTTGCATTTGATTGGTCTTGCACTTCATGAGCAAAAAACAGCAATAAAGAAAGGGGAAATCTTTGACTTTCTTAGAAAAGCAACTAAAGGTACAGCCACCTCAACTTTTACCCTCCTCTCCTTGTCAGTTTTATTGTTTATTATAGAATTCCATCATCAGAGCTGTTTTGACTTGAATGCACTCTGTAAATAAGCATGATTTCTCTTCAGCTTAACTGCTTGTTTCCAAGCATGCCCATCTGTCCAGGGCCATTTATGACTTTTTTTTTTTTCTTTCTTCTTCTCTCCAAGACCCACAGAGCTAACATGGTTTATACTGTAACTATGTTGAGCAGACATTATAGTTATAGTTCAAGTATGTGCCCCACTAGACACACACATGGTCTTGAATTCAGTTGTCCTTCTATACTGGTGGCCAACCACAGCTAGAGAGTCCAGTCTACCCTACTCTTAGTTGAGGGGAGAATAGATGGATTCGTACCTTTTCCAAGTGTATGTGTGTGAAAACGAATATAATGATCTTGACCAGAATTCCAACAGCTCACTAAATTCTTGTTCTGAGTCTTTAACCATTACACCACCCACCCATTGCAGAATCCCAAAGAATTTAAATTAGAGAATGTTGATCTGATAGACATGGAGAAAGTTGACCAGTCAGATTCAAGTGAGCTAAAAGATCTTTCATCTTGGTTAACCTGACTTGATGTTTTGGGGTCTTTGTTCCTGACATTAGGCTTGAAGGAAACGTACATTCTTCAGCTTAATCTTTTTTCCCAATTCCAGTTCACCTTTATTTTCCCAAGGAGAATTTTGTCAATGCACAAGTTTCTTGTGGTTGTTGGCTAGTATCAACTCGCTTTCAAGATAAACCTTGCACTTCTCTTTCAACATGTCTCTGCCAACTGTCTTCATAACCAAAATAGAAAACAATTTAGGAATTCTAATTTGATGTTCTTAATGACCAGTTATTCCAAGACTGAACTGGGAATTGGCAATTTATATGCAAATGTTTTTAAAAAAAATGTTTTTATTTCCTCATTTCTTTAAGATTTAAGAAGTTGTATAAGAATAAAATGTTTATGTAAGCAGTATTTTACTTTTATAATGAACATTTGAAATAACATTTGAATTAATTTTTTAAAAAAATCAGTATTTTCATATTGGAAAAATATTGAAAATAAGATGCAAATTATTTTATTATAAAAACAAATCTTGTCTGAAAAATAAAATATTTAAGAAAAAAAAATGCATCTTGTTTTATTTTCTAGAGGGCCAGAATATTTTGCACCTGCTGGAAAGTTTGGTGGATAGTGAGCACTTGACTCATGAATATCAAAGTGACCTTCTTAGATGGGTGCTCAAGGTCAGCACAAACTTTTATTTTATTTTTTGTTAATTAAGTCAGCAGTAATTGCTTGAAGTACTTTGTAATTAATAATCACTTGGGCTAAAATCTTAACTTTCTATAACCTTAATATATTTTGAACATGAATAATTTTATACTTTGTTTTATAGAAAGGTCACATAAAAATGCCAGTGATTTTTATATATTTTTAAAATAATTCTTATTAATAAAAACTTATACTGTATTGTCGAAATTTCTTAGATGAAGCTTTGTCATTAATCTTTGACTAATCTTTCTTTCATTTTATTTTTCTTGCTTGTTTAAAACTAGTAATAAGATGATGTAATAGTCTGAAGTTCTCTGAATTTATTTGATAAAATATTCTTCTTTTGACTTTTGTTACTGAGGTGTTTTAATCATTCTTTCATGGCTGTTAGGTAACATGGATTGTAAATAAGAAGAAACATTTACAAAATGGCATCTGAGCTGCTCTTGTGGTAATTACTGGGATAATCATAATGACAATGATTCATCTAATAATCTTTGAAGAAAACTTATAGCTATTGTATCTAAATCTGGATAAATGTTAACAATATTGTGAAATTTGAATGCTGCCTGCTGCTTAACTTTTGATAGTGTTGATCTGATTCCCCTTCAAATTTCAGTAGAAACTTATTTTGGGGCTGTACTTTAATTAAGGTTTCTGAAATAAATATAAGAGCATGAACATTATAATAAAAGTGAGTAATAAATAAGAATAGTTAAACAATTGTTCCATTATTTTATCTGAATGATTTGTTCAGTAAAAAAAAAGAACATGATACTAATTTGCTTTTATTTAGACCTTTTGTTTTCTTTTACTTGCTTCATTATAGTGACTTAAAATCTCTCCCTCCCCTCACAGCAAAATGTAAATTTCCTACGAACTTCAGAAATATTTATATTGGAATGAATTTAAAATATTTCAAATGTATATTTTGATGGAGGAAGTGGTGTTTCTTTTCCACATTGGTCGAGAAGCATAGATCTTGTGTCTAAATAGTAATAGTAAAGTTGCTATGTATCATTATTATTAATTTTAATGAATAATTTTCTTTTATTTTGATATTTACTTGTGTTTTATTGCAACTTACTTTACCATCAATCTATGACAGTTAACAAACAGCACATCTGTGCAAATTGAAACACAAATTCACATCCTTTTTGTTTCAGGGGAGCTAAATTAACTGTACCAGCTGTTCTTACCATTTGAGCTACAAGAACTTTATTGGCCTATATCTTTCTTTCTTTCTTAATATTTCTTGACACTATATTTGTTAATTCTGTCTGAATTTCTGGGATGATGAATTGTTGTTGTTTACATTATATAAATATGGCCTATTGTTCTCATCTTTGTTTTTTTTTTATTGGTTGTTGGCAGGTGCTTGTCAGGAATTTCAAATTGCACCCCTTTATTTAATCTACAGGGGTAGATTGTTCTCATTCCACTAACCATATCTAGGGATATCTCATCTAGTTCTTATTTATTACTTATCAGTTATTGCTTGCCTCTTTTCCACCGAGTTCAACACCCATAATAATTATGAACTCACAATTATTATGTCACCAAATTCACGAACAAATACTTTCTATGCTATTGTACCATGGAACAGTTCTGAGTAGCGAACTTGGAGCCTTAAACCTAACCTACCTGCTGATGAATGCTGCTGCTTGCTACACTTGACTGCACTCACTGAGGCTTCTCTTTTCTACTATTGCTATTCTGCTGTCATTTTACTTTGTTTTTACATTAGTAGTATTGGTAGCAGCAATATTATTTTTATTTATAACATAAAGCATTATCAGCTGTTATTTTAACAATTTTCTTTCATCTAAAAATAAGGTTGTTGCTACTTGTAGTACGAGTAAAAAAGAAGAATAAAGAAAATTGATAAATATGGAGCTACAGTGAGTGAAGGGTAAACTTAAATTTTATCTACGTCATAGATGTTAAGGACAACTAGTATGGTTAATCAGGTAATAAAGGGGGCACGTGTTTAGTATCACCAAAATTTTGATCTGTACTGTTTGCTCACTGCTGTAGATTGACATTCTCAGTAAGTTGAAATTAAAAGAAAATTACTCAAATGAATTTTTTTTTTTTTTTTTTTTTTTTTTTTAACTTCAACTAGTCAATGTAGAAGACTTTAATTTAAATAATGTTTACTCTTTTATTTGATATAACAATTTTCAGCAAGGCTTCTGAATTGGTAGATATAAAATTTTATTTCAGTCTTTTGTTGTCTTTAGACAAAATTTTCAATTAAATCTTTAATTAAAATACTTTTTGGAAACTACTCAAAAGTACATTGATTATAGATGATAGACAAATCATAAAACTATTTTATGTGGATTGAATTCTGGTTTATCATGTCAAAAGTGCAAAAGATGATCCTTTAGTTAGAAATAAGAATTTTAGAAAATTATGTTGATATTTTCAGTAACCTATTAAACCACACAATTCATCCTGAAATTGAAATTTCCATGAACAAATCTCTTTTGCAAATATGTGGATATAAAATACCAAAATTAAAAAATGTCTTGACTTATGCAGAAGAAATTAATTTCTTGTGAAGATTGATTTGTTGAATGTTTTACTAATTCATTTTTTTTTTTTTTCCCCATTATCTTCTGTTATAGTATTTTGCAGCTGTTCGTAAGATGGAAGATGAGTTTGCAAGTGTCTCTAGTCTTGGGAAATTGGCAAGCACAAGTGATGCCAAGAGAGAACAAGAGAAAAAGAAAAAAGCTGAATTGGCAGCCAAAAGACGAGAACGGATAATGTCTCAAATGTCCATCATGCAACGAAATTTCATTAAAGACAACCCGGTGTTGTGTGAGATGGCCACCTCTGATATGACTCCAGCAGGTTCTGATATGGATATCAGGTTAACATTTTGCAGCTATTACAAATTTTTTCTTCCATTATTAATCTGTTTTGTATGTGTGTGTGTGTGTGTGTGTGTGTGTGTGTGTGTGTGTGTGTGTCTCTTCATTTTTTAAAAAAAAATTTTTTTTTTTTGTTAAATTGTTTTTGTTTGCTTCTTTGAAACCTCTGTTAGCTTTCATCCAATTTTGAGTGCTGGTATCTGCATGGTAGACTTTTTTTAATGCTATGTTTTTATTTTCATTTATCTAGGAACTCACACAAGTATATATTCTGAGCTACTGTTTATAAATCCTGAATTATAATGCTTTATGAAAAGTTGATTGAATGATTAACATGACAAAACATGGTTGATTATTACAAAACATTTTACATTATGTCCTCTGGTTGCCTTCAGGTAATCTTCGATTCAGGAATTTTTTCCATACATGATCAGGAATTTTGGTGCACAGGAGTAGATTGTTCTCCTTCTACTGTTTAAGGATATTTTGTGTTCCTTTTTAGTACTGTTCAGTTATTTGTCAACCTGTTTTCATCAAGTCTGTATTATCTGACTCAGATTTAACTCTGTTACTATGTCATCAAATTTACAAACCAATTCTTTAATCTACTAGGCTGTTCTTCTGTGGAGTAATTATGAGCCTAGAACTTGGTGCTTTAAGCCTAATGTTTTTATATCCTGCCTGCTGCAGCTGCTGCTGCTGTAATGCTTGACTGCATTCACTATAGCTTCTCTTTTACTGCTGTTGAAGCCTTGCTGTCATTTCTCTTTATTTGTTCATTAATGGCTCCTATATGGTATTTATTCCAATGCTAGACCTACTGAGGAAGCCCTCAGTGTTTTTCTAGTAATTTTACTTTATTCCACAGGGGTTGGTGACTACCTTTTTTTCCATACATGATCAGCCAGGTCTTGCCCCTAATTGTCTTTTCAATGTTTTTCTAGCCTGACTTTTAGGAGGCAGCTAGTTTCATCTTTCTATCCTTTGCCACAACTGCAAGGAATGGAGTACACACAGTTCTTGGTCATAGTCTCCTCTGTATTAAGTTTGACTCTGTAGAGATTTCTCTATAAGGTTAAACTGCTTCTGAACATTGTTCTGGCATTGTATGGACCACAGATCTACTGAATTAATTTTTACTTTTTAATGAAAATTTTTCTGTCTTTTACTTTATTGCAAATAATTCTTGTCTTGAATTTAATGTTTAAAATTTAAAAATCCAAGTTTTTTTTAGATGATGATAGGATTGTTTAAAAGCAAGTAAAAAAATGTTTACTTAAGTCAGCCATCTTTTATCATAAGTCTTTTTGAAATCTCTCTTAATTCAGCAATTTTGTTAGGCAAAATTACTTCATTTTTCCTTAATGACTTAATTTTAGAAAAATTATTAAAATGAAATGCCATCACATTTTCTTTTTGAGGAAGAATGAACTCTGGTTGCTAATCATTCTCTTGTTGATTTGGTCAGATTTATATTTGTCAATTAACCAGCAAATCAGGATTTTTATTTTGTTATGAATGAAATAAATTTGTTTCTGATTTATTTAATATTTTTGATTGTTTCAGTGAACAAACAAGCCCTCCTTTTCCTATTGTTCTTGGTTGTGGCCAAACAAGTACAGGTTACATGAGTACAAGCAAAGCTGTTTGTATTTTGTGTCAAGAAGATCAAGAAATTACATACAATGGACGAGCTATGGTTCTTTCAGCTTTTGTTCAAAGGTACCGTTTTACTTCTTTATTTTTATTTTTTTATTGAGATCAGTTTTGTTTGTTGGTTTTCTTTTTGATGAACTTAAATTTGTATTTTTTTTATTTATTTATTTATAGGTCTTCAGTTCTGTCTCAGTCAAGAGGGAAAGAACTTACTAACAACGAAGACGAGGATCCGTTGCTTACACCTTCCGATCTTTCCTGTGGTACATATACCAGCTCCTGTGGGCATGTTATGCATGCTGATTGTTGGCAAAGGTTGGAGACTTTTCTTATAACTATCTTTTTATTTATATATTTATTTTTAATTAGTTATCTTTTTTTCTTTCCTTTTTAAAAAAAAATTATTTTCATATGTTGAAAAATGGTTCCTGAACTTTTTACAATTTTTTTTTTTCTAATTGCTAAATGTGGAAAAATATTTCAGTTTTTAATGTTTGAATCAACATAACACATAAAAATTGTCTTCTTTTTTTTTTTTTTTCTATAAAGTCATTTTATTTTGGTTAACTGGTGAGTTACTAAGCCATAACTCTTAGGAAATGTTGAAGCAATTGATATTTTATACCTCATGGGGGTTGAAAGTATATATTGACCAGTTGTATCAAAACAAATAAGAATCTGATGCCAATATCTATAGAAGACTGCAAAATTAACTCATCCATTTCTTGGTGGACTGGGAAAACCTGGTTGCTGCTCAAAAAATACATTTTACTAACCTAAACAATCTGGGGAAGGTACAAATTTTATTAGAGCTTTAAAAACTGACAATTTAAAAAAAAAAAAAAAAGAAAATAAAAAAAAATATATATAAAAACAAAGTGGGAATTAATACAATGATAAGGAGGGTAGATTACTATAAAGTAAATCTTAAGAACAATGTTGGTAGAACTAAAGTTTAATTTTGTTTTATGTCCTCTTTCAGATATTTTGATGCAATTGCAGCCAAAGAAAGGCGCCGACCTTTTCGGTTCCGTAATGCTTGCAGCTACAATATTGAAAAATTGGAGTTCCTGTGTCCATTGTGTGCTGCCATTAGCAATACTGTGATCCCGATGTTACCTCCCTTGAGCACATTGCGAACAAGTACTGCAGGCTGTGACATGTACGTCAAAGAAAGGCTCCTTTGTAACAAAGCAACATTTTCTTCATTGTATTGTTAAATAGTTGGTGGTGGGCTGTGAAAGTAACTTGTAACCTTTTTCAAATTATTTAAAAAAAAAAAAAAAACACATTTTCAATTCAAAACTGATGTTTTATTTTCACAATTTATAAATTTCTATTGTACAAAAACAAGTTGCTTTAACTTTGGGTATTTTATATATATATATATATATATATATATATATATAATCTTCTGTTTATACGTTATTTTTATAGATATAATTTATTTAAGTAAATGCTCCGTTTTTTAATTAAACAGTATTAATTACATTTACCGGCCTGAATCTTAAAGAAATTTTGTAGAAAATATGTGTTCTCTGACAGGAATCAAACCTGTAACCCTTATGAGAACTGTCATATAGCCTAAAATACCTTTATCATTCAGCCACAGACACTTTTCTGTGGCTGAATGATAATGGCATGTTAGTTTGCATAAACAGCCTGCTTTAAATAACCTATGTTGTCACACACAGGATTTATTAAGCTTACAATAGTTGAACTAAAATTTGTTTCAACACTCAGTCCATATTTAGGGCATCAAAAATAAAAAAAAATATTAGAAAATAATTTTTTCTGCAAATTTCTTGTTTATTTGATTTAGTTTAAGGTGAGAGGAAAAATTTTCTTTTAATCATGTTAAGTTTCTTTGTTATTTTTTGCTTCTTCAGTGACCAGCAGAAGGAGGTGGACCTCAGCTTTAATGACTGGTTGGATGGTATTCAGAAGACAGTGCAAGCCAGTGTTAAGGCTGCTGTAGATAAAGAGTCTGAAGGTAACTCTTTCATTGCCACTTGTCTTAATGCCATAACTACAAATTGGATATTGATTTTACAACTAAACCTGAGATTAAATCTTTTCTCATATACATTTGAATGTAATATTCTAACAAGAATTGTTTGCTTAATTCTAGTTAATGGATAATAAATTTCAGAAGTTAATATTTCCATTAAGATTTAAATGTTTTTTTTTTGTTTTTTCTTTCTCTCTCCAGATGAAAGTCTCTTATTTCAACCTTGTCCAATTTCTACTATCACAAAACTTATGGCAGAAAGTGTGGCAAAAAACTTCACATTACTCTGGAACTATGTCTATGACGATGCAAGGTAAGTTTGGATTTTCCTCAATTATTTTAAAATGATTTAAATTTTTATAAATAAAAGCAGGTGGGGAGAAAAAAAATCAATGACAATCAAATGAGTTAATATCATAAATTGGTGGACTATTACTACTTTACCTATTCTGTCAAAAATGACATCATATTTGAAATCCTTATTGTAAGGTTTACACACGAGTCTTTAAATGTATTTTTTAATTATAATTTATACACTTATGCATCTGTACACTTGTATCACTTGATCACTTTTCTTTAATTTTTGTTTTTTTTCTAGAGATCATGAAAATATTCTTTTCTTTGCCTTGATTTATTTACACAGTTTGACATGGATGTATGAAAGATATTGCTGTTTGGTATCACTAGTGTAAGGGGGAAGATTGTCTCCCTCCACTGGTGACATTAAAAGTTACATTAACTACATTTGTATATTTTGTGTATTATGTAATAATACAGACTATTATTGTGTTCTGTGAATTGTATGAATCCAATTAACCAAAAATACTGCAAGTAATGTTACTCTTCTCACAATCGAACTTGAAAGATTTGACTCAAAATAAATCTTAACAACAAAAACCTGACTTGTTTTAATCTATTGCTGCATACAGAGAGAATAACTTTTTTTCTTTTTCTTTTTTTTTTCTTTTTTTTAGTGGCTTTTCGGAAAGCATGAGGGAAATGATGAAGAAATTTGCCACAGATGTTTATACTGTAAGTATCTTTAACATTTGAACACTTTTGTTAGCCTATAGTTTACATTTTAATGTTTTCAAGTTGTTTTATTTTTGTTGTTTTTATTTGGTTAATGCTATAAAAATGGATATATTAAAAATATAAAATATATATATATATATATATATATATATATATATAAAATGAACAGGGGGAAGAAGAGCAAAAATATTAAAGTGAGTTGAAACAATAACAAGAACATAATTTAAAAAAAAAAAAAAGAGGTTAACCAGTTTTCAATCCTTCAGAACCAGTTGTGGAGAACCATTTAAACTGTATGCACAATGTTTTTAAGAAAAACATAAAATAAACAACAGCCAGTGAAGTGGCAGAGAAGAGAAAAAAAATCACAACATTTACATTAAGGCCCAACTGCCATTCCTTTTACTTACAGAGGAAAAGCTGCCTTGAGCTAATGTATAATGTCTGTAATATTTTCTAACAGTAATCCAAGCACACTCTGCTGATTGTGCTGAAGAAATCCTTGGTAAACATAACTTGCTCCTACTACTAGTGATATCATTAGAATTCTCTCCAACTGATTCCAACAGACTTCTACTGACTCACTTTAAGTTCTTTATTTAAGGTGTCTTACTTAGTTCATTTGTGTTACCAGAGGTGTTTTATTTACTCCACAATTCCCCCTTCCTTTTGGGTCCTGTCAGCTGCGGCTTCAGAATACGCTGACTGCATCTCTGCAGAGGGGTAAGACCACTCCCCCCACCTTCCCAAATGAGGCGTCCTAAGTAAGACAATAAACTACATCCGTGTCTTGGGTAAGACGATAAACTACGTCTAACAACAAGGCCTCTAATCATGAGGTTTTCAGGAGTGTGGAACCACCTCTTAATTGCTGGTGTTTCCTGACCTGGGGTGGTAGCACCTGTTAGGGTTCAAGTTATGGGCAAAGGGGTCAAAACACTGTGGAGGTGTAAAAATAGGTATTAATACCAGCAATAATTTTTGAGGGAAAAATTATTACCAGAAATACTTTTTTGAGAAAAATTTTTTTTACCAGCAATACTTTTATGAAGGGAAAATTATTTACAGCAATACATTGTTAAGGAAAGAATTATTACAAGCAATACATTAATGAAAAAAAATTATTACCGGCAATACATTTTTGTAGGAGAAATTATTGCTGGCAATGCTTTTTTTAAGGAAAAACTATTGTCAGCAATACATTTTTAAAGGAAAACTATTACTGTTACGTGTTGATAATTGTAACAAAGGAAAAAAAAAATGATTTACCACAACACAGAGCTAAATCACAAACAAATATTTAATTTACTAAAGCACAACATAAAATATATACAAGATAAACAATTGTGGCCTACAAAACAGAAAACACAAAGTTACTGGCAAAGTGTTACGAGGGAGAAGGAAAGGGAATCAAATATCTTTATCACTTTAGGGCCAGTGAAGTAATCTAAGTGCTATATTTGGAAATCCACAAAGGTGTGTAAATAAATATTAATTTTTAGTTTGGTCAATGAAAATTAGTCAAAATTCTATTTACAAAATTTGTTCCATGAAATTCTCTTTTGGGTTTTTGTTGGTCGGCAATTTTTTATAGAGATTCTTTCAGCTGGATATAATAGTCCTTGAATCAAAAGCCAGAGTTGATAACAGCAGAAATTCCCCTTCTTCAACTGACAACCCTTTTCCAAAATCCCATTTTTATAGGGGCTAACACCTAATTTGCATATTTCTAGATGTTTCTCGAATATACTAGAATGATCTAGAATCTTCCAAACATTCTATTTCTAATTTCTCTATTTTACAACTACTGCCACATAATGAGGCAGATTTTGCCAACTCCTCTCTGCCCGCGTCACGTTCGAAACTGTCTGTTTCTTTTACTTCAGACCTTCTCATCTTACAAACAAAATTCAATATGAGTTCATGGAAATTGCTCAGAGGAGCTGCATTCGCTGGTTCCCAGACGTCATGAGTTCCAGCGCCTTATGAGGCTGGCATCCCGCTCTCACCCCTTCACTGTCGAAACTCATAAATGTAGCTGTCTCTTCTACTCTAATAGCTTCATGTCTCGCACCTCTCACCTGTGGAACTCCCTTCCCTTTTCCTGTTTCCCTGTGAGCTATAATCTCCAGCTATTCAAGTGTAATGTCAATCAACATCTCCAGTTGCCTTGATCTATCCACTACCCTCATCCTTTCTTCTATCACTCCTATCTGATCTTGCTCTAAATTTTCTGTAACCCCTTGCGTCCTAGTGGCTTCCCGCCTTGCCTTGCTTGGGGTGAAATGCTTAAAAAAAAAAAAAACTTCATGAATGAAAACTTTTTGTAATAACAAGTAGAACTCAGTGGAATCCCTTATTATAGAAATGCATCCTCGTAACATTACAAACAAAATATTACCAGCAATACATTTTTAAAGGAAAATTATTACAAACAAAATATTACCAGCAATACATTTTTGGAAAAAATATTACCTGTAATAGATTTTTGAAAATATTACCAGCAATAAAAATTTTGTTGGCATTAAATAACCTATTGAGGTTGATATGCCATAAAACAAACCAAACTAAAATATTTATTAGTGAAAAAAATCTCAAACTTTTGAGATATTTTTATTTTTTCACTGGTAAATATTTTATTTCTTAGTATTCACTCCCTTCTATTTCTGGCAAGTTTGTTAATGTACTGAACTTTGTACTTTTGTTTTGGGTCAACCTCTAGTTTTTCTGTACTTTTTTTACTGGTAACCATATTTGTATATCTAATGAATTCTTGGTTTTGGTATGTCAAAAATATCACACAGCACTTGCATAGGTTCTTCCTTTCTTGCAGGCCTTTCTTTAGTAAACCTCTTCTTTAACTGATTTCAATCCCTTTTATGTTCTCATTTGTTTCCTTTTACCATATATATATCATTTTTCCAATCCGTGACCTTATTACACCATCTTTCCACATTGCTTTTCCATTTTTACATACTCTGAAAAACACTTTTTCCCCAATTATGTGTCCTTTTTGTTCTCCATTCTTATTCTTTTTTGACCTGCTAACAACTTGTCGAACACATTTAGTTTTTCATGTGAACATCAATTCTGTTAGTGACATGCCTGATAGTGACTGTGTGTTGGGATTCAGCATTATCTGGTATATTCTCAAGAATTTTTGTAGTGCTTTTTTGCCCACTTTTTCATTACTTGCTTTTTTTTCAAAGCTCTCTTAATAGTACCCACAAATCACTCAGCTTGTCTGTTTGACCTTGGGTGATATAGTGGGGTAGTAATATATTCAATCAAGAACATTTTACAAAATTCTTTAAATTTGTAAGCAGTGAACTGTGTACAATTATCCAAGACTATAGCATCAGGAATACCATATCTTTGTACTTACAAATTTCAGGCCACTTAGTAAAGCTATCAATGACCACAAGATAATGTGATCTATTCATTGGACCTGTGAAATGTACAGTCTGACCATGGAATATGTCTTTGGCCAAGGCTGTAATTTCATGGTAAGTGATTTTGTTGCCAGAGCACAACCTTTGCAAGCTTTTACTAATTTTTGAATGTCTTCATCCATTTTGGTCCAGTATACATAGCTTCTCATAAGAAATTTCATCCTTGAAATTCCCAGATGTCCACTATGAAATTCATTTAATATCCACTTTTGTAATATGCTAGGTATTATTACTGTTTGTGCAAATATCAGTATTCCATCACGTAATGAGTGAGCGTTCAAGTCTGGATTGCATCCTAAAAATCGTCTATCTTTCTTACTTTTTTTTTGTGTTTTTTTTATTTTCAAAATAAACATGTCTTGTTCTGCTTTTACTTTTATTTATTTCAGGGTAACTGGTAGTTCGAGTACTAACATTGCATAAAATATTTTTAATTTCTATTTCACTTTTTAATGCTGCAATAATAGTGTCCTCAAACAGTTCAGTATCAATAAACCTGCAGCATGCCTTAATTTTTTTTTACAGTTGGTATTCCATCCTGAAATTGTAATTTAATAAGATGGTACTCCATTGTTGTAATGTGTTCATTGTATGCATAGGAATCTTTTTCTTTTTTCTTAATCTGTGGTCTATCAGTAAACAAAAACTCCTTCAGTATATAAATTTATGAAATTTTTTCATTGCAAATATTATTGCTCATGCCTCTTTTTCGATCTAGTTGTAGTTTTTTTTTCTGCTGGTAGTAGTGAACACAAAGCATGTGCGACAGCTTTCATGTTACTGTCATCATATTTATGTAGAATTACTGTTCCTATACCATAGTCACTAACATCTGAAGCCAATACAATTTCTGCTTTTGGATCATAGTGCACTTCTGATACTTATCAGTCTAGTTCCACTTTATGCCCTTTTTAAGCAAATAGTTAAGTGGAACTCTCAAATTCTGCATATTAGGTATATAGATCTTATAATAGTTTGCTAGTCTCAGAAATGCTTGTGACCTAGTAACGTATGTTGGAGGAGGCATATTTTTAATTGCACTTGCCCTCCACACATCCGATTGATGACTATTTTTGTCAATGATTTGTCCTAAGTACTTGATTTTAAGCAAAAACAATTTGCACTCACTGAGTTTGAATATATTATCCCAATAAGCAACTGCAAAATCACAACCAGCAAGCTTGTTGAAATATAGATGGAGCCACCTTTATCCCCAAAGGAAGTCAGTTGAACTTTTAACAGTACCTTTTTCGGATTTATAGTTATTAACTCTGAACATTCTTCTTCAACCTCTATTTGCAAATGCGCTTCAGAAAGATCCACCTTTGAAAAAATTTTCCACAATTTAAATTCACAGAAATTTCCTCTGGACTTGGTAATGGTTAGTTATGGGATTCTAAACATTTGTTTAACCCTGTTGAAAAATCAGCACAAACACTTTTTTTTTTTTTTTTTTTCTTACATACACTGCTGGTGCTGGCCATTTGAATGGCCAATCTTTTCAATTACACCTATTTTTTACAAATTTGTCTAATTCTTCGTTGACTTTATCCAATGCTGTGAATGGTATGCTACATTTCAGTTTAAACACTGGCATCAACCCTTTTTTTCACTTTGACTTTGGAACATCTACTCAACTCATCTGACAGAACATTTGGAATTTTTTCAATTCTTCCTATAAATTTTCACATTGTTTATTTAAACTAGCCACTTGTTCACTTTTTTTCTTTTATTTTTTTTTGCAATAAATATTTGTAGGTAAATTCCACAACTGAAATAATTTCATCCAGTCAGTACCAAATAACTTTGTAGTATTTTTTAACACATAAGCCTTGGCTTTTACACACTTATTATGAAATGAAAGTTCTTTTTAATATATGTTTTCCATTTGCTTTCCATGTCGTTTCATTGATTATTGTGATATCACTACCAGTGTCTAGTTGCATTTTTACATCCACATTATTAATTTTGACATAGACAAATTTTCTTTGGTTTTCTGTAATTATTTTTTCCATCGCAACACTGTATACAAAACTTTGTCTGTGAGAATTTTTTCTTGCTTTAGTTTTACAGTGTGACTTATGTCCTATTTTTCCACACTTGTAGCACTTTGAAAGACAGTCAACTCCAAGATGTAACCTTCCACATCTGAAACATGGATTAATTTTTCTTTTTCCACATTTTTCTTTAGTTTGTATGTATGGGAATTCTTTTTCTTCAATTTCTTCCACATTACGTCTCAGATTTATGATTCTCTGACATTCATTTGATATTTTTTATAGTGTTAGTTTTTGATTCTGTTAAAGTTTCATTAGAACTCTAGCATGTATTTCTGTGTCTTTTTTAACGTTAACCCTTGAACGAAAATTAACCATTAAAACATATCTGGAGTCGGTCTAATTTGAATCTTTCAAACTCCTTGTTAACAATTTCACCATATGTGACAAATTTTTACCTTTTTTCATCAGATTCATACACTTCCAACAAGCACTGAATAACAAACTTTTCTTGCTAAAAATTTTAGTCAGAATATTTACTGTTCCTTCAAAGCAAATTTCTGTATTTTTTTTTTTATTTTTATTTTTTTTTTTTTTTTTGGTAGTACAAAATTACAGTATTTTTCATGTCTACCGGTGCTAACTTTCTCAATAAATGCCTTGTTTTTTTTTTTCATCTTCCCAGTCAGCTGCATTCGTCTTTGAAAATTTGCTCATATCTTCTAAAATAAGCAGAAAAGGTAATTCCATCATCTGAATTGTATGTGAATTCAGATATGGCATTTGTCACAGCATCAGGAGTGAAAGAACTTGAGGAATTTTCCGTTTTGTTCCATATTATTTCAAATAAATTTTGTTGTTGTTTCTGGAGTTCCAACAATTAGAACTTGGGCAAATAATTCTTACATATTTAAAGAATGTTTTTTGTGTTTTATTTTTTCCCTCCGACACTTTTTTCTTTTCTTTGTTACACACACCAAAAAGGAAAAAAAACTGAACCAACAATGGTTCTAATTTCTTGTCACTGTTATCATATGCGTCAAAGCAAAAACAAAGTACTTTTTTCCTACTTGAATGAGTTTTGACTTCTTGTTGCCACTGTTATAACACTCACTCCTAGCAGTTATAATATTATGTTTAGCTTGGGCTACTCACCGTGATGTCATTAGAATTTTCTCCGACTGACTCCAGTAGACTTCTACTGACTCACTTTGAGTTCTTTATTTAATGCATCTTGCCTAGTTCATTTATGTTACAGAGGGAGGGGTATTTACTCCACAACAAAATGACATTGCATACACCAGATTATTTATTAACTGTTCAGCAATCACTGAACCTGAAGTATTAACCAGATTTAGCAAATTATTGCATCTCCCCGGATAGAGCTTAGCTGGCATGTGCTAATCTATTTTAGTCTCCAACCTCTGTTATTTACAATTATAAATGTCTGTGCCAAGCTGAGTATATAGGTAGAATTAAGATATTTCTATTAAATTTTGATCCTAAAATGTCTTTTTTAGATTTATAAAAAAAAAAAAAATATAAATTTATTTTGAGGAAATATTGTTGATATTGTAATTTTTTTTAAATTTGTAGTTTGGTTTGGCAGTGGAACCTGATGGTGAAAATCCTTCCGTTCCTATCATGGCTTGGAACACTTGTGCCTATACAATTCAAGTAATAGGTATAACAAATTACCTTTTTTATTCTCTTAACAACAATTGGTCTTGGATTTGGCATACGAATACCACAAGCTCTAAATCTTTATAGTTGAATAACTTTTGGATTTTAATAGAAATTTGTAAAGTGGTTAACCAAACTCTTCATTAATTTGCAAGGTTCAAACATGAGAAGATTTAATCTTTTTGCAAAATGCTTTCAATGATAAATTGGCTAAATCTGATTCCTTGTTTTTCTTTCTTTATTTATTTATTTATTTATTTATTGTGACCTCTTTTTTGTCATAAACAAATGTTTGAGTTTTGTATTAATTAGACTTTATTTATTAATATTTATTTTGATTGATGTGTAAAGTTTGATTTCCCCTTAAAAATTACTTGTATTGCCTTTTCTAAATTTGGACAATTGACAGGTCAATCTCAGATTATGACTCTTCAGGAAAGGAAAACCATTCAAGAAAAAAATCTTAACAAAATAAAGACTAAAATAAATTTGGAAGAGATTTTACCCACAAGAAAAATGCAAACATTTTAATATATTCCAATTAAACCAAAGTGTATCTCATTTGATCTATTTGTCATTGTTTTTTTTCTAGAACAAAGTTTACAACATGATAACAAGCCCCTATTTGGTTCGTTGTCAAGTCGCCGTTCTGACTGTCTGAATGCTTTAGTAAAGTTTGCTGCTGTGTGCGGCCAAGTGATGCCAGCAGACACAGTCAAACAACACTGTATACGTTTACTCACAGGTAATATCAGCAGTAGACATCATCATATTCTTGTCTTTCTCTTATTCAATAATTATTAATGCCATGTTAAATAAATAAAAATCTTCTCTTAGTATATTGTGTAGTCTATTGAAAAGAAATTTATTGCTAAGTGATCATATGATTGCCTGCATTTGATACTTAATGCTGTTCAGAAATTGTTGAACTGCTTTTTATTTTTTATAGTATAATAAATTGGTCAAACGAAGTGTCAAAGACAATACTTATTAAAATAATTTTAGTCTGACAGTATGCTGTGATAAACATGTTTTTTTAAAACTGCAACTACTATTTTCTTTTTAGGATACCAATATGATAAAATTAAATTAATTTTTCAAGCCACATATTTTCTTTAGAATATATTTAAATTTGATCTATTCTCATTTTTATATTTTGACTAATGAGGATGTTAGTCTGTAAAGAATCATAAGTGCTCATTCTAGAAATTTAAATAAATTATCAAAGTGAATTGTTTGATTTCTTTAACTAAAGGCTGTTTCTTTTTGTATTCAACTCACTGACATTTGTTTTACAGCTTTAATTCCTGATGGTCTTGAAAAGAAACATGAACCTCCATGTCTATTAGATTTAGACATGTTTCACTATTTGACTGTGCTGGTCATGTCATTACCAACCCTTTATGCAGAAGGGCAGACTTCTGTGCTTACCACATTCCCAACTGGGAGTCTCAATGACCAGCATGCATTGCAATTGGTGCTTACTGCTCACCTTGTACAAATCTTGCTCACTTATGAACCTGAGCCACAAGGTAAATATTATTTTTTCTATGGACTCTTCTCCAGATTTTAATTTTTTAATATACATAATGTCCATTAAAAACTCTGTAATCAATTTTGTGTAAAACAATCTTTTAATCTTTTACTGCAATAATTTGAATAAAATAATGCAATCTTTGAAGAAGAGTTGTGTATGATTTGAAGGCATTTTTTTGTTTTTTTTACTTAAATCTTTCAATAAGAATTCTGATATTTTTGTACCTTTCAGACATGATGGAAACTGAATACGATCCTGATGATGAAATTCTTTTGTTAATTTATAGACAGTTAAGGGAGAAAGCAGGGTAAGTAAAAATGTTTCATATATTGGCAGAACCCCCCCCCTTTCTGATAAACTGAAATGTATTGAACATCTTGGATTTATCAATAAATTAAAACTGCTTATAAAGATTGTGCAGATAGCGTAACAATTATTGGTGTGAAAAACGGAATGTTTGACAAGTTCAGATTCTGACAGATTTTTTCTCTTCACACTAATAATCTTAGAAAAGGCATGAAAACTATCTTCCATTTAATACTTTCGCCATAATGGATCCAATTGAGTTTCCTATGTACGTGTGTAAATCTTGAGGATCTTTTATTTTCATATGCGATATTTTTTTTTTTTTTTTTCAAGATGCATCTCTGATTCCAAAGTTCCTTCATAAAATTTAGAAACTTGTTATTGAATTCTGGGTGAAAGTTCAGCCTCAATATCTAGTGATATTTCATTATTCCTTAGTTTGTTTGAAGACAGACTTTGTAATGATTGGATTTACACTGATATATTTTCTATTCCTGCTGGCATCTTTAGTGCAGTCAGGGTTGAAATGTAATTTATTTTTTTTTTTTAAATACCAGAGCATTTCTTCTGTGTTGGTTTTGATTGTATGATCTTGGCCATGATTTTACTATAATAGCTTGAATAAAACAGTAATTGCATATTGAATTTAACCATTTTTGTGAAAGGCTTAAAAATTGTTGACTTTGTTCATTTCAGGATGAGCCTGGATATTCAGCCTTGTCCCTGGTTGCTGTCATCTCATGTAAAACAAGCCTGTCTACCTTTCTTGCGTTGTGCAGCACTGATGTATCATTATGTGACTGGAGTTGCTTCTCCTCTAGAACTACAAGGTTTGCCTCATTTTTTATTAAAAAGATGAAATTTCTTTCTCTCTCTCTCTCTCTCTCTCTCATATGTTGTTTCTGACTGTAGACACTGGATTACAAATGTTGATTTTTCTCTTGGAAATTTATAGGAAATATCCAAGAATTTTTTTTCATTAATTCACTTTATTTATTTAATTTTTTTTCATTTTATTTCTTTCACTTTGTTGAATTATTGCATTTTTTGCTTTGCCTTCAAATGAAAATATTCAAAGATCATTTCACATTTAAAAAAAAAAAGGAAAGTCATTGATTTAGTAATCCATACAAATCAACTCGTGAGGAGTTAAGTTTCATAAAATGATGAGAGCCTAGTAATGTAATGTAATAATGCACAATAGTAATATAAAATTGCTGGTAGTTATAGTGACACTTGTCTGCTGGTTGCTTTTCTATGTCCAATCCATGAACATTTAGAGAAAATTGTTTCATTCATTACCAATGTTTTCTTCAGCAAATCCTTTCAGGTTTACCTTGGCTTAAAAAATCTACAGAAATTGTTACACGGAAAAGCACTTATATGAATGTCTATAAATGAACGTGCAGTAATTAGAATATTACAAAGGATTTTATTATTACTAAACAAGTCTAACAACGTCCAAAAAGCAACAAGAACTCTAACCACTTAAAATTTTTTCTTCTGAGCAAATTATTTAGAGTAGGAAAATAACCCCATTTCAAACTGAGGATGTAAGTTGACTTTAGGTTCGTGTTCAGTTATACGTTCAGATCCTTTCTTCTTTCAATTTGACTAATACTAAAAAATGTAGGAAATAATTTTTTTTCTTGCAGAGCATTTTAAGAACAGATTTCCCTGTGGTTGAAAAGGATTTTCAAATTTTCATTTAAATTTGAGAAAAGTTAATTCCTATGTGGAAAATAAGTCAAAAGTTAAGAGAGAAAATTGCTGGTAGTAATTATAGTGAAAATGGCAGTTATAATCTTGATTTGAAGCCCTTAAAAATTAAGGTTACATAAATTAAGTTCTATGTGCAGCTTTTATTTTTAAAAATGAGGGAGATGGATGAAATTTTTTTTACAAATGAGAGAGATGGATGAAAATTGTTAAGGGAACAAATTCTGTTGGAAGAGTAGTGTGCATTGGGCTTCAGCATGCATGGGTCTTTTTTATCCTTCATTTCATGACCATTGCTTATTGACTTTGATAAGAAGTTTTTTTGTTTTTCTTTCAACCAATTCAAAAGCTGTTAGAAAGTAAAATGCCTCAAACAAATGAAATGCTCTTTTTATATTTTATTTGGAAATCTTTTGGAAATTCCACACAATGATAAATAGCTTTTGTCTTGTTAACCTATCAACAACATGCAATGTGCATTAATTAATATAAAATAAACCAAACTGAAATCTTGTTGCAAAATAATATATTTATTTGACATGATGATAAAATATTGTTGAACAATATTTCGTAACATTTGAAAATTTTAATCTTCAGCTCTTAAGAAATTCAAAAGTTAATTTCTTTATATTTTCAAAGATTAAAAAAATAATGCATACAAAACTGTATACATTTATTGGACAATTTGTTGAAATACTTATTTTTATGACATTTTTATGACATTACAAAAACTTCAATCTCATACAAACTTGAAATTTCAGAACCTACAGGAAATCAGTTTGAGTATATTTGCCGATATTTGGCTCTGCCCACAAAACTGAACGTCCTTTTTGGAAATCAAGGAGACATAATATCACAACTCATGAATAGGTAGGAAAATTTACTTACTCTAGGGCTTTTCCCAAAAATATTATTGAACGAAAACAATGTTTAAAATATATCCAGAAAAAATACAAAATTAACAAGTCTCAGAAAAAAAAAAAACTCTTTTCACTTGAATCATTTCTTTTTGATTTTCAAAAATATATTGTGAATAACAGATTATGCCTAAATAAAAAGGAATGTTAAGAATTTACAATTTAATTCAGACTCCAACTTTAGATTCTTTTTCAGTATTTGCAATTTTTCTCAATTTACTTTTTAATTGCTGTTACAAGACAAAAACAAAAATGATTGACACTAGACAAAGTTGATGCTGATTAAATTGCAAGTGTATTATCTTTACTCATGGATGTTGCATTTATTTATTTCTTTTACTTTATTAAATTCATAAGAATTTTTTTATAAAAAGTTAACTTTCTTTATTTTCCTTACTAAACCTTTCAGAATGTAAGTTTATAGAATTTATCTGACAAAATAAGTTGATTTTAAAAAAAAACAAATCCTTAATATCAACATGAAAGGAAAAATTTATTTCAATATTTTTTGGTTGATTTACTTTGCAATGGAATTTGAGCTGATGCTGTCTTTCTGTGCTATTTATTAAATCCTAATTTCAAAATTTCTTCATGACTTGTGTAACATTTTGTAATCTTACTGTAATGTTCAGGTGGTGCAGTCATCCTTCCATCAAGGATCGATTTACAGCCAGTAACCAGAAAATCATCCGATACCCTCTTCCTTTGAACCATTTGGTGAAATTACCTGATGACTACAGTGAACTCATGAATCAAGTGTCAACATATACGTATGGAATGGCTTTTCTTTTCTTCTCCTTATTCTTTGATAGAACGGTTCTAAGAACCAATGATTGAATTTCTTTAAGCTTTAGGAATGTTTAGTTGGGTAATTTTTCAGAGTAATAGCTCCACCTGTCATATTTTAACTTTTTTCCTTTTATGATGGGACTGTTCAGGTGTCCTTTTTTTTTCCTGTTTTGTAAGAAAGCTTCAGCTGTAGCATTGGACTTAAGGCTTTGATAACAAAAAAAACAGTTCTAATTTGATATTCTCTACCCCAGCCTTAATATCAGGCCTTTCGTTATAATTTCTAGGGGACTTATGAATGCAAGTAGTATGTGTAAAATGAAGAAGAATCTATTCATTTCTAACTGATGTTTCTTTCTTTTGTTTGTCACTTTTTATTGCATCTTCAAATTTTTCCTTCGTTAATAAGCAGAACAGATCTGAAATATGCTACTGGTGCAGTTCACTCTTGTCCTTTTACCTTGGAAAACCTGTCAGTCTTAGGCTAGGGGAGCGGGTATGCATTTGTTGGTTTTACATACACAAGTAGTATTAAGTTATATTATTTGAGTTTATTGGAAGATTTGTCAATTAGTTTTTCACTAGTATTTCTCATCTTATTTCCCTTACTTTTATGTGACAACTTCCTGCACTGCTGACTAGTATTCATGTAATGGCTATTGAGGAATTATGATAAAAAGCAACAGAAATAATGTTGGTTTAAAAAAAAAAATGGCAAGGCTTTTTTAAAACAAAAAAACACTTTAATATTAAAGTAGAATCTAATTTTAACTTTCATATATTGCAATGGCTTTGCATTCAATAATCAATCTTGAATAAAACAATGACTTTTTAAATGTTTGTAATAGAAAGTTATCTATAAATAACCTGTAGAAATTAAATAAAAAATACAGCCTTTGCTCAAATGTTTTTTTGTACAATTTTTTATAACTTACATTTTTATGTGAGTTTAACTGAGATAATTCAAACATAAAAATCCTAAAATAAGGATACCAAAGTCCATTAGAATGATTCTTTAGATTTTTTTTTATATCCCCCCTTAGTGTTAAGTGAAATATTTCTTGTTGGATAATCAAGAGCTTGATTTGAATGAAAAAAAGAAAAATGTCTCCTTGTTCTGAAATTGTTGTCCAGATAACAACTTAATAAATTTTTTCCTCTTTTCTTCAGTTGTCCTCGGTCATTTGGAGATGAGAGCCGTGTGCCAACCATGTGCCTCATTTGTGGCCAGGTATTGTGTTCTCAGAGTTACTGCTGTCAGGTCGAAGTTGATAAGAAATTGGTAGGAGCAGCCACAGCTCATTCCCATGTCTGTGGAGCTGGCATTGGCATCTTCCTTAGGTCTGTATTCTATATTTGTTTACATAAGTGTGTGTTTTTGTTATTTCATAACAATGAAGCAATTATCCATCTCTTACTTTTGATGAGTACCAGCTTGTCTGTCTTCATTTTTTTTTTTCTTATTAGTGTTTAGAGATCTTTAAATCTTTTAGTTTTTTTATTTCTTCAAATGTATATTACTAGGTAGTCAGAATAAAATCAAAAGAATAAAAAATATATATAATATATATATATATATATATATATATATATATATATATATATATACACACACCTTATGTAGGTTAAATTAAGACAACATTGCTTGAAAGGACAAGCTCTGGTGGTACAGGATTCCATGTCTTGTCCCAAACTACTGTTCTGGTTTTTCAGCCAAAAAACATGAAAATGAAGAGCACCAAAAATGATTTAAGTGAAAATTATTTGAATTTTCATTTCTACCCCAAGTGTAATCAAGAGGAGGGAAAGTGATGAAAAACATCAGGACAAATGTGTTGGAGTTTTACATAACCACACCCACTTAAAAGTACATGCTGATTCTTGGTTAGGGACAACATATCCTATCAGTAATATTTGTTTAGTTTGACATTTGTATAATCAGAACACTTTAAATATCCAACGTAATGAATACATTCAGAGGATTTTAATCATAGTAGTTTAAATACTTTGCTGAAAATACCTGCATGTAATATCTGCCAAAACCAGATATCAAATCTCTCTCTCTCTCTCTCTCTCTCTCTCTGATAGTCAAGTGGCTTGTTCAAACTTTCATTTGACTAAGTGTCGTGCTTTTACGAGAGGCAGGAGTTTGGTATCTGATTTTGAGAGTTGTCTGACATTTGGGAAGGTTTGAATCTGACTATTTTTCTGATACATTTTTATTCTATTTAATATGAAATTAGAATTATTTAGAGTTTCTCTTGATTTTCTTCCTTGGCAAGTTAATGAAATTGTATCTCTCAAATACTGAATTACCTGAAACGTTTGTTTCTTTTTAGTCTTCTTTACATTTTACTTTGAAAGACAATTCCTTCTTTTTCAGAATCCGTGACTGCCAGATTTTCTTGCTGGCTGGCCAGAATAAAGGTTGCTTCCAAACTGCACCTTACCTTGACGATTATGGAGAGCCTGATCAACTGCTCAAGTGAGTAAAACGTCTCTTGAAAAAATGATATTCAGTTATTAGAGGAAAAAAAAAATAACACTGGCCAAACTTTGGTGAAAGCCAACTTATGTTTTCTTAGTTAACTTTGAGAGAACAAAAATAAAGTCTATTTTTTACTGGTTTGCTCCACATTTTTGCTGTACAGAACTTGCATTAATTTCAATCTTTCTTTTAAAAATGAACCTTTTGTTAAGTTCTCTAAATTTTATGATTATTTTTTTTTTTTCTCTCTTCAGAAGAGGTAACCCCCTTCGCCTCAGTGAAGAACGATACAAGCAGTTGCATCGCCGTTGGTTCCAGCATGAAATTCCAGAAACTATTGTGCATAATCTGGAATCTAGCAACAGTCTGAGCAGTTATGAGTGGTGGAATTTATGATTCTGTTCTGCTATTGTGATGCTCTCTCTCTCCACCACCAAGCCTTGTCTTGTTTACTGCAAATTGTGTGATTGCATTTCTGGTGATGGGGAAGTGTCCGTGCTTCCTGTTCTCCTAACAGACTCGGTTTCCAGCCTTGAAGAAAGCAGGGCTGTTGTTATTGGCATTTTAACTCTCTTGTACATTTCATATCACTATGACTTCCACCACAAAACAGATACACAGACACAGATACCCTGTGAGAAAGCAATCTCAGGACATCTCTCACAAACACAGGCATCAAAGTGCAGAAAAAGAACTAAAATGAGAAACAGAATGAACAGTTTCTCTGGCTGGATGGCCTCTTTTTTTTGCCTCATGCTTTTGTACAAAATAAACAAATCGTGTGATTTTTTTTTTTTTTTTGAAAGACTAATATTACATATGTTGTACTTATTTACCTGCTTGCTGAGAATAATTTTTTTTTTTTTTTTTTTTTTTCTAATTTTGAATAAAGTGCAGAACTGGAAAGATGTCATTATACATTCTTCCTGGTCTGTTAAATCTAGTTTCAGGATTTAATAAAGTGTGTGGCTGATGTTGCAAGGTTGATTGAATGAGAGCCATACGGCATCTTTTGTTTGTTCTACACCCTCCCAACTCCTTTCCTATGAACTTTTTAAGGATGCAAGCTTTTTTGTAAAGTACAAAAAAATACCTCTTCTCTTTCAGCTAAACAATCTTGTTGTCTTATCTCCTGCGTTTTAAATCCTGTTTATAAAATAATTTTTCTTTTTAAGTGGTCATTAATATTTGGTTTTATTTGAATAAATATTTTATCATTAGAATTAATAATTCAAAAGGAATTAAACTTATGTTGGATATTTTTTTCCTTATAAAAATAAAAACGAAAAACTTACTTTTTATTTCACTGAAGTTCTCAATTTATTTGGTGCACTGCAACTTTGCAGTTAGTATGCAGTTTCTCCTAACACAGCAACTGGATAATTAGGCAAATTAGAGAAATGGATGGAAAAATACAACTTGAATTGCACTACTCCAGCTAGCTTGGGATCAGACAGGTGCCATTGTTGTAGGTTTTCTGAACAGATAAAACAAAGCAAATCATGCATATATATATATATATATATTATATATATGACAGATACTGCTACAACCTACAATTGGCATAAACCTCCCTCTTATAAAGTTAGATAACAATCACCTGAACAAGAAAAATTCTTCTCTGAAAAATGTTCTTATGCCAATTATGAATCTCTTGTTATATATATATATTTTTTTTTTTAATCAGAATTCTTTCCAAGTTTTCTTTGTTTCACAAAAAAAAAATTTTTCTATCCACTGTCTATTTTGTCAAAATTTTTAGTTTATCTCTGCAGCCAGATACAAATTACCTTCCAATATGTTTGTCTTTTAAATAAGGAAGTTATTTTTCAAAGGATTTTTTTTCTTTGCCCAATATTGTTTCGGGGGTGAGGGGCATATTTTCTTTTTTATAAGGCTGGTTATTAATTTCACTGTTTAAAACAAAAACAGGAATAGAAATTTGAACACATGAAGCTACTAACAAATACTGTTTATAATAATAAGGAACAGTAAAATTTTAATTTTCTCTGACTGATGTGAATTCTCGTCTTAATTCTTTGCATTAAAAAATATCGAGTCCATTACAATCAAAACATTCCATGTTAACAGTAGAGAGCAAACTCAGTTTTGTATTTTCTTTCTATAAATAAACTTTATCCTCACTAAGTATAGTGTCTTTATGAAGCTCTTATTTTGGCTACAAGATTTTAAATATGGCATTTTTAAGACTTTGATATTTTGTTTAGGCAGTTGGTGTGGCTACCACACTCAATGATAAAATAATTTAGTCAAAACATCTTTAATAAACCTGATAAGTTTTCCAAATAATTCAGGATAAGTTCTACACTTTCCTATTTACTGTATTTGATGTCATAAGCTGCTCTGCATTTAATATTCTAGTTATGCTCCATACAAGTTTACACTTGGATAAATATCAGAATGGCTAAATTTTGCCATTGAGACCATGCCTTTTTCTTTTTGGTGAGGATGGGTGCCATTTAAAGTAGAAAACTCAGAAACTGTTCTTGTAGACTTGCCGCCACAAAATACTTGCATAAAACAAAAAAAAAAAAAAAAACAAGTCTTGTAATACCAGTGGCTCAGTTTTAATCTGATGTTTGCAATAATAAAAGAATTAAGTCCTTCCTTAGTCAACATTATCTTCTATCGAATAGTACTAATGACATGCAGTATTGTTTAGACAATGGTTTAAGGTTGACTTATGGCTAGTAAAAGTAAAATGACATCAACTAAAATGTGTATGGGTTACACCCATCAAAAAAAAAAAAAACGCTTTTTCTAATTTTGTACAAAATTCCAGCAAACAATTTAAATTTGTTTATTAATAAACTGAAGAATCTCCCCAAAATCCTGGAATAAATGACATTTGATAAAATGGTTATTCAGTTATTTCGAAGATAACTTGAAGTCTGCTTATTTGTGAAATTAGTAATTTACAAAAATGAATTTTTCAGGTTAGTCAAACTTCTGCCAAAAAGTGCTCAATAGATAACTGTAGCCTTGATAGTCAATAAATTGACAAAAGTTCAAGTGTTTCCTGTCTAATTGTATATCGGGTTTAGATGATTGACCTATTTTTTGTCGAAACACTTAGATAATTTCACAAAAATTCAATTGATTTAACGGGGCGGGGGCTGGCTGGCTATCAGTACCAACAAACTTGTGATGGCAAGATCAGGTAATCATTGTTCATTGATTATTAAAAAAAAAAAAAAAAAATTCTATTAGGAATGGTTATTTTTCATATCTAAATATTGGAACTAAATCTTTAAACAGTTCAGGTTACGGTTTAATTTCTGTTTAACAAGGGCTTGTTTGCTCTGATAGAAATTTTCTCTTGAAATCCTCATCTGACAAACTGAGAGGGGAGAGTAAAAGACTCTTATTAGGAGGAGGAGGTGATTCAAAGGTGATGCAGCATTGGCAATTCTCTCCAACATTTACTTCATGATTCTCAGTTGTTGGCTCAACCTGAGGAAGAACAAAAAAAAAAAAGAAAAGTGAAACAATTTGATTGATTTCTCATTCTGGAGTGATTTTTTTTTTTTTTTTTTCATTCTCAATTGATGTTAACACAAACCAATTTACAAAAATTATACCACTTGGTCATTTTTACCATGATAGAGTAGGGACAAAAATTAAAACTTCAATATCTCAAAAAATAAGTGCAATTTTTCTGAAATTTTTGCTAAATATAGACAAATGGCAGTTCAGTTGTGCTTTAAATCTGTAAGTTATTTGGAATGATACAGAGAGAGCAAGCGCTATGATTCATTTAATTTTTTTTTTTTTTTTTTTATTTACTCTAATATCAAGTGTCTAAAATTAAGGAACAAAAACAATGTTTTTAACAAATAATTGGACAACAAAGTGCAAAAAATCTTATCACTGCTAAACTCTTGTTTGGAATCACAGCTGCATATTGGCGTCCACAGAATTTCACTAAATTTTGACATTTGTCAACTGTAATCTTTCCCTTAGATCTTTGACATTTAATGGATTCCTAGCCATGACATTTTGTCTTAAGTGTTAGTCATGTCAGGATTGTGAGCTGGCCAATCCATAACATTTATTCCTTGGTCATTCAAATAAGCAATAACCTGCTTTGCTTTATAGCAGGGAGCATTATCTTGCATGAACACAGGATTTTCAAACCCACAATTTTGTAATACTGGTATGTTTTCTAACAAATTCTCGTACATAGCAGCATTAACTTATGTAAGTGTACAAGAGGTGATGTACCCAGACTTGAAAACCATCTTGCTGCCTCTACCAAACTTTACTGCCTTTTTGGTGCACTTTGAACTCAACCTTTCACCAATTCATCTTCTTACTGTTTTCCACCAGAACCAAATACATTAAATTTCCTTTCATTACCAAAAAATATGCTGGACCACTGTTCTTTTGACCACAATACGTGCTTGCTTGCAAATTCCAGTTTTACTGTCTTGTTTGTCTCGCTTGTGAACGGCTTCTTCTGTGGACACCTATCATGAAGCCCTATTTCTTGCAATTATCTAGACACAGTTTGTCAGGAGACATTGTCATTTGAAATTTCTCATGAAATGCCTGCCACAGTTTGAAAATGGTCCTTTAGTGCTAAGTATTAGATGATCATGTCTTCTCTGGCTGTTGTTTTCCTTGGTCTACCCACCTTGTTTGGACTGGTTAAGCGTACTAGTGTTTTCGGACAGTCTCAGAATTCAGCTCTCAATGCTTCACCTGTTCAGCAATCTGTCCACTTGGGTGATTTTTCTTTTGCAGTTTGACAACATCTGCTCTTAGAGATTTGTCATGTTGAAAAATGACAGTGATACTAAACAATCTTAACCTCACTTATCAAAAATTTGGATTATGTCCATTCTCACATATTTCCCTGATTTGTCCCTTAATTTTGGACACTTGATATTCGAGTAAAGAATTAAATGAATCATATCATTCATATATATATATATATATCTCATTCCAAATAACTGTAATGAGTTGGTCGGTCAACTTGACACCCCCAAAGTGAGTGGAGGTGGGCAGGTGCGGAAACTGGGATTGGTAGCTGGCTTGTTGGTGCAGTTCGTCGTTACGGCAGTAGGAGAGAGAGATGAAATTTTTTTTTTTCTTTTGTGGCACATTTCAACAAACCTCAGACGTTGACACGCGTTATCTGAATCCAGCAGCAATGGCAAAGAGGCCTTTCGACCTGCGGTTGATTCAAGAGTTTGGATTGGCCACATCAGATGAACCAATTATAGAATCGCTTGAGCAAGTAGAGATGATCTGTGAGCTGGCAGATGAAGAAAGGGTCGAGCGCATTCTCCCATTGCGGTTGACTGGTGGGGCTCTCGCTGTGTATCGGCAACTCAGCAGAGAGCTGATATTGAGGAAATCAAGCATGTCCTCAGCACTGCGTTCGGCGTAGATGCTTTCATAGCATTTGAAATGTGTGGTGATTGCGTGATGAAGAGACAGATGCCAAAGGATGGGTCACTTTGCATCAGAGTGCCCAGGAATTGAGTCGGGGGGGGGGTTGTTAAGACGCCAACGCCAGTCTCCTCCCCGGGTAAGTGCAACATTGAAGCGCTGCCTGTGATTAAACTGCTCATTGATGGACAGAGATGCACGGCCCTGGTGGACTCCGGGTGTTCAAAGACACAAAATGTGCAAGTTGGCGTGTCGCTTGCGGAGACCTAAAGAGGCACAAATTGTAACTGCCAACGGAAAAACCCTTACCAGCCTCGGTGTCAAAACAGTGGAGGTGAAAATCAACACCATACGCCCGGTAACCGTGGAGGTATTGATTGTACACCAAACCTTGCCAGGGCTTGACCTCCTGCTAGGAGTCGATGTGATTGCGAAACTGGGAGGAGTCCATATAAGCGGCTCAGGTGAAGTGAATTTTGCCGCTGAGAACGTGCCCCTCAGAGCCTCCATTGCAATAAACAAACCTGATTTCAGTGCAACTTGCAACCAGCGCAGGCGCGTATGGACCGCAACATGGAAGTGGGCAGGTGGCTGAACGCCTGCACCACTGAAAAATAAAATAGCAGAGTACCCGGTTCCAGAGCATATCAGGAGCGAATACGAAAATGAATTGCAGCTTTGGATAGCAAACGGCTGGCTTATGCCGTACCCCAAGGAGGAGCTAGGGCCACCTCGAAGACTGATTCCATTGATGGCAATAGTGCAAGAGAATAAGGAGAAAGTGGGACCGGTCATGGACTACCGGGAATTGAATAACTTTGTAGATGCGTATATGGCCAACGCGGACGTTTGTGTCCAGAAATTGCGGGAATGGCGACAGCAAGGGAGCAACGTGGCCATCCTCAATTTAAGAAGGGCCTACCTCCGAGTCCACTGATCACTCTGGATTTTCAGACTGTCATGGTAAAAGGACGGAGATATTGCCTCACTCGATTGGGATTTGGTCTTAATGTGGCCCCAAAAATCATGTCAACAATTATGAATGTGGTCATGTCGCAGGATGACGAAATTCGAAGGGCAACATCATCCTACATCGACGATGTCTACGTCAATGAAAACATGGCCTCTTCAACGAGGGTTAAGGAACATCTCGAACGCTTTGGCTTGGTATACAAGGCCCCATGGCCGCTGCAGGATGGAGCAAATGTACTCGGACTACACGTCAGTAGTGATGGAGAAAAACTTTGCTGGAGGCAAGGCAGTGACGTCCCGGAAGTCCCGCCAGTGATCACTCGTCGGAGTACTTTCTCCATGTGTGGGAAACTGGTAGGCCATTTTCCTGTATGCGGTTGGTTCAGAGTGGCGACAGCAGCCATAAAGCACCGCGTGACGCCTGCTTTGTCAGGATGGGATGACGAGGTACACAACGTTACCCTAAGATGCATGATAACTGAAACTATGGAAAGAGTGATGCAAGATGATCCCGTGCGAGGTGACTGGTGCATTAAGGGGAATGAGCTCACTGTTTGGGTGGATGCCAGCTCGTTGGTCATGGGTGTCGCCCTTGAGGATAACGGGTCCATCACAGAAGACGCCTGCTGGTTACATGAGATTGATGCCCCAACAAATAAACCTGGCTGAACTAGATGCCACACTGAAGGGGGTTAACCTGGTGCTCCAATGGCAAGCAACAGTGCTACACATTGTTACGGACTCAGCATGCACTCAGTGTTGGATATCAGATGCACTTACCGGAAGAGCGTGATTGACCACCAAGACATCAAGCGAGATATTGATACGAAGGCGGCTCGCCACGCTGACCGGAACTATCAAAGAGTACAACCTGTCTGTGGATGTAGCGTTAGTTAAATCGGCAGTCAACAGAGCAGATGCATTGACTCGCATTCCGCAGCATTGGTTGACTGCTGCTCAGAAAGAGTCTGAACCTCTGCAGCTGCCATGTACGGCTTCTGTGCTCAGTATGGACCTCGAACAGATCATGAGCATACATGAACAGTGTGGGCATCCCGGGATTAAATGGATGCTCTACTTCTCGAAGATGGTCGACCCAGCAGTCAAAAAGGCGGATGTTAGGACAGTAGTGTAGAGGTGCGAGGCGTGCCAGTCAATTGACCCGGCACCGGTGCAATGGCAAAAAGGAAACTTGAGTACTACCCATGTTTGAAACAGGCTGGGGATAGATGTTACGCATGTTGGCAGCCAGCACTATTTGACTATTATTGACTGTGGTCCCTCTCGATTCGCCATTTGGTGACTGCTGCACCGGCAGGACACTGCCAGCATAATACGTCAATTGGAGTCCATTTTTTATGACCGGAGGCCACCTGCAGAAATATTGACAGATAATGGTGCACGTTTTCCTTAGAGCAATTCTCGCAGTTCTTAAGGAAGTGGGATGTGCGGCTTAGGTTCCGGTGTGTCTATATGCCGGCAGGAAACAGCATAGTAGAAAGGAGCCACAGGTCTATAAAAGTGATTGCAGCCAGGAAGCGATGTTCGATCCCCAAAGCAGTTTATTGGTATAATGCGACACCTAAAGACGGTGTTTCGCCTACAACAGCATCGGCTAACATGGTGCACGTCTATCACTTACGGCTGCGAGGCATTGACATCGCAATGGCTCCAAGCGACGTGCAAGCAAAATACAGAATTGGTGACATAGTGTGGGTTAAGACCCTGCACAGCAAGTGTACAGAGAAGCTTAGAATGGGGCATGTTACCAAGAGTATCAGCCCACAATCAGTGCGGGTCGATGGCATGCCTCGTCATGTTAAAGACTTGCAGCCAGTTGTAGGGTTAAAACCGTCATCAGATGATGAAAGTGACTCTTTAAAGTCGGATGGCAGCTCAACGGATGAGAGTTCATCCAAGGATGAGGACCCTGTCATTCTGCTCAGAAGGAGTGCCTGACAGAAGAGGCCTGCCCTGAGTTGCACGGTGCGTGATCATGGCTGCGAGACACAAGATGAATCTGGAAATCTGCGACCTCGGAGCAAGCGAGTTTGCGCATGTGTGGTCATCCCAAAATGTGTCAAGTGTGCAAATTGTATATATGTGGATGCAGTCACCAGACAGACGTAACCATCTCTCAAGCTGAGGAACTTTGTGATCTTAAGATCGGGGGTGGGGGTGTGTGGCACCCTGCATTATTAGAAAAACTAAAAAGAAATATTCATAGAAATATGATTTTATTTTATTCGGTTTATTAACCAGTTGTTAATTATTCTTCGTCTAAATAACTAAGTTTTGAGAATAATTCTCTAAGTGTATTTAGGCGACCCTAAGGGAAGAAGAAGGGAAAAGGAAAAGAAAAGAAAAGGAGAGGGAGAGATGGGTAATGCAAAAAGCTGGTCATTAGCGAAAACAGGTGTCAAGAGATATCTAGGCCAACGCGCTTTGACCAATTTCAAAAACAATGGAAATTGTTATTTGGAAGAATAGAATTAAAGGTAATTAAAAGAAAGAAAGAAAACAGACTTGGTAAAAGTGTATGAACATACGTACGATTGATAAAAATATCGGTCAAAACATCTGGCCTACTTTTGTGTAGAAGCTCATTATCAATTTGGAGAAATGGGATTTTTAGAACAATGGAAAACGAAATATTAATCGGAGAAGGGTGTCTTTTGGGATGAGAAGGTGACCGCTGGAATTGTATACAGATCTTGACCTGTTGAAGATTAGAACCCCCACAATGAGGAAGTGAAGATATATTCAATTCAGATAATTAAGATTTTTTGACTATCAGGTCTGAGCAAAAACAAAGAGGTGAAAACAATTGTTTTGCTCACAGCTTTTGCCAGCGAGACGAGAAAAATTCTTCCTGAAGTCATATCTAATTAGCGGCGGGCTGTTTTGACAAAAGCAAAAAAAAGTGAGAAAGGCCGAGATTGTCATTTTTTCGATGCGTGCGAAAAAGGCCAAATTGGATTTTGTTTTTTAGCTAGGTGTCTCTTTCCCAGAACAAAGCCGGGATAGACCACGCCCGATTGGAGACGCCACGAAGGACGGAGACGCCTAACCAGAATCTCATTAGCCGAAAGCGGTCACGTGATATGCAGTAGAAAGAGGAGAAAGGACGTCGACCAAGACCGGATTGGTCGAAAACGGTCACCTGACATACGAGAGACCGGGAGAGATGGCATGCGCCCCACCCAGAGGCGCCAGAGGAAGTAGGGGTGAAAATAAGAGCGATAATGGGAAATCAGAAATAATGCGATTTTTGGAATTATCAAGGAAACCCTGACGCCTTTACAGACCCACCCCAGTTTGTTGCGGGGCAATAAAAGCAGAACCCCAACCGACAGAAATCAGAGAGTTGCGGGGTAGACGGCCAGAGCAGTTGGAGAGCGGACGGCGGGCTCCTGTTCATTCGCCCCCTTGCAGGGCAAGAAGGGTCGGTCTGTTTGGCCAGGCAGAGAAGTTGCAGCCAAGTCAAGAGAAGAAAAGGCAAAGAAGAGAAGTTGCAGCCAAGTCGAAGAGAAGAAAATTGCTCGAAAGCCGCAGAGAAGTTGGAGCAGAATTGCAGGCCAGATAGGCAGAAGAGCTGCAGGCCAGACAAGCAGAAGAGCTGTAGGCCAGATAGGCAGAAGAGCTGCAGGCCAGACAAGCAGAAGAATTGCAGGCCAGACAGGCAGTAAAGTTGCAGGCCAAACAAGCAGAAGAGTTCAGCCCTGGAAGGCAGAGAGAAGAGTTCGGACCTTGGCAGAAGAGTTGCAGGACGGAAGAAGAAGAAGTTACTTGCAGTTGCGTCTAGAAGAAGTTGAAACCAGGCCAAGCCTGAGGGTGGAAATTCGTCCAACCCAAATCGCAGTGAAGAAATACGTCCAACTCAAGCCAAAGCTTAATAAGCTCGTCCAACTCAAGCCGAAGAGAAGAATCAGCCGTGAACGACTGGTAGAGATTAGCGCCCAGTGTCGTGAAAAACCATACCACACTCCGACATACAGAATTCTAGAGAGTAGGCAACTCAAGTCTTTAAATTGTATGATAGAAGCTTGGTGCCACAGTCCACAAAGCGGGTCGGGAAGTAAGAATAATTTTTATGTAATCTAACATTAGATATAAAAGGTTGTTACCCTTTTTTATCAGTAATTTTTGGCCTCGTGAGTTTTTCTTTTACTTAGGTATTGCCACCCCCCGTCGAACTCAACTAGCATACGGCCCCAATCCCTGTTTGATCCCGCCTGTCTAAGATCTAATCACAACGTGGGTAGGCAGACCGGAGATCAGTACAGTTACCCTAGTAACCAGGTGTTGGAAGCGAGTTGGGAACGGCGAGGCTGGTAATCATCTAACCAAAGGTTGGAACGTCACACTTGGAGCAGCGAGGGAGCGAACAGCTGATGCCGCGGCAAAAAAACGTCACGTCACAGTTGGAGCCCATGAACGAGATCGAACGACAGAGTCGACGCTGCAACCAGGAGGAGCGACGTCACAGTTGGCGCCGTGACCAAAGGATTCGACCCTGGACCAAGTGACGTCACAGGTGTAATGAGTTGGTCGGTCAACTTGACACCCCCAAAGTGAGTGGAGGTGGGCAGGCGTAGAAACTTATTGGTAGCTGGCTTGTTGGTGTTTTGCATGGGCGAGTTACCAAGCTCTATGTAAAGGGCTGGAATGAGAAGGAGGGCAGTTCATCTCAGAAATGGAGATTGTGCCCGTCGCTACAACAGTAGGGGAGAGAGAGAGACAAAATTTTTTTTTTTTTCTTTTCTGACACATTTCAACACAATAACTTAAAGATTTAAAGCACAACTGAACTGCCATTTGTCTACATTTAGTGAAAATTTCAGAAAATTGGCCTTATATTTTTTTGAGATATTGAAGTTTTCAAGTTTGTTCCTTAATTTTGGATGCGACTGTAGTTTCACAGCTGTTCACCAGATTTTTCTTTCAGTTCAGGGCAAGGACTTTATATTTCATTTCCAAATTGGTATTTGAAATGATAGGTAACTTAGGGTTAATGTCATTGTTGGCTCAATTATAAACTCCCAGATCAGGACCCCTAGAAGTATCAGTATGCTCAAATTGTCAGAAGTTCTTCACTATAGACCTTTTCAAAAACAGAAACTAAGATCTGGAATTGAAATGAAAGCAAAAATGGCATATACCCTGAATTCATCATAAAAATTCAAGATATGGAATTAGTAAATAATAAACACTTAAAATATCTTGTCATATGGATCAGTTATAACAACTTTAGTATAGGAGAAATGCAAACTGAATAGGCTATGCTGTAGATACCACTATGCTCAATGCCACAAATTGCTACAAATCCCAAAGATTAACCTGAAAAATTATGTTCTTAAATATCCTCATCAGATTGAGACTTTCATATGGATGTTATGCATGGCACCAAACCTGTTCAGAAATATCTAAACTGTCAGCTGTAGCTATTTTCTAAGACCAATGGTTAAAACTGTGGATCTTGGAAAAAAAAAATAAATAAAACATCCTTCTTCAAACCTTGTGAACTTTACTGATCAAATGACAGTTTCTCCTACAAAGTGATACAGATTTCAGAAAAAAATATCCATATACAGAAAAATAGCATGACAAATTGGGAAAAGTTTCTGATGCATTTCATCCAACTGAGCTTATTGATGTTGCCACATCTACACATGCGCATGAAATGAATTTCAAAATTTTTTAAATTTGGCTAGATTGAAAAAATATTCTTTCAAAAATTTTGAAACTACCAGCATCTTTCATTTTGTGCACATGTAGACGTAGCAACATCAACAAAACCCAGTCAGATGGAATGCGTCACAAAAACTTTTCTTCAATTTGTCATACTATTTTTCTAAATACAGTTTGTTTTATATATATATATATATATATTTCAAACATTCATCTTAGTTTTTTTTGACAAATTTCTTTTTTTTTTATATATAATTTTTTGATTGAGTTTTTCTAATTGTTTTTATTTTTGTTCAGAATAGACAAACCAGAAACAAACCTTGAGTGTTGGAAGGGAAGAGAGTTCAAGTTCTTGCTGCAATGACTTCATTGTTTCTTGCAACCTGCCCAGGAACAAAAAGAAAAAAAAGTTCATCAAATGCAAAAAAAATAGAAAATTTAATTCCAGGAAAATAACTGAAGAGATAAGGAAACATTTGCCAATACTTTCCTTGATTGCTCCCTATGGCCAAATAAACAAGGGCCATCTTGCTTTCTGTTTACTAGAAACACTTATTTTCTTCTTGGCCTTTTGGTAATGACCCAGTAAGGCAATGTAGCAAATATATGCATGCTATTTGCACAAATTTTGATATTAAGTAATACAATGTTTATATTTTCTTTACATTGATAATGCTCTCTTGAGGAAATGATCAGATCCATATTGTACAATTTTCTTTAATCTCTTGAAAACATGGACAACCAGAAATTATTTTTAACATTTACAATCATAAAAACTTTTATTCTGTTTGAATTGCTGTAAATAATAAATAATACATTGACCCAAGATTTCAGTCATTGGAAACTCTATGATATTGTTAAGAGGTGTACAGTATGTGCTTTGCCAGGGTTACATAGTTTTGAATTTAGTTGTCCTAGACTGGTTGCCAATTACAGCTGGAGAGCCCAGTCTACCGTACTATTTAACCCAGAGCTAAGGGGGTGGAGAAGAGATAGATGCATGCCTTTCCCAAAGGTAATTGCATAAAAGTGAATGTAACAAACTTGATTATGATGCAAACTCAGCCTACCAAATTCTTGTTCTATCTCTTGCATATCCACTTGAGTTCATGTACAGCTGTTAAAATTTTCTTCCAAGCATTGGTGTAGCATGTGGAACCACTTGACATATCTGACAGAGAAAAATCTTATTTACTTAATTTTCTGCTTGTTTGTGAGAAACAAGATTGGTCCAGAAGGAATTGGGTGGGTGGGGGATGTTATATGAAGAGAAAACCAGATGAATGGAAATATACATGTGGTGTGACAATTCCAGAAAGTGTCTAGGGTAATGTGTCAGGCAAACATTTGTATTTGTTACAACTTCTGCATTCTTGAGAGACAAATCAGAAGCATCATTTATTACTAAAGAGTAGACAAAACTTCATGCATTCATGTTGTGGTGGGGGCCATATCACCTCCAAAATAATAATAAAATATGCTGTAAAACGGGGAAAAAAATGAGTTTTCAAAAGAACCAAGATGTTAAAAATGCTGGTAAGGCTTTGAAATGTAAATGTTACAGAAAATTAATTTAGAACACAAAATACAATCTTTTTGTAAGTGTACAAAGGATATCAGAAAATTACTGGGACAATGATAATTTGGAGCTTTTAGAAAAAGAAATGAATTTTGACACTGTTAGAATTGAAATTAAAATAAGGATGTTTTGATTTAGAATTTATTTTTGAAACCAGAATCTCTGTAGTTTACAGAAGTGGCAGAGTGGTTGATAGTGAGGTGATAAACAATAGAATCTTGTTGTGGACCTTGGAAACCAATTGGTGAAAAAGTAAACTGTTTACTCTTGGAAGAATGAAATTGTACTCTGAAAGTATGTCAGTACGTTCGCACTAGAAAAACAGATACATCACCAATTCTCTATATAAAGAAGCGAGCCAACTGTAAGAAGGGAGAGTTTCGGGTTCATCTGTCTTTGAATACAGTTGAACTTGAGGGAGTGATGTCAGAGATTGAAAAGAAAACATCTCCTGTGTGCTGCTGAATGGGAGGTGAAGAGCGAAATACTTCCACTACATCTAAGTACAGCTACTACTAATACTACTATTACGGCTACTGAGAACAGGAACATCAAAGGTTGTAGTAGTTGCACTAAGAACAGACCAAAAACAGTTAAAATGAAGGCCACATCTCTCCTTACCAAAATTACTCAAAATATTTGTGTTTGTTTGGTTATTGCTCACATACAACAAACATTCAACCTTGTGCAACAAGAATTTTTTTGTGTATGTTTGCTTTTATATAAAAAAAAAAAAAATCGAATCAACTTGGTTCTTTGTTTTTCTGTTAACCTGATTCTCACCCAATGAAACTTGCAAGTGGACCAATGGGGAGCTTCCAGACTTCTATGATCTGATGACCACTCTCCAGGATAAAAAATATCACAGTGTGGCTAGAGGGTGGTTTCAAATTGACATTGGGAACCGGAGACTTATATCTAACCTGCAATACTTGTGACCATACCAGACCAACAGCCGGTCTCGTGGAGTGCATGGGTCCAGTGGGGTGAGGATATGGTGTTACAATGTTATATCAGTGCCTCCACTAATTTTCAATACTTTGGTTTAAAATGAATTTTTATAAATGAAAAAGCTTTCATTTTAGCTTTAATTGAAAGCTAACAAATTACATTTACTATTTCCAGTAAGCAAAATACTCTGGTGTATTTCAAACAAATTATATTGATTGGAATCAATTTAAAATATTTTTTTTCTAAAATAGCTGATTAGAATTCTTTTTTAGTTATTTTTCATTGCAATGTAATTCTGTTAAAAAATCTTCCAAAAATAAAATATACTTTTCTGAAACTTTATTTCTGAAATATTAGCTGATTTAAAGTATAATTAATCTGATTTGAAAAAAATATTTACTTTAAGTTTAAAATAACAGAGTCACTTGACAAGTGATGATAAAATCTGTCAACACCTTTACTGTTCTACAGAAACTGTATCAGTTAAAACATAATTTAAGAAAATGATGGGTGAGTGACATTTTTATATAATTTTTAAGTAATCTCAAAAATGTTGGAAAATATTGGAATGTTGAATTTAAATTTACTATAGTCATCACTCTTATTTTCTGATTATGTCATGCATGGTCAACCATACTTTAAAACAGGGGCAAGTTATGTAATATTTTATATACATAAAAAATTAAAATATTTTTTAAATATTGGTGCAAAATAATTTGTATTAAGCTTTTCAATTCTTGATTAGTAAATATAGTTTTCACTTAGTAATATCACCTAACTAGATGAAAATAATGCAAAATTTTTAAGAGATTTATATATTATAAATTATAATTAAAAAAAGAATGCAAACAATTCTTGTAAAAATTCATTATTTATCAAAAAATCTTTTTTCTTAAGACAATAGTGTCCTTAATAAATCTTATTTATAAAAGCAATTCACAGCCTTTCCAAATAAAATATGGCATAGTTTTATTGCATATTTTATAATTTGGAGCAGATTTTCAGGAAATGCGTAGTAGTTTGAAAAAAAAAAAAAAAAAAAAAAAAAAAAAACTGATGATTTACATTCTCCAAGGAGTCCTGGTTTTAACTAATAAAAAAATTTTCAGATGAAAATTTAATTTCTCAAGTTAATGAAATTAAGTAAGGTTTAAGATATGTAAAAAAAAAAAAAAAAGTATATATTTCTTACCAAAATTTTCTGAAAAAAAAAAATTTCAAAAATAATATAATTCATTTGTGAATAAGCCATGAAAATTTTATTAAAATTCAACAATTATTTGATTTTTTCAAGAATTTCCAAATCAATGTTTTTTTCAGCTGAAAAAAAGGTGCTAAAACACTAATATTACATCAACCATTGAGAAAAAGAAAAGAAAAAAAAAGATTTTTAACCAAAATTTTGTATGTGCTAGAAAGGATTCAAAAATTTAATAAAATAATAAAAAATTACTTTGTTATTATTAAAAGGAAAGACAAAAGATTTTGATGATAAAACTTTGTTTTTATTAAGTTTGGGTTTTTTTTCATCATGCTATGCTTTTTTTTTTCTCAACAAAAAAGTAGAGTAGCATTCTGGCAGAAAATGTGTAAAAGACAGAGCTTTATATGAAGATTGGTAAAACCCTATTAAAAATGTGAACATGCTATGAATAAATTTTTTTTGGGTGGTACAGAAATGGTGCAAGAAAGGGTTAGCCAAAAACAGAACAGATGCAAATGTGGAAGAAGTGTAAACCTTGGTGCACTCAAATTGAAGATTAAGTGTGTGACTGGTAGCAGAAGAACTGAATATAAATAAGGAAATAATGCAGTAAATTCTAACAGAATTTAGGAATGAGAAAACACTCCTCCAAAGTGGTGCCTTGAATTTTGATTGATGAACAAAAAATCCAGTTTCATTTGATCTTTTTAATAATGCACAGATGTTTGACAGTTATTATTTGTAATGAAATGTGGTGTTTTTAATACAACCTGGAAACAAAATACCAGAGAATGCAGTGGAAAACAAAGAATTCAACTTAGACCAATAAAAAAATAAAAAGCATGCATGTCTTGCTCACTGTTTAAGACCATAATTGCATTTTTCTTTGATCAAAATGGGGAGAGTTTACTATAAATTCTTATGATAATCACCTGACCTCAATCCTGCTGAAGATTTTGGAGTTATTTTTAGCCATTGCATATTTCTTTGCCTAATCTACATTTTAAAACTTATTTTTGAATTTTCAGGGAAAGCTGCTAACTAGACATGCATGGTAATACATTTTAAGGTGTTAATTTATCTATCTTTTCTGTTTTATATGACTGTTATATTTCTATATATCAAGAAACTAGGAAAATAAAAAAAAATATTGACTTTCATTTAAGAATGAAGAGAGAAAACTTTATAAAAAAACAAAATGGAAACAAGAAAATCAAAATATAAATAATCTTGTGAGCAAAAATATTGCTGACACATCAAATACCTTTTGTAAAGAATTGCTATCAACACTGGCCTATTTTGTGTTTTATTATCTATTATGTTAATCTTTACAATCTTGCTGTTTCAAATAAGAGGTTTCTTTAAACTGAGTAAAAATTTCTAAAAATGTATACTTATCTATAATACATGCCCCCTTTTGCTTTTAATTTTTGTTCTAAATTTCTCATATTATGCACAAAAAAATACCATAAGCAAATGTTTACAAAACAGTTTCACTTACTTAAGACTAAGTTAGACTTTATGAAAGTTTACGGTAAGAAATCTATTTCAAAATCTTGATTGTACGTTGATTTGGCAAAATGACATTCTTCAGTTACAAGACTCATCAGTTGCCACAACAGCCATTAAAGCAAAAATACTAAAATTTTATCCTAATTTGATCCTTACTAGCAAATTTACTCCTCCTTGAGTGCTCTGATACTGTTGGCCATGTGCCAGTATAAGCATTGAGAATATCTTTGTTCTTTAATTTTTCATTAATGTATGAAAATTTATTTTGATAATATTTGATCAAAATTCACAAAATTATCGTTTTATAAATAGGAAATGATTTTATTTTTTAAAAAATATCAGCTTTTTATTTACAGGAAGATAAAAAAAAATTAAGTCAATCAACAAACCTGATATAACGTTCTTGAATGCGACCTCTTTCATTATCCTGGGGAAAAAAAAAAAAAAAAAGAATCAATAATGTCAAGGAAATCAGAACAGGAAAAAGAATTGTTGTTGGGTTTCTGAAAGAAAATATTTTAGCTGATCTATTCTTCCTCAGCTATTAAATTAATAATAAGACTATCAAGTAGTTTTCAAATCATAAGATTAAATATTTTGATAATACTCATATCTCTTTGTTTTGAATTAAAAAAGAATAGATTGATTAAAATGATTAATTCATCCATTTTTTATGGCACCTGCTCTCCCCAAGTGATCACCTATCAAGGTACTGACCAGGCTAGATGTTGCTTAACTTTGGTAAGCATACAGGAACCGCAGTTCCAATGTGATATTTCTTTCCCTTTTCTTGCTTATGAGTCCAAACTAATATGTTTTTTTCATCTTTGCCATATTTTGACTGATACATTTTCTAGCCTTCCTCAGGTATATCCATATGTGGATATCTTAAAAATCACTTATCTTGTCTGTTTTACATTTCTTTTCTAACTTTCATCTCAACCCAAATGAGAACAGTTATCCATTTTAAATAACAATAATCCTACAGGTCTTGGATAAGAAATAAAGAATCATTCAAAATGGAAGGGATTAAGTTGGTGGTAAAAAGATTGGTGCATATGGGGAGAACCTGCTTGCCTTAAAAAGAATCAACATTTCAAATTTTGTGACTTGATTTTTGTTACTCTTCTTAGTCTGGCACAAGGACAAAATGGAAGAGGTCAAAGGTCTTGCACTAATGTTATAAGTGGGAAGAGCAGGCCTAAAGCCAAAAGTAAAAATCAAATGTGTGGATTCAACTATGTAAAAAAAAAAAACTGACCCGAAAGTCTTCCATTTCATCAATAATGTGTTGCCTACTCTCTTGATTTGTGAAGCTTTTATGGGTCAAAGGTGAAGATGCTTCTTTCTGTGGAAGTTGGATGACCCCCTGTAGCTGTTGTTGCTCTGATAATCCAATTTTGTTCTGGAATAGTTTAGAACAGAAACATAAAAAAAAAATAAAACACAATTTGAATTCTTAACACAATATATAAACCTGGACCAGAATTAAATTACAAATGATCCTTACTGAGATGTTCTCGATGGGTGCTCCACACTTGTGGTCTTCTACCAGACCAGCATTTCTCAACCAGTGTGCCCAGGCACACTAATGCGCCCTGAAAGGTAGCCAAATGGGCCCCATCTTAACAGAAGAGTAATTTATAAATCTTTATTTTAAAAAAAAACTAGACACACCAAGTACGTGGCTTCCATGTCTAAATCAAGTCATATTTTAAAGTGGATGCTAAATTTCCAATTTAATGTAAGGATCATTTCCTTATTAAAATTCAGTGTGTCCTAGATTTTTAGTTATTCTACAAATGCACCCTGAAGTAAAAATGGTTGAGAAACACTGTACCGCACCAATACTCTGAAAAGGATACTTTTTGATGTGGAATAATAGTCTGAAAGTTTTTCAAACCATTACTGCAACAGTGAACTTGATCCTTACTGGGTGCCACAATTATGACCAAACTAAACTAAGTTTAATAAGTTTTTTATACTATTGTTCGCCCAATACAAGGCCCAAGAGCCACTCGAGGTAGAGGGTTACTGAATGAGGTTGTCCATTTCAGTTTCACTTAATATAAACAGCTTCAATAATATTGCTAGTCTCAGCATTATTTTTTTTTCTATTGATTTGTGGTTGTTGTGCTCTTTAGACTTCTTCAGGTGTCTCACAATCTGGCTAACCCTCAGGGTTTTTTGAACTGAACCCTTTATTTAATCTATGGGTGTAAATAGTTCTTTTTCTGATCTCTGTTTCATCGTGTTCTTTAGTACTGCTCAGTTATTGCTCATCCTGTTTCCACTGCCCAAGTCTTCATTACTTGACCCAAGCATTGAACTAACAAAATTCACAAACCAATGCTTTAAGCCACAAGGTGAGGAAGAAAGATGATTGAAGAGATCCAGGATAAATTTAGAATCAATACATGAAACTTTATTTTTTGCATCAGCTTAAATAGCAGTTGGAGGTTTCAGGTTCATGACTTTCTCAAATGCCAGTTAGTTTAATAGTGACATTTGCCAATAAGAATAAAAGTATTGAGCAACTAGAAAAGGGTAAAAAAACAAACTGGGCAGTTAGAATAGTTATAAAACAAAAACCTGGCCACCTAGGGAAGGGTTAAAAGAACAGGACAACTAGAAAAGATGTCCAATGAAAAATGAAAAGAAAAAAAGGCATGAAAAATTCTGAATGATGTGTTAAAGAATGAAGATATACAAGAATGAATTAATAAATAGTTTTTACCTGCAGCATTGCTTCTTGTTTACCTTTTGGGAGATTGCCCACTGCAAAGAAAAAGTCATAACAATGTTGTTATCACTTTGCTTAAAATGTTTTTTGTAACCAGTAGACATTTCTAGGAAACCCATGTCAAATATTTTCAATTAACATGCTTAGTGTTTTCATGTTTGTTTTTTTAATCATTTCACCCCAGGTAGGGCAATAAAACCAGTAAGATACAAAAGGTTTACTGAGTGTGATAGAATATGAGAAAAAAAAACTATTAAGGAGGGAGAATAAAAGAACAAGAATTAAAAAGAGAGAACAATTGACACTGTGTTTAAATCTTTGAAAAAAATAAAACAGAATTTTGCCTTCATCACTAAATAGGCACCGCCTTTCATGTCAAAGAATTATCTCATTTCAGCATGGAATATTGACCTGTTATTTCCCAGTTTCATCTGGTATTAATTATAAAAAATTAATATCCAGTATTAATTATAGATTTCTACTTATAATCTATTAATGCCCACCTTCCAAAAAGACTTTTTCTATGTTCTCCAATTGATCCAATTTAATAAAAGTTTCTTTTGTTGCATTTATTACAAACTAGCAGTAGATCCTGGTGTTGCCCGGGAATGTAAGAGTAAGAGATAGATCAAGTATCGACCATCATAAAGACTGAAAAATAAAATTGACAAAGATTATTGTTTAAGGTTGACAGACACGCATGTCTTAATTATTTTTTTTTTTTTTTTACGAATTGGTCAAACCCAAACTCAAACAAAAACATTGTTTTCAATCGTTATGAGTCTATCGATTGAATAGAATTTTATTATAAACAATTGTCTTGTAAATGGAATTTTTAAAGCATTCTGAATGTAAAAATAAAGAAAAAAGTGTGCAAGACAATAAGAAACACTACCTGTCAAAAAAAAAAGTGAAGTTTTGTTGAAATCGGTTGAAAAATGTAGGAAATCCGATCCCATATATAAAGGAACACACACACAAACATACAACCTGGGTTTTATAAGTATAACTCGATATGAGTTGTCCCCCTTTCATTCTGGTGACAGTGATGCCTCTTAATTGTGTTTTCAAATTGATTTTGTGCAAAAACAATTGTGTTTTTCCAATTTTTGGCTCTGTCAGAACCACCGCAAGGTAATTTTATGTAGTCCTGTGAAGTTTTGTTGAAATTGGTTGAAAAATGTAGGAAATCCAATCCAATATATAAACGAACAGACACACACACAACCTGGGTTTTATAATAAGTATGATTTATGAAATTCTCATATTTAGGTAAAAATTGGGGTGTTAAATGCTATCAAATATGGCAGTTCATCATTATTTAGGTTCTATTGCATGTAATATCATGTTTAAAATATTCAAATGCCAAGCCAACCAACTGTTATATTTATATTAATTTGTCAACTTGTCTCAAGTGAAACTCTGCTATAGATGGTATTTTTCCACCCGAGTTAGATAATTCTAAAGTCAAACTGACTTTTGTAGACACATCAAATTCTTAATATTAATTAAATTCTCCAGAGCTGAAATAATTTACTTCATTTTACATTAGAACTGATCTCTGATAAGATCCAAAATCAATCTAATCTCCAATGAACTAACAGTTTTTACTCACCCAGTGGACTTTTTAATGTGGTAGACTCATCTATTATTAATACAGGTTAATGATTTTCAAAAATGAAAGCTGAAATAATTTCCTTCATTTACATCATTAGTGATCTCTGATGAGCTCCAAAACTGATCTAATTAATCTCAGATGATCTAATGGTATTCACCTAGAGGTGGAATAGGGTACATGGGTTTTTCATGTAAGAGACTTTGAAGTTAATGTTGTTAATATTGATTAACATCTCCAAAGCTAGAAGCTAAAATAATTTACTTCAGAACTGATCATCTCAGCAGATCTAATCGCTCAAAACCTGTTCATCACTCTCTATATAGTTTTATAAAAGGAAGTCTATGCTCTTGGCCAGTATTCTCAATGACCAAACATCAGAATTTTGTTTTAAACTTAAGAGACAATGTTCCATATATGTTGAACTTAAGCAAGGATATGTGGAAGAGCATGTATATTTCATGGCTCAAGATTGTGATAGGAAGAGGAAAAAAATACTCCTCAGCCCCCCAGTGTGTGTGTGTGTGTGTAAATATTGTAAGAGGATTGTTTGGCAGCACTTTCTAGGGTCACAGCCTGGTTGTACATAGTGTTTAAGTCTAGTGACCTATTCTTGTCCAGATATGAGTAAACAGTAGCCCCTTTATGAAGGTGTCTTGAATGTACTCATCACAGTTAACCTGTCACAGGTTTAAATCCGTTATCTTTGCAAATTAGACAGAGAGCTTGTAAATACTGATCCAAACTCTCTTAGAAAAATACCAAAAGAACTTAAGGACAAACAGATTTTGCACCTCAAAACACTGTCTAGATGGACTTAACAACAGACTAAACAGCACAGATAGAATTAATATATAATCTCAGAGATCACCCCCACCCATATTTCTCAACCACACTAGACAGACATGCTTGCAGAGGTGTTGAGATCTCCCACAAATATACACCCTATGCCAAAAAAAAACTAAAAAATAATATACATATAACACACACATTCCCTTTCCAACAACCAATGAAGCTGTCAGAATGACTATGGAGGTAAATCTGAGACTCATGAATCTCCCAGCCTCTCCTTAAAAGAACTTCAAAGAGGCCTTTTGACCAATACAAGGACTGACCAAAAATTAACAATAGAAAAAAACAAATGAAAATGACACACAAAGTTCACTTTCTTCAGAGACAGTCATTCACTCTTATAGTTCACTGCTACTAACAAGTAGGATTTTTTTTTTTTTTTTGATTTCAGTGAGAAAATGAAAGAAGGGAAGATAGAAGTGGAGAGAGAATCAGTTTAAGCTGATAAGAACAGATACTACACTTTGACCTTAGCCAAAAGGCCGAGAACAAACCACAATGAAAGCTGCATTTTTCAGACACACAGTATTGAATGATGGAAACTGAGTAAGGTAACTGCCAAAAATCCAATTACCATAAATAAAATAACATCATCTGCTGAATTATTTTTAAATTATTATTAACAGAAATGTTCATAAGATAGAGATTTGGTTAGTGTAAATAATTACATTTACAGACATTTATTCATTTTCATAAGTTTTTCTGTAAAGTATAGCAAACCTGGTGCAAAGGCCAAAGAATGTGCCACACTTGTGTTGTCCTTTCTGCTACCCAAGTTGAATTCTTCAGGATTCACAGAAACATCTTTGAGCGGTTCTCTTTTTTGTGTCCGACACAATAATTTGAGTTCACACTGAAGCCAACGTAGATTATTCTGTAGTTTTCAAAAGAAATATTTTCTTATAAAATCAGATTGCTTTGAGACTTGCTGGTGTAGTTTAGTATGTATAGATATGGAAAACAATAATACTTAGGCAAACATGGATAAACATGCCCACAATAAGATGTAATGTTAAAAGGAAAATTTGAATTAGAATAAAACCTAAATATATGATGAAAGTGAATTTATACATTTTTTTTGTTCTTGAGAATTTACAACAAAAATATAAAACACTATTTATTTATTAGAATGTTTATTTACAAGAATAATTTTATATTTACAATAATCTAAAAACTAATACAATTACAACTAATGTAATGCAATAGTTATCATTTACTAATTTATAAAGAAAGAAACGTGAAAATTTTATTCATAAATTTATAAACATTTACTAAATTTTTAAATTACATGAACCAACTATAAGGAAATCCTTTTTACCATTTTTGCTGTCAATCCTGAAGTGTTTATTAGTTTTGTTGTCAATTCCAAAGTGTTTATTATTTTTGTTGTCAATTACTGAAGTGAAAGTAGTTAAAAAAGCAGTGTTATGGGAAAAAAATTGTCCTTTTGACACTACGTCTTACTGAGGGCATGTTTATCCATATTTGCGAATACTTTAAATTTCATTGTTTGATGTTCTTGAATAAAATATGACCCAAGAATATTTCCTTAAGCATGCACATGCAAAATGTGCAGAGTTACTTTTGAAAATTATTTATCACAAGTTGTTTATGTAATCTATAATACAAAAGTATAAAATACATCAAAACTTAAATTCATCTGGTGCACATTTCAATAATCAGTCTGTCTTTATGTGCTGTGTCACCTCAGGACATAGGCGATCACAGCTCTTAATAAATTTTGTCTTTTAGTTATTTCTCCTAAATCCTGGTCCATCATCCATTTACTCAAGCTCATCAAGAATGTTATATGCCATTTTCCTCTTTCCCTTTTGCCTTCAATCTGCCCTGTGTTTATCAGATTTGCCAAGCCCACCATCCTCATTATATGCCCCATAAATTTCAATTGCCTCTTGCTGATAAGTATAAGTTTCCTTTTTGTTTCCATTTTCTTTAAAACCTTATCGTTGCTCACATGTTCAGTCCATCCTCAGCATCCTTCTGTAGAACCATATCTAGGTTGCTTCAAGTCTCTTCAGCTTTGAGGAGATTGTCCAGCATTCACTGCCATATAGGAGGACAGACATCACATAACAGTTCAGTACTCTTTTCTTTAACAAAGTTTTTCTGTCTTTTTAATACTCTGCTTAGCTTTTGGAATGCGTCTTTGAATTTCAGTGTCACACTTTCTGTCTTCTGTTAAAACACTTCCCAGATATTTAAATTTTTGTACTTGTTTTGATTTTGGTATTTCCAATTTGCAATTTGCACTTTGGGCTCACCCCTTTTGCTAACAACCATGCATTCTGTCTTCTTGTAGTTGATGTTTAATCCTTCTTTCACTGCCTTCTGTAGGAGCCAACATTCTTTCTGCAGCTCTTGTGGCAACAAATAGGCAAATGTGACATATAGGTTCAGTGTTATCCCTAGGAGGAGCCACGGTGGAGTAATCGTTAGTGGCTTGGGTTGAGGAATTGGTAGAGCTGAGTTCAAATTCCAATTGAATCCATTACATGCTAATACCCTTGGTATGAATGGTATGAATCCTCTTCTTCTCCCCCCCCCCACCAGCCATGGGTAAATAGCAGGACAGACTGGTGCTATAGCCTCGGATAGCAACTGGTCTACTGCAGAAAGAAATGGTAACCTACTGTGGGGAAAAAACATCTGCCTCGTCAGTCGTGTATCAAAAAGATACACGATTGCCTAAGCGTGTATCATGTATGGTACATAACTGACTGACTGTTATCCCTAGATACAGCTTGCCATAGAATGTTTCTGCTGTGGGAACAAAGATTCCATTTCAAGCCAGCATATAGTTGGGCATTAAATGTACACACAGAGCTTGTTAGTTTTTGTTTATAGTAAATTTCAGGCAATCTCACTTGTTCCTCTTGGCTATGGTGCTTCATATAGTTAACCTTAACCACGCAGGAGTTGAAAATTGCTGCCTTAGCATCTTCTCCCTTTGCTGCTCTAGCCAGTTTCTGTCGCCTTGAGACAGTTGCTATAAATAAACACTTATCAACTGTCATTTCCAGTATTTTAAGCTGGAAATTGCCTACTCTTGCTTTGGAACAAGGCTAAATTTCCATTTTCCAACGCCATTTTAAATTCTTCTAGACTCTACATGAGGTGTAACATTGATTAAACTCATATTAATTTTTTTGCGATTTTTTGTAAACAAAACTGAACGTATTAACATCCAATGAAGCCTTTATTCAGGAGATTTACTTTGATTCAGACTCTGATGATGATTTTGAAGGCTTGATGGTTGAATGGTCAAAGACATTAACCACACTAGTGATGTGAAAGAAAGCAATGATGACCACTAGATAACCACTGGCAGCTGCTTTCATCCATGACTGGCTAATTTTATGGAAGCTACTGGCAACCATCAATGTACCTGACAGCCTTTCTGAAGGTGACTTAAGTTAAAAGAAAGTTATAACAATTTTAAAACAGTAGGTATTCAATGTTTTTGTGCCCTCAAAAAAATAAATAAATAAATGCAGTGGCAGGGGGAACAATTCTAGAAAGAAATTAGTGTGATAAAGGTTAACACCTGCTCTGGAGAGAAGAACCTGACTACAACCTGGACAGATGTTACACTTTTTTCTTTTAAAATACAATTGTCATTATTGTTATACATAGCAAAATTTTTAAAAGAACAAAAGTTCTAACCTTTATTTCTGCAGTAAGAAGATCTGGATCTTCCAGGGTTTCAGCAATCAAAGATGAAGAAGCAAGCTGTGAATTAAAACCAAATAAAAAAGACTGAAATATTTGTGATTTTATTACAAGAAAAAAAAAACACCTTGTTTTGAGACTATTTTTAAATTTAGAAAATAAAATGGCAAAAGATTTAAAGTCAATAGTTGGTAAATTTTCTTAAGGTCGGTTAATCCAGTTTCACTTATTCCAGTTAAAATGTGACAAAAGACAAATTATTTCTAGATTAACACAAGTCCATCATTGCTTGGGAAATAATTTTGTCTAAATAAGACAGACAGACCAACATTTTATTTGTACAGATTACTAAAATGACTAAGAGAAGTAACCACATTAATTTATTGCCAAAAGTTGATATACCTCCCTTACCACTGTGTGTGTGTGTGTGTGTGTTTATATTGTAATCAATATTTATATTATTTTAATTTGGGATTAATTTATGTATCTTAAATAATAGAAGCTTGTAAATTCAATTGTTTTCTTTTCATTTTTTAACAGTTCATAGTCATGTATGTTGGCTTGGGGAAGGGAGTATTTCTTTCAGGAATGGAGATATTTGAAAAAATCAGGGATGCAAATATCTTTCCTCAAAAAAATACTCAAACAGTTAAATTCACAACCTTCTATTATTTAAAATATACAATACATAAATTAATTCCAAACTAAAATAATATAAATATTAATTGCATTATAATAAAAAAATTCAACATTTACTAAATTCTGTTTATTAGACATTAAATTAGCATCTTCCATAATTTACCTTGACTATCAGTTAGCGTGATGCATATTTATGAGTGTTCTTAAATTTAAAAATTTTAAAAAGCTAACGACATTTTTACTTGTTTATAAATAGTAGTTGCAAAATAAAATCCTAACATTTGCCTTGATAAAGTCCATCAGAAGACAAAACATGTTGGGTAAGATAAGTTTTCCTTTTGTCTTTATTCATATTGTCCTTTTACAAATATATCTTGAATTTTGCACACACATATATATGTGTGTGTGTGCAATTTTCTAAAGAAGTAATATATTTTTTATTTATTAATCTGACAGATTAGAAAAATGTGCTCTTCTGGAGAGTGTATATTTTCTTTAATATCTCAAATATTCAGGCTGGTACACGAAAATAAATATACTGTTTAATAAATGGAACATCTAGTTAAATACAAGTTACAAGAAAAACTAACATTTAAATTGATGAGTGGACAGATGGGTCCATCTATGAAACTCTGGAGTTGGGATGCTGAATGTAACATCAATCACCTAAGTGACAAACATTTTATTTATACATCTCATAACAAGCAAAGCTATTTTCCTTTTTTTAAAGAAAACACATCCTCTTCACTCAAATTATTTTCTGAAAAGCTTAATATCTGCTCAGTTTCGCATCTGAAATGAAAATAAAAAAATTTCTAAAGAATTAATAGATTTATTTTTAATCTGACATTTTATTACTATTTAGTGAAGAGGATGTGCTTTCGTTAAAAAGTGAAAATAGAACCTTGGTTGCTGTGATATTCTTTGTGGTCAAGTGGTAAAACACAATGGATCAAACTGGTTTTCCCTACAAAGGGGGATGCAGATATATAATTGGAATCTGACAGGATAAAATAAAGAACAAATAGGAAACATCAATCTAACAGGTTTCGCTTTTATTAAAGTTTTGTCAGAGATTGAGAGAAAACAGATAAAAAGATAGAAACAGTGGTATTTTCAATTATGTTTGGGTCAGTTCTCACTGGTCAGACATGTGTCACGTGTCTTAAAACTGTAGATAATTCTAGGTGTATGTAGATTTATGAAGATTCTTGTATGTCTAAGTGGGCATCAGATGGTAATGTGTATTTGTAATTGTGTATCTGTGTCTGTCTAGTGGGAGATCTATCTTCACCTTTGTGCAGTCAACCTGTGCAGCGGGATATCACAAGGTTCTAATTTATGGCTGACCTCTTTAAGAATGTATTCTTTGTATTAGATATAAGTTTTCTCATAGAATTATCTTTTTTTTTTAATTAAGATGGCATTAGTGAAATCAAAGTTATGTCCAGCATTGTTTTGATGCATAACGAGAGAGTTAGATTGTTTGTTCAAACACAAGTCTCTTGTGTTCGTAGATGCAGGTTTTAAGATCACATGATGTCTTCCCCGCATAAACAATTTTGCTTTGTTAACAATTTATTTAATAAATCTTGGCATTTGAATTTGTGTTGAGTTTATTTTTCTTCCTAATTATATCTCTGATTGTCTTGGAGTTGGTGGTAACCATCCTAGGGATGACTAATTTATCCACAAGTTTAGTAGAAAGGGTGTTGGAGGGTGGGATTATGAATTTTGTGTCATTTTTGTTAGAAGCGTTATTGGTGGTGTCTGTTTTTTGGCTTTGTGGATTTTGTAAGCTTGTTTTTTAGCATTGAGGATAAAATGATGTAGGCAGTGGAGAAATTTGAAAGTTTTCTCAATATATTTCTCTCCTTCATTTAGGTATTGCAGGCTACATATCCTAAGGACTCCGAGTTAGAATCCTATGACTAGTCCAGATTTTATTTTTTGGTTATGGTGGGAATAGAAACTGATTAGATCATTCTTGTTTGTGGGTTTACGACATACTTTAAAATCTAATTTCTCATTGTTGCGTATTAATAACGTATCGAGCTAACTTTACAATATTTTGTTTCTCTTGAGATTATATCTTCTGACCTATGACAATCTTTGTGAAATTAAAAAGTAAATATTGATAACTTCACTATTATATATATTTATTCATAATATAATGAGCAAACCTAGAGTTACATAATAAAATCTCACACAATGTTATTGCAAATGTTTCTAATTAAAACATAAGTTGAAGTTCACCTGGTACATTTATCATAATATCTTGAAATTTTGCCCAGATTGCTTGATTTATACCAATTTTATTTCATCATAAAATCTGTGGTTGTGATATCCAAATAGAAGAAACTTTAAAAAGAGATTTTTTTCTTATCATTTCACCTGAAGCAACTAAGATGCAAGGAGTTACTGAGTGTGACAGAATTAAAAAAGAAAAACACTATTAAAGAAAAGTTTAAGTTAAATATTTCAAAGGCTATTTACTTTTACTCCTGGAATTAATTTCTATTTTCATTTATGAAAGAGAGAAAAAAGTCTTTACTGTTCAAAGTCTGTTTTCTCACAACCTCTAGATATCCATGAATAAATTTAAAGAAACCAGTTTTATTTTTCTATTCATTACAATAAGAACATTTTGTGTATATTTATACACACACACATTTTATATATATATATATATATATATATATATATTAGGCAGCATATATTTTATATATAAAGAAATAATCATACATAGAAAATATTAATGTGATTAATGACGAAATCAGTTCGCTAGTAGAACATAATATATGCATTAAAATACTGTTAATCCATTGAATGATGTGATCCTCATTTATAAAACTGTTGTCAGATGTTTCTAGTGTATATTTTTTTAAGTTAAGCAAGTACTTTCGAAGATCCATGTCTTCATCATCAGGCTGTAATTTTTTTCCTTTAAAGTTAAAACTTGAAGACGAAATAATTGTTTGTAGACCGAAAGATTTTTTTTAAGAATGTGCTATTTATTGACAGTTGTACAATCTCGGAACATGCGAGTCACAACGCTAAAGTTCAAAATTTTGTAATATGGTGAATCCACAAATTCTTTTTTTTTACAAGTGTTTTTCAGTTAACATGACAGGAACTAAGTATATAGTTCAATTAATATAGTGATATGTCTTAGTAGTTTTTTTCTCAGGAATTTCATACAGCGGGATCAATTGTTTTTTATAAACATATAATATAAGGCAGCATATATTTAATATATAAAGAAATAATAATACATAGAATCAATCGGCAATATATTTTTTTTATATATATTATTTTATATGTTCAGCACTTACTGAAAAGTGCTCAATATCAGTGATAGAGCTAACATACTCAGTTGTATGAATTTGTGGCTGTAGGTTTCACACTTTTGTGATCATCAAACAAACTTTGATGATCACAAAAGTGTGAAACCAAGGCCACAAACTCATATCCATACAACCGAATATATATATATATATATATATATATATATATATATATATATATATATAGATAGATATTAAAGTAGAAATCCTGGTAGACAGTGACTGACCATGACTGCTAGTTTCATGTGTTTTTCATGCAATTGTCAGACAGTCAGTGGCTGTACTTTTTAGAATGAGTACTCTATAAACCACCAGGTGAGTTCAAGATGGCAAACCAACCAAACGCGCCTGGGGGAGGGTAAACCATCTGGCCAAAATCAAAAATGGCCAAAATCAAAAATAGCCAAAGACTAAGAAATAAATAAATTCTACCAGAAAAGGTTTGTTGGTATTTCAAAGAAAAGTGCTCAATAACATATGTGATGATAGCAGCACAGTAAAAGAGCTAAAAAAAAGCGTTCTACTAAAGTCATGTCAGAACATATAGAATTTTAGAGAAAGATGAGCAGACTCTAAAAAGAGTCAACCCAAAATTTCCTTACTGGCAAAAAGAGTTTAAATATATCAAAGTAGAAATCCTAGTTGGCAATGATTGACCACAATTGCTAGTTTCAAGTGTTTTTCAAACTACAGCCACCAACACCGTGACGATTGTGTGAAAAAAGCATGGAACTAGCAGTCAGGACCAGGATTTCTACTTTAATATATTAAAGCTCTGCCATTTATTATGGCATCGAGCACGTTTTTGCTAGTAAGTAATTTTGGGGCAGACCCTTTTTAGAGTCTGCTCATCTTTCTTCAAAATTATATATATATATCTATGTTTTCTGGAAGTATGTACAATTTTTAAGTGTATATAGAAGGTACCTCCACTTTTTCTCTAAAAAATGAATAAAATAAAACCATGATGAAAAAGGGCGCCAAAGTTGATAAAAACAAAGTTTTATCATCAAAATGTTTGTTATTATTAAGAAGAAAGACCAAAGTATTTTTTATTATTTTATTAAATTTTTAATCCTTTCTAACACGTTCAAAATTTTTGGTTAAAAATCTTGTTTTTCTTGTGACAGAAGTGGACCAAGGATTACTATGGGAAATTTTGAATCTTTTTTGAGAAACATTGTTTTGAAAGTTCTTGCAAAAAGCAAATAATTATCAGATTTTAATTAAATTTTCAGGACTTATTCACAAATGAGTGAAATTACTTTTTAAATATTTCTTTTTTAAGAAAATCTTGGTAAAATTATTCTTTTATACATTTATTACACTCACTTAATTTTATGAAGTTTTGAGAAATTAAATTTTGGTCACAAAATGTTTTTTTATTAGTTAAAAAAAAAAAAAAAGAAAAAAAAGGACTCCTTTGAGAATGTAAATCATTTTTTTTTTAAAATAGTTACACATTTCCTGAAAATCTGTTCCAAATTGTAAATTAAAAAATTTGAAATGTAACTGTAACATTACTTAATTAGGAAAGCTTTTAAATTATAAATAAGCTATATTAAGGACACTATTGTCTTAAGAGAAAATTTTTCCAATGAATAATGAATTTTTACAAGAATGGTTTTCATTTTTAAAATTTTAATTATAATAATTTATAAAGTTTCAAATCTTAAATTTCTGCATTACTTTGATTGCATTAGATATTATTGAGTGAAAACTATATTTACTAATCAACAATTGAAAACCTGTCTTCAAGTGCCAAGATTTTGAAAAAAATTTTGAATTTTTTTTATTGTATAAATGTGCTCATTTTGAAAGTATGGGCGACCATACATGAAATTATCAGAAAATAAGAGTAATGAATATAGTAAATTTAAAGTCAATATTCCTAAAATTAGATTACAGAGAATATTTACTAATATTTTAAAAATTATTGAGTACTTAAAAATTATATAAAAAAGGTGCTCTCATCATTTTCTTAAATTATGTTTTACACAAAGTATCTATAGAACAATAAACTTACACATAAGCATGGCTACTGTCGGTTAAAACACAACTGTTTGCTTTAAAATGCATTTCTGAGTTATTTTAAACTTAAATAATATTTGTTTAAGTATTAATTATAGTTTAAATCAGCTAATATTTCTGAAATAAGGTTTTAGAAAAGTATATTTTATTTTTGGAAGTGTTTTTAATAAAGAGAATTATATTGTGATGTAAGATGACTAATAAAGAGTACAAATTAGCTATTTTTAGAAAAAAAAATAATTCCAATCAATATAATTTCTCTTTGAAATTAAGAGTATTTTGCTTACTGGAAATAGTAAATTTAATCCTTTAGCTTTCAATTAAAGTTAAAATGAAAGCTTTTTCATTTTTAAAAATTAATTTTAAACCTAAGTATCGTGAATTAGTGGAGGTACCTGATATATAGAAATCTTAAAACCCATTAGTTACCTTGTTTTTATTCAAGCTTGTTCCATTTTGCAAATTTAATATGTTTACCACACTTTCCACTTCTTTGCAAATATTGTTCAGACAAATCTAGAAAATAGACAAATACATTTGAAAATTGTAACTTTGCAATTTTCTCACTATTATTTTTTTTTGCTAAAATTATTTTGTGTTGTTTTTATTTTGTTATTGTATTGCCTTTTGTATGAATCATATTGCTTTGTGTAGGCATTACATTTAGATTGTGTTATTTTTTGTTTTATTGGGATTTTTCTTTTATTAAAGCTGTTAACTATGTTCATCTTCAATGCAATTAACAGAGTGGAATCTTTTATTTTACTCAAGCTTCTTTTAATCAGTTCTTCAGTTTACAAGATGAGCACACATAGATATGCTACCAGAAAACTGTAGTGTTTTAAAAAGTTTCAATAGGATTCTATAAATAAAAGAAAAAACACTTTTTTAAAGATTGATTATTGGAAAGAAAATCGTGTTACCATTTGATTGTGTTGTAGTCTTTTCATTCTGCTGTAAGCATCATACAACTTTTCCTCCAAATCTTTCAGTCTTCAAGGATAAAGAAAAAAACATACACTTACAATTCATACGACAACAAATTAAATATGACTGAAAAAAAAAATGACATTCCGGCACGTAATGAAAAAAAAAAAAAATAATACATGGGAGACAACTCAGAAAGTAATTAAATGCAGTTACCTCCCCTACATTAAGCAGATATTTCAGATTATATTTATGAATAAGATACAATTTTCCAAATACAACCTGCTGATTACTTCCAAATTTTTCAGCCTAACTTAAAATTAACTTTAGAACACATACAAGTCTCTTTACTGTACAAAATATTCGAAATTATGAATTCTTAAAATCTAATCTTTGATTAAACACAATTTGAAAAGGTAGACGTAAAGATGTCTGATTTTCTTATTTTCTGATATTTTGTCTTTCATCTTTTTTTTTTTATATCTCATATATTTCCTATTTTTTCAGTTGACTTCAATTAATTAATGACATATTTGGGAAGATTATTAGAATAATCCAAAATTTATACTGGGAATAAACCGTCTGTTTATGGATAGAAAATGAATTCAGTAAATATACAAAAATAGAAAGGTCTGCAAGACAAAGTTATTCAGGGAGGTAATTCTGAGAGAATTAAAAGTGCTAACAGGATTCATTATTGGCAGCCACCATTTTGACAACATAAGATAGCAGATGACACAGTATTGATAGCAGAAACAGAAAGAAAACTACAGAAACTCTTAGAGAAGGTAGTGAAGAAAAATAAGAAGAAAAGACTAAACATCAATTGAAAGAAGACAATGCATGGTTGTCAGCAAAAAGAACAGCCCAACAAATAGAAATTGGAGATATCAAAGTCAAGCAAATACAACAATTTACATATTTGGGGAGTGTTTTTTTCATACAGAAGATGGAGAGTGCAACACCAAAATCCAAAGGCATAAAGTTGTTTTCTAAAGGCTAAGCTAAGTATTATGTTTGGTTTGGTTTATGGCATATCAACCTCAATGGGTTATTTAATGCCGACAAGATTTTTATTGCTGGTAATATTTTTTTCTTCAAAATTCATTGCTGGTAATAATTTTTTTACAAAAATGTATTGCTGGTATTAAAACCCATTTTTACACTTTGTGTTTTAACCCCAGTTTGAGGATTAACTATTTGCCTGTAGCTGGGACCCTAACAGATGCTACCACCCCGGATTAGGTTGACCTGGTACACCAGCAATTAAGAGGTGGTTCCACACTCCTCAAAACCTTCTAATCAGAACCCTTGCTGTTGATTGTAGTTTATCATCTTACCCAGGATGGGCAAAGTATTAAGAAACAGGAAAATATCATTAGAATCAAAGAAAAGCGTACTAAACTGTTAAGTAATATCTGTCCTCCTATATGACAGTGAATGCTGGACAATCTCCTCATAGATGATGAAGAGACTTGAAGCAACAAAAATGTGGTTCTACAGAAGGATGCTGAAAATACAATGGACCAAACAAGTGAGCAATGACAAAGTTTTAGAAAAAATAGAAACAAGAAAGACACTTATACACAGAATTAGAAAAAGAGAATTGAAATTTCTAGAGCACATAATGAGGTAAGAGAGCTTAGAAAATTTGGCACTCACCGGGCATAATGAAGGCAAGAGGAACAGAGGAAAAGAGGATAGAACCTACCTAATAAGCTTGAGTAAATAGATTGCAGAACAGGGTTTAGGAAAATAGCAAAAAGACAAAATGTACTAAGAACTACAAAGGACAGGAAATTGTGAAGAGCCATGTTTGCGACATCCTAAAGGGACAGCAATTTTTCTGTTAATACTTTGCTTAGCTTTTGGAAGGCATCTTTCATTATCCCAAGGCTTTTTCAAATTTCAGTGTTGCACTTTCCTTTAAAATGGTTCATAGATTCTTATAAAGGACATTAATATAACGGGATTCTTTCTTACCTGCTTCCTTCTTCTATCATTTGAGGATCCTTCAAATAAAGAAATAAAAGAAAAAGAAATTAAAAGGCACTTCATACACATGACTTTTAAAAATGAAATCAAAATGAACAGTAGCAATGAGATAGTTTTACCTATCATCAATTTCACACTCCTCCCCGATCTTTTGAACAGGAGTAGAAGTTTAGCCCTTGTTTCCTGTTTAAGATTGGGTTTCCGATTCCTCTTAAAGTCTACTTTAACTATATACTTCTAACATCTCCGTCTGAACTCATTTTTATTAATATTTATTTATTTTCTTCAATACGAGTTGATAGGTTCACCTATTGTCCAGTTTGCACTCCACCCTAGTCTTTTGAACTGAAGTAGAGGTTTATCCTTTATTTCATGTTTATGTGAAAGCATTCTGAAAGCAAAGGATATGTTTGTTGCAGATTAATTCCACAACACAGAGAACAAATCACTAAGTTCAGACTCGAATATAAAGGGGGAAAAAGAAATGCTGAAAACTCGATTTGCAGGGACTATCTCACAAATCCCAATGCACATAACCAGTCAGAAAAATAACTCACTCTCTGACGAATGCGGTAGCCAAAATATATCAATTTTATCCTCCTGATTCAAGAACACCAACTGCTTTTATCGGCCGAGCATTTTTTTCATTTGTCGACAACTGGGAGAGGACACCAATATTTTGCATATCAAAATACTTTTATAGAGACTCTTGTGACAGACTTGTTTTTAATCTAAATATTCCATCTTCAGTATGTCATATGGAATACGTGCCCCTTTTTTTGATAAGTAATTTTCTTTTCTGTCGTAGGATACACGTGACATGGTGTTGCTTGGTTTGACGAGGTAAGTCACCATTTTCTTTGCTATACTCCTCCCTGATCTCATTATCACAAATCAAACAGCTTGGAGCAGATCTCTTTATCCTCGTGCTCTGTCGTAATGGAACTATCTCCCTTATGCATGTCAGAGAGTCGTCTCCTGAAGAGTCATCAGATGTATCTTGAGTTTTTGGAAGCATCAGATTCATAGATCTCAATTATCCAATCACTGTCAGACAATGAACCATCATCAGATTCACTTGGCAATGTATCAGAATCAACAAAAAGGCAAAGATCTTTTACATGTCGTGGCATCCCGTCGACTGTTCTGTTATTGTTTGTAGACTTACAATGTGTCACACAACCCACTTGATACCTGGAGATACACCAGCCACGGAGAGCTTTTACCCATACTCTGTTCCCGACTTTGTATATATTGTGATACTTACAACGATCAGGTGGTAATGTTGTAGCAATTCCCTTCACTTTCATATTGGCAGGCACATTAGTCAATGATGTATCATCATTTGGCGTGATATGCCAGTATACTGCCTCTATTATCGAACAATGCTTTCTTGCTGCAATTCTCTTTATGCTCCAATGAGATCTTTCCACTATAACGTTTCCTGCAGGAACATAGGCGCAGCAAAAACGAAGTTGGACTCCCCAGTCATTCAAGAAATCTTTAAGGACTTACTGCGAAATGTAGTGTCATTGTTGGTCAGGATTTCTGATGGTGGGCCTTGTTCAAAAAAATATTTTCCAACTGTTGAATGACGCTTCTTGAGTCTTGTTGAAGCAAGCGTCACCATATCGCAAATCGACTGGGGACGCAATCAATTAACGCAAGGTAGTATTGCCCACCGTAATGTGTAATATCCATTCCTAAGCGGGTCCAGGTTTCAGTCACACTTAGGTTGCCACGAGGCCAATGACTTGAGGCTGGGTCAATTGACTGGCATTTTTTACATTTTCTGACCACTGCCTTTACAGCCGTCTTGGATGTCGTAGGGTAGACTCGTCTCACAAAATACAGCATTCGCCTGACGCCAGGATGTCCATTCTGGCAATGTATGGCACATATCTGATCAGGAGAGGTTTCGTTCACCATGGAAGCACATATTGGGCATGTTGGTTCTATTTCCTTCTTGATCACATCATACCATCATTGCGGTACTTTGGTGAGCTTATCCACTCGATTCTCACTCGACGTTACTAAACTTATCATGATCAATAAGTTATACTCTTGAATCAGCTTTTCAAGAGTACTCAAATGGGGCCAGATCAGTATCTCACTTGCTGCCTTAGTTCATAGTCTGGCTTTGCCAGTGAGCATGTTTGATACCCACCGGTGCACATACATGGAATCCATGAAGAGGTGTAGCTCTGTTGTGCCTCACTGTAGTGCTAAATTGACGCCTTTCAGAATAGCATCCAATTCTGATAAATTGATATGTTGGGCGTCCTTTGCAGGCCACAGCCAACATGCATCTTCTACGCTTCCATCAACCTCCAACGAGACCCCTGTGGCGAGAAAACTTGCATCAACCCATACCTCATAAGTGTGTTCACTTGTGCACCACATACCATGTGCAGGGTCATCCTGGCATATTCTTTCTGTTATGTCCTCAAACATGTTCTTAAGGGGAGTGTCAGTCACTTCGTTGTCCCAACCAGACGTGATCGATACTGTCCTACACTTTACAAATGATGCAGCAACACGAAGCCACCCACACACAGGAACGTGACCCACCAGTTTTCCACACCATGAGAAGATGTTACGTCACGTCAGGACCTCAGGAACTGATGGAATGCCATTTCCACGTTTCTACTTTTTAATGGCACCAAACCCAAGCAACAAGTCAAAACCCAATAGCTCTCCATCCACTACCAAGACTTCGATTTTGAGGGGGTTTGCGTTGTCCACGTCAAGCTTAATACTTCCAACTTTGTAACATTTGAGAGTATTTCCGTTTACTGTGAGTCCGTTCACCTCTGTCTCCCACCAGGATTGACAGGCTGACTTACTCACGAGTGTCTGTGAGCAGCCAGTGTCCACCAGTGCCACTCTCTTAATTCTGTTTACATAAATACCCAAGACGGGTAGTGCTTCATTCATAACTCGCTTAGGGAAGAGCCCGGTGCTGACGTCTGGTCCTCTTCTTCTTTTCCCTGGACACAATGAAGCAATGTAGCCTACTTCTTGACACCAGAAGCAACACATTGTTGTGCGTGACCTGCGTGGCTGACGGGCATCTTCTCGTTGAACCGGACAGTCCCTGGAAAGGTGATTCCACCCAGAGCATCGATAGCATGTCATACCCTCCTGATGTTTGACATTTGGATGTTTATCAGTTCCGGCTGGTGAAATGGTAGCCACAACCATTTCCTCAGTTGCAATTTGATCTTTCATTATGGCCCAAGCTCGGTCCAACAGTTGGTTTGTATTCTTGTCTTCCGTCCTGGAAGATGTGCACAGTAGTTGCTTGACGTGTGCTGGTAACCCTGCTATGAACGCACATGCTAGTCCTTGCTCAGATATCCCACCAAATAGACTTGTTAGCTAGAAACACGTTGACGGATTTGTCCGGACACAGTCGGCATTCTGTGAACTGCTCATAAGCCAAGAAACAATCCGGTGCAAAGGCAATCTGCAGGGCTCGTTTTATCTGCTCAACATCTGATTTTTGTTCTGAGTTTAACTGTTGGTAAACAGCAAATGCTCCGCCCGTCAACCTCAGACTAAGAACACGTTCAACCTTTTTAATTCCACACAGGTCACAAACTAGTTCTTCCTGCTCAATCCATTCAGTAACTGCTTGTCCGGTCACTGAACCATCAAACTCCGGTATTAACTTGATGTCAAATGTCTTGTCTGTCATAGTGCCAAAATAGCTTGTAAGCTTTCTGAAATCAAAGGAAATGTTTGTCGCAGATTAATTCCACAACACAGAGAACAAATCACTGTAAGTTCAGACTCGAATATCGGGGGCAGAATTGTAGCTGCTGCTTGTACTCTGTTCAAGATTTTTGACCCGCCTGTGTATATAGCTTTATTAGCCAGAGTAACTTTCTCTGAATTCTCCAAATTTATTGGTTGTATTTTTCTTTTGCTGTGACAATCTTAGATCTGTATTTGATTGGGAGATCACCCATAGTCTGGTGCTGGTTAATGTGAGAAGAACTATTTTCAGGATTTTCATATCTGTTGAGGCTTCTTTGATACAGAGGCCAAAAGAAGGTGGAGCTGTTGGTTTGCTAGTATAAAAGTGTGTGAATTGTGATAGTTTCTGATATGCTGGGGTTTGGGTTTATCTTTGAGTAAATGTGTATTGTAATGATAGCTTTTCACATTGCAGATGTAGTGGAAATTCAACACAGAATCTGCATATTGAAATGTTCCAAGAAATAGGATTCAAGACTTTCCAAAACAGAAACTATGATCTGGAATTGAAATGAAAGCAGTGATGGCACCAACCCTAAAAATTCAGGTTGTGGAATTCTTCTTCAGGACATAGGTGATCATGGCTTTTCATGATTTTCTGTTTTTTGTAGCACTTAATAAATTTTGTTTTTGTTATTACTCCAAAACCATGTTCTGCCATCCATTTAGTCAAACTCACTAAGTATATCATGTGTTGTTTTCCACTGTCAAGCCTTTAATCTGTCCTGTGAGTATCAGATTTTCCAAGCCCTCTTTCCTCATTATGCACCCCAGAAATTTCAGCTGTCTGATGGTAAGTATCCTTTTTGTTTCCATTTTCTCTAGAATTTAGTTCTTGCTAATATAATCAGTTCATAGTATCCTCAGCTTCCTTCTGCAGAACCACATTTCTGTTGCTTCAAGTCTGTTCTTCCTCTTTAAGGAGATTGTCTAGCATTCACTGCCATATAGGAGGACAGACATCATGTAAGTTTTCTTTGTTTCTAACAAAGTTTTCCTGTTTCTTAGTAATTTGCTTAGGTTTTGGAAGGCTCTTTGGCTATCCCAATGTGCCTTAAAGTATTTGGTATTTACTAATTCTACAGGAATAATTCAAATTCCTCAGTGTATGGATCAGTTATAACAAATAAGGAAATTGAACAGAGAATAGGCTGTACTAGAAGTAATTTCTTGCCAAATGATAAATTGCTATAAAACCAAAACATTAACCTTGTAAGGATACAGAAGGTGCTTATCTCCCTATGGTGCAGATAAGTTACATGAGTCACATGAAGCTGCTTAATGACATCACTCCATATAGTGACAGTCAAATTCAGTTTGTTTACAGCAGCCACAATATGATTGGTTTCTTTTTATCCTGAGCCAAGGTGCCTGGGTTGAGGCTAAATTTGCCTCCCCTGCAGCTCACAAGTCCATGGTGCCATTTCCCCTTGGGAATACATCTTTCCCACATATAGAATGAAACTCCAGCTCACAGTCCTCAATTTGGTAAAACCCAAGACTCACTGTTTCCCCATTCATTGAATATGTCCTCCGCCTGGGACAGAGATGAATCCAGTCTGTTTGAATGTGGAATCCTAAACATGGCTTCTCCAGATACAGGAGTATTGTAAGACCCTTCTTTTTCTTTCTCTTTACATTCTGCTTTGCTGTGTAGATATATGTGATTTATTATTCTCTGTGTGGAACATGTGTATGTATATATATATATAATTTTGTGTATGTCTTAGTGGTATAAAAGTCTCTCTGAGAACAATGCCTATTTGTCATTCCTTTTTCTTTCAGCCATTCCATTCCTTCCATGAATTATGGTGTTATTATATCACAGATATAATAATGCCTCTAATGGGGTAAATTCAAATGGGAGAATAAACCTTTATACCACAGCTATCCCTTGTGAAAACCTGAAAACTCGAGTCATGTTCATAAATAGACTCATCAGACCGAGACTTTCATATAGATGTTATGCATGGTGCCAAATCCATTCATAAATCTCTATACTGTCAACTGTAGACAACCGCTTTCTCAGATCAATGGTTAAAATGGCTTTAAGTGAGTGGAGTCTGTGGGTCTTGTCTTTCTTTGAACCATGTGAACTGGCACTACAGAAACACAAACAAAAACTGTAGCAGCTAAAAGAAACCACATCACTTGAAGACTTTCAACAACAGCAACAGCCAAAATGAATAGCACATGTAACACAAAGAAAAAGTAATAACATATTCAAGATGTTGACACTCAACACTACTTCAAATAAAGGATTAGGAAAGAAACTCTATTCAATACTGGAAAAAATACGATAAGAGCTACTGGACTTGAGAAACATATTTTCCTGAAAAATTGTTTTAAGAGAAAGATTTTACAAATTTCAACTGACAGTAGTACTGGCTGCTCAGTCAACGAATTTCAAATGCTTCCTTATAAGGAGTGGCTAATAGTACCAAATCAGGTAAGACAGGATTATCAGTGTTCGGGAATTAAGTATACATTTCTGAAAGATAATGTATGTATCTTCCTTGAAATATTTTCAATAAAAATGTCCAGCAAAAGATTTTACAAGTATTTTCATTTGCTTGATAGATGTTATAATAAAACCCCGAGATGGAGAAATGAATAGAAGAAGAAAAAAAAAAAGACAGAAGAAATGACAAAAACAGAATTAACAGTTTTTAGTGTGAGTCGAACACAGATGAATCCAAGCAAGATTCAATACCAACCTTAAAATCAATATCTTCATAGGCTTTTTCCAACTTTCTGATCAGCTTGGCATTCTCCTCTTCTAATCTAAAAGAATTTAAAAAAATTAGTTTTAAATTAATGTTGCTTTGTATAAGCAAACATAATTGTTTCATTGTCTATAACAGGGGTTCTTAACCAGGGGTGAATTTTAGGGTTTGGGGAGAGGGGTTAAGAGGAAGGATCTTACTTTTTCATAAGTTTCTCATTGACTGCAAACGTCAACAGAATAAAATCAATTTAAATATGCTGAACTTTTACTGAACTTTTTGTTTCTAGAATTACAATAACCTGTCTTTCTATTGAACTTTTTGTTTATTGGAATAGGCTTCAGTTTATTTATTTAATAGTTATGAATTAAAACAAATTACTGTACTTGCATTCAAGTTTAAAAATCCATCAACATTTTCTATTTCTATTAAATATGTAAAGCTCTATAAAAAAAAATCCATGTATATGTCCTCACATGGAAAAAAAAAATGAAGATTGTCAATAATATATACTTATTATTTGGAATGCACTTTTTGAATTGGACAATCTTGGATAGTAAAGGGTGCATTGAGTAAAAAAGGTTGAGAACCAATTCTTTATAATATTCTTCTTAAAGACCTACCACTCTAACTAACATGAAAATAGAACTTTTTACATTTCTTTATTTTAAATGTGGTTTGTTTTGTTTGACGGCATATCAACCTCAATGGGTTATTTAATGCCAACAAAATTTTCATTGTTGGTAATATTTTTTCCTTCAAAAATCTATTTCTGGTAAGAATTTCGCTTCACTGGTAATATTTTTTTTTTTTTTCAAAAAATGTATTGCTGGTAATATTTGTTTTTCAAAAACGTATTACTGGTAATAATTTTTTTATACAAAGTATTTCTGGTATTAAAACCTATTTTTACACTTTCATAGTGTTTTAATCCGAGTTTGGGGGTTAACTATTTGCCCATAGCTGGGACACTAACAGGTGTTACCATCCTGGGTCAGGGTGGACCTGGGAACACCAGTAATTAAGAGGTGGTTCCACGCTCCTCAAAACCTCCTGATCAGAGGCCTTGTTGTCGAACGTAGTATATCGTCTTACCCAGGATGTGGATGTAGTTTATCGTCATACCCAGGATGGTCTTCATTTTAAAAGTATCTTATTACTCCCAGATCTATTGATAATTTTACTGGTATTTAACTGTAAAAACTAATTTTGCTTTAATAACTAACGCAACACAATTATATTTTTCTGTTAATTTTCGGTAAAAATTAAATTGAAAATACAACGGAGAATTTAAAAATTGATAAACACAGAAAATCTAGAAATAGTTGAGGTGATTTCTAAAAACAGTTTCTTTTTTTTAGTTCAATTTCTTCTGATAAAGACAGTTCTCATACAACAAAAGATAGACTAGACACAGAAAGAATTCTTAACATCTACTCTTACTACTTTCGGGCTATTACTCCAACTGCTACTAGGACTTACTCTGACTGATTACTTGATATATAGTCATTGGCACATGGATGTAATAGTAGACAAGAATATATGTGTGGATATTTAACAGAAAAAGACTTGGCTCAGTTTGAATGTGTGCTAGTTGAAGAGAATAAAATTTGTAACTATAGATGTTCAAAAGCTGAAACTTTGCAGATTGATAATTTGATAAATTTTTTTCAATACTGTGTAATTTTTATCTTTCTCCATAATTAAGTTTTATTTTAAGTTGGTATCACTCAGTCAAGATATTGCCTCTTATTAATAATTTTCAATAAGAAAAGTTTTTATTTTGTCAGAAATTGATTAATATGTTCTAATTATATGTCTGCTATAATTTGAATATGTCTGCTATAATTTGAATATGTTCTAATTATATGTCTGCTATAATTTGAATCTGTCTAATTTGTTGTTTTACCAAATGTTAATTTATATAGAGTTTTCAAATTTTTCTTCACAAGCACTATGGATCATCTATATAATAAATGCGAATATCAGTGTGTCACACTTTTTCAACCTTATTCTTGGAGGCTGTAGCCCAACATATCATATCTCCTAGAAGATGTAGCCCAACATATACCATTTCCATGAGCAAATTAAAAACATTCCGGGCCAGATCTGGAATCTTGAAATTCCATGTTTTCAACTTTACTGCTAGAGGCCGTAGCCCAACATATCATACCATTTTGGAATCAGACCAACTCCATGATCAAATTAAAAACATTCCAGGCTGGATCCAGACCTGCATCCTGAAATTTGAGATTCCCAAGTTTTCATTACTGTGATTGTTTTTGGCAATGTTTTTACATGTTTTTTTATGACAAATTTTTTTGTACAATAACAATTTTTATAACTTGGAAATAAATTTGGAAAGAATGAAAATTAATTGTGAAATCCAGTGAAAGTCACCCATGAAATAAAAATAATTGTTTGTACAGAAAGTAAAGACCTACATACATCAAACTGTGTCTTTAAATTAAGTGGCAGTATAAGAATTATTGTAGAACTTTTAAAAGTTAAGCTTAAATATTAATGCAATGCTTAAATGCGCAATCAATTTTAAGTTTTTCTGTAGTTTATTGTTGCCTATTGCATCCACTCCCTACCTATTGTGATCAAGGCCCAATCAAGAACACTACACAGGAGCTAACTTAAAGGCCACCTGATAAGGCATTTTTTAAGCTAATTTACAATAAACAGTAATACAGAGAAGGTCTTAGAGAGTCTATAAGACAAGACAGAACATAAAGTCAAGTTCAATTTAAAGCAGGTTTTTAGGAGTCTCTCAAAACAGTGGATTTCCCTAATCGTTTCCCTAATAAATCTGTTCAACATTCTTTACTTGATTTGTTCCTTACCTCCTCTCCTAGCTCTTGTAGAGCATCATAATTATGTCCTCTTAGCAATTCAGATCATGCTGTAATATCTATTGATATTTCTTTTGGGTCATCTATTACAAGGAACATCCTATTCAAAAGACTTCTTTCTGTTACCAGCATTCAGATTGGGATTCATTTTGTGACTTTATTCGAGATACCCCTTGGATTGATATTCTTAACCTTTCTATTAAAAATTGTGCCACAGAAGTTTCTTGATGGGTTAAAGCCAGCATTGATGCTTTTGTACTTTCTTGTCAAGTGAAACTACAATCTTCTCTTCATACCAGCCTGTTCAGCTGCTATAGCACACAGGAATCACTTTTTCCAGTTGTACCAGTGTGATAATTCTGATTACAATAGTCAGCTATTTGTGACTGCTTAAAATAATTGTGAATGTGTCCTTAAAGAGAATTAGCCACCATATAGCCTCTGACAAGTTTGGTTCCCAGGAATACTAGTGGCTCTGCCTTCTGTTCCACCCAATTTAAGGTGTTAATGTCTTCTGCTGATAAAGCAAAATGTTTGGCTTGTAAATTCTCTTAAAATTCTTGTATTGACTCATCTGGAGTAACTTTACCTGGCTTTCCACTTAGAACTGAGGTGCTATTGAGTGATATGCATATAACTCAGTCTATAGTTTCTGTTATCGCTAAACTGGATTCCTACAAAGCATGGCATTCCTTAAGAAATATGTTACTGAACTGGCTCCTGTTCTCTCTAAACTCTACAATAAATGCCTTGCTGCTTCTTGCTTTCCTGCTTGTTGGAAATCCTCTTCTGTAATTCCAGTCTTTAAGAACTCAGGCAAACCATCTGATCCTTTTATTGGCCTATTAGCCTTCTACCTCTTTTTGGCAAAGTATTGGAGGCTCTAATTAACTTTGGTTAAGCATCTCCCATTGCTGCATCTTCTTTTGATTATTGCTAAAAGAGTCTATCAAGCTTTAGATAAGAATGGTGAAGCTTGGGTTGATGCTTTGGATATCTCAAAAGGTATTTGACAGGGTTTGGCATACTGGTCTTCTTCACAAATTGAAAGGTTATGCTATTTCCAGATGAATTGTGAAATTAAAGTTGTCTTGAATGGCCACTTGTCTGGATATTATTGTTTTGCATAAATGCAGGTGTTCTCCAGGGCTCTAATCCTTGGACCTACGTGGTTTATAATTTTCATAAATGACAATGATGTCATCAGTTCTCAACTTGGTGTCTATGCCGATGACAACTATTTACTCCTGTTTTAATAGTTAGTCTGACTGGTTCAATAAGGTCAAAGTGGCAGCTGATCTTAAAATGACCTAAAATCTGTTGTCAAATGGGGCAAGGAAATTGTTAATTTTAACACCTCAAAATGAAAACTGTTCTCTTTTAATCATCTGAGTAAACACTCTTTACTTTCCATCAGCTTGGCTGATGCCTAGCACCTTCCAGGACTAACAGTTTCAGCTGACATGAAGTGAAAAGTGCATATTGAACCAATTGCTAAGTCTGTATCTAAGAAAATTGGTTCACTATATCGTGCTAGACAATTTTTCTCTCTAGAATCTATCTTAAATACTTATAAGCCTACCATTTGTTCATCCTTTGAATATTGCTGACACATCTGGTCTGGAGCTTCTGCTATATATTTAGAGATTCCTGATAAAATCCCAAGAAGAATCTGCAATGTTATTGGTCCTGACCTGGCATCTTGGCTTCAGTCCCTTTCCCTCCATCATAATGTACCTTCTCTGTGCTTTTTCTGTAAATACTTTTATGGTAATTGTTCTGATGGACTTTCCCTTCCAGTATCTAGACTTTATAAATTCAAGCACAGTACTAGATTGGCAGTAAGGTCTCATTTTACAGCTGAAATGGATAGATGTAACCATAAGTTCTATACTAAAAGTTTCTTCTATTGCACTTCTTGCTTGTAGAACTCTCTTCTGGTTTCTTGCTTCTCAGTCATCTTTGACCTTCAAAAATTTAAATGTAATGTCAATTATTATCTTCTGTCTTCTTATTCTTTTATTGTCTTCACTCCTTAAAGTTTTTCATTTTCTTATATCCTTTCTCTCTCAGTAAGCCTGTGTATCTTAGGAGCTTTGTTGCCTTGCTTGGAGTGAAATGATTAAAAAGAAAAAAAAAAGGGGGGTGGAATTGATAAAAAAAATTCACACTACTTAATTTCCAGATTTGTTAATTAATTTGTTATTCTTTAATGACTGACCAGATACAATGTTGCTTAATTCTTTGTCATATGGCAACTGGTGTTACTGAAGTGAAACAATTTTAAGCGATAAATGATGCAAATGAAAAAAAAACAGCTTTATTGAAACAGAACAAAAAAAAAAAGAATCATTAAGCCATTACCGAGTGACATCGTGATGAATACGATCTAATTCTGATCTTTGCTTTTCATCCTGGTTTCTGGCCAATTTCAGCATTGACCGTTCCTCAGCCAATTCAAGCTGTAAGCAGAAAGAGAGACATTTTTTCTTTGGGGTTCTGGTTTCTAACAGTGAAAGTTATTTGTTTGAACACTGACCTTACCAAAACTATCAACATTATTTACATTATTCGGACTATTGTCCTCATCTTTGTTGCTATATTTATCACAACGTTTCGGCCATTGTACGCTCCGGCCTTCTTCAGGTGGCTGGAATGTCGAACTGAACCCTTCATTTCGCTCACTGGGGTAGACTGTTCTAGTTCCCCGTGCCATGTTTGATGGATGTAAATTATCAGTTATCTCCTGTTAATTTTCCCACTGAAAGTTCTCCACATTTTTTCTTTGGGGTTCTGGTTCCTAACAGTGAAAGTTATTTGTTTGAACACCAACTTTACCAAAACTATCAACATTATTTACATTTTTCTGCCTTAACTGGGTATTGCACTCACCCTCTTTGGGTCCTGTCACTGGATCTAACCAATGCCTTTATCCACTGTGCCATGTGTCCTTGATGAATTTCTGGGTATTATAAACCTAATGTCTTCAGCAATCATTTTTTACCAGTGCTCATATTGCAACTTTTGTTGTTATCATTGCTTTTCTCTGGCAGTCCTTATTACTGGTTCCCATATCGTATTTATTTCTATGCTTGGTCAGCAAAGAGTGTGAGTTCAATACCTGATTAAGGCAGTGGAGAACTTTCAGAGGGAAAATTAACAGGAGATAACTGATAACTGACATCCATCAAACATGGCACGTGGAACTAGAACAGTCTACCCCAGTGAGTTAAATAAAGGGTTCAGTTCTACATTCCAACCACCTGAAGAAGGCCGGAGCGTACAACAGCAGAAACGTTTTGATAAATATGGCGACAAAGATGAGGACAATAGTCCGAATAATGTAAATAATGTACATAATACCTCATCTCAGAAATATAGACAGACAAAACTATCAAGTTGAAAAAAATCTAAAAGAGAAAATTAAATGAAGATAAATCATACCTAAATGATGCACTTTTTTTTTTTTTTTTTTTACTGTTTGAAAATTACACTTGTTAATTTGATTGCCGCAAATTTACATAAGGAATGATTGACAACAAGTTAGAGGATTTGTTTAAGAGGAGTATTTAATGTTAAAATCAGTTAAATCCAGGAAATTGATTGTCTTTTATTCAGGCAATGAAAATAAGATATAAATAAATAACAATGTAGATATTAAATGAATAAAAAGTAATCCTATTATAATTGTGCTTCTCCCTGGCTTTGTTAGTTCGCACGACCGTTACTCCCTGTCAATACTTCATAAATAATGGGCATTCGGTTTTGATCACATGGAAAGAGGGAAAAAGACACTATTTGGTTTCAGTGAGAAAATGAATGAATAAAAGAAGGGAAAATAGAAGTGTTTATCAGCTGTTTCAGTGAAATGGAAAAGTTAGCAATTTTAAATCCTCATTTGTATCCACTTCTTAAAATAATGACCAGCATTCATATTTGTGATTCTTATTGCAACATTTTATTAAATTTTTTAAGCTCAGTATTGAATGAGGGGAATTTCTACTGATATTTTATTGTTGTAGAACTTGCCATGAGCTTATTCAATCATTAACATATATCAGAATATTAAAACAGGAAAACTTAAATTTTCACAGGTCTTTCTGGTATGAATTTATATAGAAGAATCTTTAAATATTTAATTTATTGATCCATGTATATTGTTTGTCGATTTCATTCTAGGAATATTTAAAAATGTGTAAAAATGACAAAAATCAAAACGATTCAAATATTTATCCAATCTAAAATCGTTTTGCAATATTCTTAGAATAAAACCAACATGCAATATAAAAACAATTTAAACCATTTACATACATATAAAATCATTTAAATAATTAGATGAATTTGATTTTTGCAATTTTTACAAGTTTTTAAATATTCATAGAATAAAACCAAAATAATAAGCAACATTAATATGTGAATGAAAACTTTAGTGATTAATTTATGTACGAAATGGTATTCATTTGAAAATAAACAGATTTATAGAGGAAACGGCATTCATTTGTAAATAAGCAGATTCATGGAGGAAACGGCATTCATTCGTAAATAAGCAGATTCATGGAGGAAACGGCATTCATTTGAAAATAAACAGATTCATGGAGGAAATGGCATTCATTTGAAAATAAGCAGATTCATGGAGGAAACGGCATTCATTTGAAAATAAGCAGATTCATGGAGGAAACAGTATTCATTCGTAAATAAGTAGATACATGGAGGAAACGGCATTCATTTGTAAATAAGTGGATTCATGGAGGAAATGGCATTCATTCATAAATAAGTAGATTCATGGTGGAAACAGCATTCATTCGTAAATAAGTAGATTCATGGTGGAAACAGCATTCATTCATAAATAAGTAGATTCATGGAGGAAACGGCATTCATTTGTAAATAAGCAGATTCATGGTGGAAACAGCATTCATTCGTAAATAAGTAAATTCATGGTGGAAACAGCATTCATTCATAAATAAGTAGATTCATGGAGGAAACGGCATTCATTTGTAAATAAGTAGATTCATGGTGGAAACAGCATTCATTCGTAAATAAGTAGATTCATGGAGGAAACGGCATTCATTCATAAATAAGTAGATTTATAGAGCAAACTGTATTCATTTGTAAATGTTACATTCTTCCTAAAACAAGATCTTCTGATTCATGCTACTCTAATTTCCACTACTTTTTGGACGTGAATGCTCCAGGACCCAAGAGTGAACTAAAATTTCATCAACTGTGCATAAGCTCCACACATAGCTTCCATTTTTACTCACAGACTCAAAGAAAAATACAATCCAGAATTTCCACCCAATAGCACCTACTCCCACCTAAAGAAACAAAATAAAGATTGGAGCCAAAAGGACATAAAAGCCCATCAAAGGGACAGCATAGCAGTTCAGATTCACAACACTCATCAGAACGCAACCTCCCATCTCCAAAAGACAACTCACCAAAGACCGTCACTCTAGTAAGTCACAACTCACCCTGCGTCTCCTACTGTACACCTCTGCGGATGACTTTTACAATTCCACTTATCTCCTTCCTTTGACGAGAGACATTTACACTGATTTACTATTTTTTGCATTTTTATGTTAATATAATTGTTTATTTCTCCATTATTTTTTCTTTGTTCTGCCACCATACACTTAATATAGAATAATAAACAGATTTTTTAAATGATACATAATTAAAATTAAAAAACATTACTATTCAGATATAAAAATTATCTCTTTAATTTTCTAACTTGATTTTTTGGTGAAATGAGTTATTCGACAAAATGGAGATTCGATTTATTAATGGTTTTGTGAAATTTACTGTTACGATTACCTGCCTTGCTTTGGTCATTGATTTAAGATCTCTGGATTATCTCAGATTGAGAGCTTTATGTTATTTAATTGAAAAAAAAAAAAAAAAAAAAAAAAAATAGGAAAAAGAAACTGCATATTAAATATGTGTAAAAGCTCCCATCAATCATCTTACATCTGAAAACTTTTTATTTTTTCAATAGAAACTTCTGCACATACTTAATATTGCTACTTCACCTATTCAGTGAAACATTCTCGACACTTTTATCAGAGAATATATCAGTTAATCTTGGGAAACTCTTTAATAATATATTTTCCATAGAGGTTAATGAATCCAGCAATGTGTCAAACAAAGGTTAAATATTGGGTAGGAAGACCAAGTTATTACCAAACAGGGATTGGGTAGGTGCATATCTATCATGAAAACCAACATTCCACTACTGCTTTAATTACAGCAGCATTTTTTAAACTGAAATTATGATCAGAATTCATTACGGTGAGTAACTAATGCATTGAGCGTGTTTTGTAAAAGATTTCTTTTATGTTCATAAAATCTTATTTAAATTCCTTCAGGTTTCTCCTATGTATTCTTTGTGGCATTCATTAGGGGTGCCAATTCCACCTACAAATACTTTTAGATTTTTGGGAGATAATAGTGATTTATTTATACAAGTCCTAATAATTAACCCATAGCTGGAGGGAGAAGAGATGGATTCATACCTTTCTTAACAGTATATAACCAACCTGACTGGAATTGGAACACATCTCTCTAATTTCCAATTCTGAGCTGTTATACATTACACCACCTGCACAACCAAACTTACAACACCTACTATTCCCAAGCAGTCACCCCATCTATTTACTGACCAGGCTTGACATTACTTAATTTTGCTGATCGTACAAGAACCAATGTTTCAACATGATATTGCTGTAAACCATGGATGTGAGAGGAAGATGTACAGATGTAGGATAGATAATGGCTGATTTGAATATTAAAATGTTTTTGTGCTATGATCCATGTCGATAGATAGGCAAGTAAATACCATTAGCTCATTTAAGATTGGATCAGTTTGGGATCTTAGAGATTTGTTCTGATGTAAAGGAAACAAATTATTTCAGCTTTCACTCCTGAAGAGCATTAACCTATAGTTAAAGGAGTTTACCACATTGAAAAGTCCTTGTACTATGTCCCATCCCCCATGGGTGGGTAAGTAGCATTAGAGCACCTGAGATTAGATTAGATCAGTTTCAGATCTTAGCAGAGATCAGTTCTGAAGAAATTATTTCAGCTTTCAGTTCTGGACTATGTTAAACAATATTCACAGGTATAGGGTTTGACTAATTATGGTGAATGATCCAAAGTAAAAACACAACCTATCAACAAGTGTAACCAGAGACAAATTTGGGACTCCTAGAAATATACAATAATTTTTTTTTTAAATTCTCATTTCAATGGTAATTCAACCAAAAAATAAGAGTTAGCACAATAATTGAAGAAACTGGGTGCTTTACATTTGTAGCCATGTTAAGCTAT